CGTGAACGGTACATCGCGTGGGCGGGCGTGGACGGGCGATGCGCGCGGTGGGGGGGGCGATGCGGCGAGGGACGGCGACGGAGGCGACGCGCGCGGGCGAGGCGTACCCGGAACTTCGAGTGAAAGCGCCGGGACGCGTGGTCGCGATCGGGGATTTACACGGGGATATCGGACAAGCGCGACGGGCGCTGCGGTTGGCTGGGGTGCTGGAAGACGGCGATGATGGAGTGAATCCGAAGTGGGTCGGCGGGAACGCGACGCTGGTGCAGCTGGGCGATATCCTGGACCGCGGCGACGACGAAATTGGCATCTTGATCTTATTGCAAAAGCTGGATAAGGAGGCGAAGAAGGCTGGTGGGGCGGTGTACGTCATGAACGGGAATCACGAGGTGTTGAACATCTCGGGTGATTTCCGGTACGTCACGCGAGGGGCGTTCGGCGAGACGACGAGGTTCAGTCAGCACTTGGTGAAGCTCTTTGGAGATAAGTTCCGAGACGCGTTCGGGATCGACGAGGAGGACGCGTGGACGAGACAAAGTAAGGCGCGCATCGGGTTATTCTCTCCGGGCGGCCCTCTCGCGCAGCAGCTCTCGATGCATCACACCGTGCTCATCGTCAACGACACGGTGTTCGTGCACGGGGGGTTGGTGCCCAGGCACGTCGAGTACGGCCTGGACAAGCTCAACCGAGCGGTCTCGGACTGGATGCGCGGGAAGGAAATCAAGGACGACGAGACGCGCACGGCGCTCGGGATGGCGATCGGTGGCGTGCGCGATTCCATCGTTTGGCATCGCGGGTACGGCACGGAGAACTTTGCCACGAATCAGGACAGAAGCAGCTCGTGCGAGTTGCTCGAGAAGACGCTGGGCATGATCGACGGGGCGAATCGAATGGTTGTTGGTCACACTCCGCAACTCGGAGGCGCGAACTGCGAGTGCGACGGTAAGATTTGGAGGATCGATGTCGGCATGTCGTTCGGCGTGCTCGGCGCAGAACCCCAAGTGCTCGAGATTGACGGCGGCGACGTTCGAGTGATTACCTCGGCGTCTTCGCGCACGCCTAGTCGCCTATAAGTTGTGAATGATTATGCGCTTCGATATTGCAACCATTTCATTCCTCGTCGTCCTCGTCCATGTGCACGGCTCGTCGACGTCTCGCGGGTTCCTCGGGTTCGTCCTCGTCCTCGTCCTCGCTCGAGGCGTCCAAAATTTTTGGTCGCACTCGCAGAATCTTTCGCCGCGGCGGCGAACGCACGGGACTGACATTCGTCGCGTCCCGCACGACGTTTTCCTCCTCGACGTTCTTCCCGACCTTTTTCGCCAGCTTCGCGAACGCCTCCTTGGTCGCGTCCGTCGCTCCCTTGACTTGTTTCGAGCGCTTTCCAGATGGTTCGTCGTCGTTCTCGTCATCCTCGTCATCATCCGGGAAGTCGACGTCTTCATCCGCACCCGCGGCATCAGCCTCGCGCAAGGCATCCGCGGCGTCCTCGTCCTCTTCTTCGAACACGTAATCCTCCTCGAGATCCTCGAATCCGTCGTCGTCGTCTGGAAAATCGACGTCGTCCGCGACGATCCCGTCGTCGGCGTCCGGCGCCCCAGCCGTCGTCGGCGCGTTCTCGTCGTCAACGTCGTCGTCATCTGGAAAGAACACATCCTCCCCTCTCGCCGCCGCCTCCTCTCGCTCCATCTCAGCCACGCGTTCGCCCACGCCCCCGCCGAAGTCTCTCTCGTGAAACTCCCGAATCGCCGCCCGCACCGCCTTATCTTTCCCCAATTTCGACACCCGCTCCAGCGTCTCCTCCGCCGGCGCGTACGGGTACATCTTCACCGCCCACTCCTTATACATCGCCACCAACGCCGCCGCGTCCGCCGCCTCGTGTCCGTCCCCTTTCGACGCCTCTCGAAACTTTTCCGGAAACGTCGCGTACACCACCCCCAACCCATTCGGCCCGAGCAAGTGTTCGTGTATCGAAAACTTCGGTCGTCGCGCCGTCTTCTTCCGTCGCGCCGTCGCCGTCGTCCTCCCTCCCGTCACCGTCGCCGTCACCGTCACCGTCGCCGTCCGGTCCCGTCGTCGTCGTCGTCGTCCCGTCCGCGATCGTCTCCATCCCATCGCGTTCGTTCGCGCGCGCGCGCGGCGCGGTGCAATCCTTCGCCCAGTGTCCAGGCTCTCCGCACCGCGCGCAGTTCCCTCGCGGCATCGCGCGCGACGCCGCGTCGCGCGATGCGCGGCGTCGACGCGCGCGCGATGTGTGATGTTTAAATTTCAAACACATCTAGGGTTTAGGGTATAGGGTTTAGCTGGGGCGTCGGCACGCACCGCTCGCGACCGCTCGCGACCGGTCGACCCCACCGGTCGCGATCGATATCGACCGGTCGATCGCGCCTTTGGATGAAAATCACCACCGGTCGAGGACGATCGCGCGCGCATTCCACGCCGCGCGCGATGGATGGACTCCTCCTCCTCGGCGCGCTCGCGAACGCGCACGCCCGGTCGCCCCTGCGCGCGCGGACGTGCGCGGAGGTGTTCGCGGACGCGTCGCGTCACGCGGGATTTGGCGCGACGAACGATGGGTCCTCGCACGGGACGACGAAGACGCCGAGGACGATGCCGGCGAGCGCGCTCGCGGACGCGATCGCGCGGTGCGGATCGAGCGTGAACGCGGCGTTCGGTGAATCCTTGCTCTCGGCGATCGCGGTGGATGGGGAGGAAGAGGGGTCGGGGGACGCGCGCGTGGACGCGCTGGCGACGGCGGCGGCGCTGAGCGTCCTGTGCGGCGGCGCGCTCGAGGAGAAGGTGGGACTCATGTTTCGATGCGTCGACGTCGATGGGGTGCTGGGGATCACGGAGGATCAAGCGATGGCGTTCGCGCGGACGTGCGCGGAAGTTTTGGGGGCGGCGCTGGAGGACGCGGGCGAGGGGGAGATGGAATTGGGACGGTGCGTCGACGCGTGGGGGACGATGGTGCGAGACCTGTTGCGGCGGCGGAGGGATGACGATCTCGGGTTGTTGACCGTGGACGATTTTAAGGATTTGATGGCGCGGATGCTGAAAGATATGGGGAAATCAAGCGTGAACGCGACGGATTCGGAGGACGCGAGAGAGGGACGCGCGGGGCGCAGGACGGCGCGGCTAAGCTCGTCGAGCGCACACGGGCGAACGTCGTTGGGAGGAAGCGATGGCGGTGGCGGAAGTTTCTTCGACGCACCGATCGTGCGGACCGGTTTAGAGTACCTCTCGTCGGCTAGCGGACACGGTGGGGCGTCGTCGTCGCCGACGCCGGCGAACGTCATAGCCAGCGTGATTCCCGCTCTCGTCCGGGGATCCCAAAGCAGCCCGCAACAAGAGCGCCCGTCGTTGTCGCCGAGTTTGAAAGCCTTGGGGTCGATCGGGTCATCGGGTGTTTTGCCATCGCCGGAGAAGCAACATCGCGCCAGTTTGTCCACTGGGAGTACCGCAAACTTGTTTTCGAGCATGATTCCCGACGGCATCGCCAACCTGCTCGGAGTCAAGAGTCCACATTCCACGCGCGAAACGCTCAAGCGCGAAGTGGGTATGACCGACGAAGAGTGGGAACACGCGCAGCTTTCCGCCGAGCTCGAGGCCGCGAGGAAGGAGACGGATGAAACAGAGCTCACGCAAGCGGTTGAGGAGTCGACTTGGAGCAATGTCGTCATGCTCGTCAAGGAAATCGTCATCCGTCTGTTCCTGTTCAACACCGTAAAACTTCTACTCACGATCGCTCTGTTGGGCGGCGACGCCGCACTTTGTGTTTATGTCGTCAACCACTTTGGCGTGGTCGCCGGATTAGGTTTCGTCGTCGTCATCAACGTCGTGCTCAGCGTCATTTTCATCTGGTTCATTGTCACCTTCAACAAGCGCGAGAAAGGGAAGGACAATATGCAGTTCGGCGCAAATATCATGCAGAGTATCCATGACATCGCCAAGTCCAAGACCAGGTTGGATGGCTTGCTCTCCACCGACCGAGCGGAGTCCGACACCGACCACATCTCGCCTCGCTCGTGGCAAGCCGAAGAACCAACGCCGAGAGCGTTCGGGCAGATGAAAGATGCCGCGGATGAAAGGAGATTCAGACGCACGGTCACGGGCACGAAGCTAGGCGAGCGCGTGTAGAAAGAACACACTGGTATGATACATATAGGTTACATCCAGGAATCCTGAGAGTTTACGCACCGCTTCGCGCTCTCGCCTCGGCGATTTCCCCCCTCAGCTCCTCCGCCAAGAAGGGTTCTACTCCCCACGTCTTCATCATGTTATCGTACTCCTCCCAAGCCTCTTTCGATGCCAGGGCGTTGGTTCGAATCGCGCGAATCAAAGTATTTCGCGGCGTATGCTCGCCGCCAACAAACTCCATAACGTCCACGCGGTAGCCTAACAGACGGAGAATGTGAGCTCTGAAGGCGTCGGTGAGGACGTCCCCGAAGCGCTCCGATAGGATACCGTGTCGTGAGAGAGGAGGAAACGCCTGGACGGTTGATTTCTTCAGGCGCATCTGAAGGTTGTGGTGACAGCACGGAGCGATAAGCGCAAGCGGGGATCCCCAGCGCACCGTTCGGACGATTGACTCATCTGTCGCCGTGTCGCACGCGTGCAACGCGAGCACGATATCCGGCGGCGCGCTTACGTTCTCCCCAAAGCTCACGCCTGCGCCCGCGATTGTGCCCTCGACGAAATGCATCGAATCGCCCCAGCCAAGATCTGTCGCGACGCCGGTGTTGTGCTCTCGCGCCTGCCGCTTGACGTCGACGCCGACGACGTTCGTGGGAATCTCGCGCTTGATGGCGAGCAAGGAGTACGCGCCGAACGTCAGGTACGCGTTCCCGCACCCTAAATCGCACACTCGAAGCGGACGCACCGCGCTCCCGCTCTCCATGTGATTCGCCGACGTAGCCTCGTCCACGGCGTGATTCAAAATCTTCAGAAATTCCTCCACCTGCTTATACTTGTCCCGCTTGCTCGCCCGCACCGACCCATCCTCGGCGACGACGCCGACGTACCTCAAAAACGCGTCATCCGTCGCCACCATCCGCGCCTTTTCGCGATCATGCGCGCGGGGACCGACCACAAATGTCGCCCCGGTCGCGCCCTCGCCGTCGATCAAACGCTTCGACCCCTTCTCTTTCGAAACCGTCGCGCGCTTTTTTTTCACATTCGCCGTCACGTTCCAACCGCCGCTCGAGTGCTCCAATCTCCAGTGCTTATACCCCGCGTCGAGCGCCTCCGCGATCACCACAGACGCCGTCGCGCCCTTCAAATCCCCGTTCGCCGCGTCATCGATCGCGTGATTACTCGCGAACGCTTGCCTGGCGTCGAACCGCTCGCGCTGCAAAAGCGTCCGCCCTCGAATCGTCACCCACCGAAACTCCACCCTTCGATACGGATTCCCCGCATCGCTCGGTCCCGTGAGCGTCATCTTTCCCAGACGCTCCGCCTCGAGCGCCATCGCCAGCGCCGCCGCGCGCGCGTCGTCCAGCGGGGTCCCGGTTCCAACCTCGAGCACTGGCACCGCCTCATTCGTCTCCCGCACGCTCGCCCTCGACGCTCGCGGGTGCGAACGACCCCCCGCGCGTCGCCCATCGCGCACCGCGCCGCGCGCGCGCGCGCCCGTCGACGCGCGACGCGCGAGCGCCATCGTGTGCGGCGTCGTCGTCACGTTTTAATTCTCGAGGGTTCGCGAGCAACGACATCACGTCACACATTCACACACTTTGCGACGCGTCGGCGCGCGCGGTGATGTCGCGCGTCGTCATCGATGCGTTGGCGCGATCGTCCTCGTGCGCGGCGGCGTCCACGAGCGCTCGGGCGGTGACGAGCGCGGTGTCGATGCGAATCGGTGGAACGACGTTGGTGACGACGCACGCAGGAGCACTCGCGCGACGCGCGGTGTCCACGGCGACGACGACGGCGGCGGTGACGACCGCGCGTGCGTTCGCGTCGACGTGGACGACGCCGAGGAGCGTTCGAGAGCTCCTGAGCGTGGCGTACGGGCTGAGTAAGTTTCGCCTGAGCGCGTTCGTGACGTCCACCGCGGCGTGCGGGTACGTGTTGGGATCCGGGTCCGCGGTGGACCCGATCGGGTTGGCGGAGGTTTCGTTCGGGACGATGTTGTGCTCGGCGAGCGCGAACACGATCAATCAGATCGTGGAGACGGTGCCGGATTCGATGATGCGTCGGACGGCGGGACGGGCGCTGCCGAGCGGGCGGTGCGGGAAGGGGTTCGCGTGGGCGTTCGCGTCGGCGTGCGCGATCAGTGGGACCGGGATATTGGCCGCGACAACGAACGAGACGACGGCGGCGCTGGGGGCGGGGAATATCGCGCTGTACGCGGGGGCCTACACGGCACTGAAGCGGGCGCACTGGACGAACACGTGGGTGGGCGCGGTGGTGGGCGCGATACCGCCGCTCATGGGATGGGCCGCCGCGAACGACGATGGGGCGCTCGATGCGAGCGCGTACGTGCTCGCGGCGGCGCTATACTTTTGGCAGATGCCGCACTTCATGGCGCTGGCGTATATGGGCAAGGAGGACTATCTGAATGGAGGATATCGCATGCTGTCGCACCCGATGTACGACAAGACGGGCCGTCGAGTCGCGGGCGTCGCGGTGCGAAATTCGCTCGCTCTGCTCCCGCTCGGTGTCGTGGCGTGCGCCGTGGGCCTGACAACTGAGCCGTTCGCGTACGAATCCGTCGCGCTCGGTTTACCGCTCGTGGCAACGGCGGCGGCATTTTACGCCAAGCCATCCTTTCTCGCGGCGAGACGCATGTTCTTCGGGTCTCTCCTGTATTTACCGGCGTTCCAAACCTTGGCGTGCTTCCATCGAATCCCCAGGGAAAACACTATGGACGCGTACGAGTCGTTCAGGCGTGTGTCGGTGAACTTCCCATGGCACTGCGTCCCGTTTGCCGCGTCAGGGGACGACTGGTCGCCCGAGCGCGAACGCCTTAAACAATTTAGAGCGCGGGCGCTTGGACCGGCGCTCAGCGAAACATCCACGGCGCCGTTCCCGTTTTTACCCCTTCCGATTCCGCGTTGTCCGCACGATCGAGCGTACGCGCAAGGGAGCGAGTCGGATTCTTAGATGTTCGATGAATCTTGTAGATATTAGAAACCGAAAGCCAGTCGGAAATCCGTTCAACCGCGATTACTCGGCGCCTGCCAATCGAGCCTGATCGGTCGCCCCATGCAAGGCAGCCCGTTACACTTTGCCGCCGCGTCCAAGGACTCGTCGTCGGCGAAATCGGCGAACCCAACGCCTCGGAATTCGCCCGTTTCCTTATTCGTCAACCATCGAACCGTCGTCGGCTCCACCTCGGCGTTATCCATGAAAAACTTCCAAATCTTATCATCGTCGATCTGAAAGTTCAGATTCCCCATGAATAAGGTGTAACACCCGTCCGGTTTCGGTCCCATCTTCTTCACGTCGCCCTGCCCGCCCCCGGCTTCGCGCGCCGCCGCCTTGGCCGCCGCCCGCTCCTCCGCCGTGTTCCCGCGCTGCTCCCAAAACCGCGTCGGCGTCTCGCGTCCCAACACCTTCCGCCCGCACGCCGCCACCGCTTTCGCCGCCCCCTCCGGCGTCTTAAACTCCACGACACCGGCGCCTAAGAACTTACCCGTCGCCTTCTCCTCGAACCACGTCACGGACTCGACCTCGCCGCAATCCTTAAACGCTTCGATCAACGTCTGCTCGTCCACGTTCCACGACAAATTCCCGCAGTACACCTTGGTCTTCGACGTCGGAAACGTCCCGGGCGCCGGTGGTTCGCCCGTTTCCGTCGTCGTCGTCGTCGGGGCGTTTTCTTCACCCGCATCGCCGCCGCCACTCGTTTCTTCGCGCATTCGTTTCTTCGCGCGCTTCTTCCCCTCCGCGTCCTCCTCCGAGACGCGATCGCGCTTCTCCCGCTTCTCCTTCTTCTCCTTCTTCTCCTTCTTCGCCTTCTTCGCCTTCTTCCCCTCGTCCGAACCCATGGTCGTCGTCGTCGTCGTCGCGTCACGGAATAAAGCCGGTTCGAGTCCCCACGACGACGCATCGCGCTCGCACCGACACGCGCGCGCGAACGGACGCGCGCACGCCGCGCGCGGCGTCGAGAATTTTTTCTTCACCGCCGCCGCCGCGTCGGTGCCGTCCGGGCGCGTCGCCGGACGTCCGAGTCGTCGTCGATGCGTCGTCGCGCGCGCGGTGGGTGTCGCGCATCGTCAACGAATGTCTCCAGTGCGCGCCGCGCGCGACGTCACGGTGGTCGATCGCGATGTCGGACGACGCGCTCACATCGCTCGCGCGCGCGGACGGGCGCGCGGACGCGCTCGACGCGCTCCGAGCGCTCGTCGAGGCTGAGAGAGCGACGGCGTCGAGCGATGCCGTGGACGATGACGCCGTCTTCTCGGTGGTGACGACGCGCGCGCGCGCGTGCGAGGGCGTGCTCACGCGCGGTGTCGGCACGTGGTACGAGACGCTGCGCGAGCGCGACCGACGCGCGCTCGTCGACGCGTGGTTTGACGTGAGAGGGGAGATGATTCAAGGGAAGGCGTCTTCGAGCGGGGCGGCGCTGACGGGCACGTTTCGAACGGTGAGCGCGATCGCTCGAAGGGACGGCGGTGGTCGGGACGTCGCGAAGGCGTACGCGGTGGAGTCGTTGGCGACCGCGGTCGCGCGAGGGGCGATCGAGGGGGTGATGGCGTTCGAGGAGGACGCGCGGAGACGCGGTTGGACGCGGACGCGGCGAGCGGCGAGCGAGACGGTGGAGGCGATGATCGGGGCGTTCGAACGCTTAGACGCGCGGACTTTTGAGATTCCCATGTTTCGAACGACGACTTCGTACGAGGAAGAGTGCGCGCGAAGGGTGCTGGCGGGGGGTACGGAGGCGCCGGGAAGCGCGGCGGCGGCGGCGTGTCGGATGTGTCGTCGAGGCGGCGCGGGAGCGTTGGCACGAGCGACTTTGCGAGCGTTCGTCCCGTGCGTGCGCTCGCTGAGCGTGGATGAGGTTCGATCGATCGTCGACGCGGACGATATTCCGGTAACGTTGCGTTGGGGGACGACGATGATGAATGAAATGGGCGACGCGCACGCGGCAACCCGTTGGATCGCCCATCTCTTCGCCGCGTGTGACGGGCGTCAGGGAGAAGATTCGTGCACGTGGAGGACACTGGACGTCATACTTCGTGTCTTATTGCGTGATAGATACTGGTCGTGCGAGGCGATGCGTTTCCACCTGAGTGAGACGTTACTGCTGCGCAAAGGCGTGCCTAGAAACGCGCTTCCGGCGCTCTTACGCCTCACAATTCTTCGGCCGATTAAGCGCGGCTGCGACGCATCTCGCGTGAAAACAGCGTGCACGCAAAATATACTTGCGCTCCTCGAGACTTGGTCTTCGGAAGATTTCGTGCGAGGCGGTTCGGTGGGTGCACAGCGCCATCTCACGTGGAGCGCCGCGTTGTTGCTCGCGGCAACGCCGAGCGATGAGTGGAACGCAATGCGCGGGAACCCGACGCAGCTGATCTTGAAGGGGGTGAGCACACGTCTCGATGCGGTCGCCCCACGCGCAAGGCGACACGCGAGTCTGATCGCTCACGAGCTATCACTGAAGATGGATGCGAGCAATCCGTTGCGCCTCCTTGACGGAGACGACGCGCAGAGCTCGGATGATGAGAGCGAGTGGATGCGAGATATGACGCGCATCGTGCACAATGACGTGATCGTGGAAGAAGAAAGTGGTGATGGCGACGCGACCGACGAGCAGTTCCTCGGCGTCGACGTCCCAGCAAAGGTTGAGATAAAGAGCATCGATCCAGATGAAGTCGTCGACATGTGGAGCGTCCGTCGAGATGATAGCGATGAATCGGACTTATCTGACAACGATGAAGATGATGATCTCATACCATACGATATGGATAGCGACGACGAGCCATCACTGCGTTCGGGTGATCCTGCGAGCCTCACAGAGAGGCGAATAGCTTCGCTGCCTAAACCGCAAACCTTGCGTGAGTGCGTCGACGCACTGAGACACGCGAAAACGGGCACGTCCACTCAACAAACAGACATAGACCTTGCTGATAGAGCCGAAGGCGCGGTTCACGCGGTGTCGGATCTCGTGGCAAAAGAACCGCATGAGTTGGCCTCGTGCGCCGCGGATCTCGCAGTTGCTATTTTGCACGCGCATCCACCAACGCCAGACTCCGATCCTCTCGATCGTGCTCGGCGTCAAGGTCTTGCCTCGCTGTTTACGGTCACTCCAGGTCTTGCGGGACCACCAACGATCGAGCACGCGCTGTCGGAGAGTTGCGATGCGTCACAAGTCGTGGACACTCTCAGCGCCATCGAGGTCGCTGCGGCGAATCTCGCGACTCCGCGAACAACAGAGTTGTTGGATGACGCATCCAACGCACCGGTGAGGGATCGACTGGGCGTCGAGCGACGATTCGCACCGAAATCGTTGGAGGCGCGCGGGAAGTCAAGGTCATCCGCGTCGACGCGAAGTCATCTCATTGGCGATAGCTTCGTCGCTCCGCTCTTGCGTTCGGCAGCTCTCCGGCTCGAGCGTCAGGTCACCTCGGGCCGCGTCTTGGACGGACTCGACGCCATGGTGTGCGGACAGATACTCCAAACCATCGGTCAATGCGCCAGGCACGCCCGGAACGCGGTCGACGCTCCGCTCATCGGTCGAGCCGTGCTCGAATTTGCGCTCGCTCCGCCGCTCGCCCAGGCGGACCATCCCCATCTTCGCCGATCCGTCCTCATTGCAGGCGGTCTGGTCGCGAGCTCGCTTCCGGAGGTCGCCCTCGGTATATCCTACGCTGAGGCATCCGATCTCGCTCGCGCGCTCGAGCGTTTCGCCGAGCACGCGACGTCTCGCTCGCGCTCGGACGTCGACGCCGACGTCCGCGCGAGCGCCGCCTTCGCCCTCGACGCCTGCGCTCGAGCCCGCGTCGCCGCGCTAGACGCCATCGAGAACCTTCCCGAACGTGATTCCACGCGCGAGATCACCTTGAACGTTCCCAAACGATCGATTGGGTTGTAAACACGCCGCGCGCAGTCCCGCGACGCCTCTCGCGTACAATCCGGCGCCCTCTCCAGTGTAAAACTCCTCTTTGCCCTCTCGCCCGGCGATCGTCACACCTCGTCGCGTCTCGCGCGCGCTTCACGCCATCGCGGGCGACGCCATCGCGTCCAGCGCGAAGTACGCGTGAACGTCGTTCGCGTGCGCGACGACCGACGCCGTTTACGCCCGGGACCGAGGCACGGGACGCGTAAAACCGCGCGGCGGCGCGATCGAATCGAATCGAGGGAAATCGCCGAGAGAAAATGTCGAGCGATCGCCGTAACCGCCTATTCCGGGTCCGTAAGACGATCCATAAGATGCTCGCGGCGCGTGGGTACCTGGTGAGCGCTCGGGAGCTCGAGCGCGACGCGGATTCGTTCGCGGAGGAGTTCGGGGAGGAGCCAAAGCGGGACTCGCTCACGATCCTGGCGCCGAGAAAAGACGACCCGAGCGAGAACATCTTCGTCTTCTTCCCGGATGAAGAGAAGGTAGGCGTGAAGACGATTAAGGATTTGGCGAAGCGAATGAAGGAGGAGAACGTGTTCCGGGCGATCATCGTTGTGCAGGCGTCGCTGACGCCGTTTGCGAAGCAATCGCTGCTAGAGTGCCAGACTCAAAAGTTTTACATCGAGCAGTTCCAGGAGACGGAGCTCTTGGTGAACATCGTCGATCACGTGTTGGTGCCGGAACACATTTTATTGTCCGATGAACAGAAGAGGACGCTGTTGGAGCGTTACAAGGTGAAGGACACGCAGTTGCCGCGTATCCAGATGCACGATCCGATTGCGCGGTACTACGGCATGCGGCGGGGGCAAGTCGTTCGCATCATCAGGCCTAGCGAAACCGCGGGGCGGTACGTTACGTACAGATTGTGCGTCTAGATTTGTTCCGATCGGCGTTCAGCGTCGTTCAATTGTGATTAGAACCTATATAACATTAGCCCACAAAGTGATTGTACACCTGCTTTAGCGATCCGCGAGACGGTCGAGCGTCGGGGTGCGTTCGAGAGATCACGGCTAATCGACGTCGAATATCGTCTTTCGTGAGATCCGCACCAAGAGACTGGGGACACAACGCGATGGAGAGCGCGATGACCATCGCGACGGAGTGATCGACGCCGTCGTCGCAGGTGACGCACAAGCGTGCCTTGGGTGTCGGCAGCGATCGTCTCACGAACTGAATAGACGGTTCGATCGCGTTCTTCAAATCCGAGCGACTGATTTTATCCTTTTTAGCCGAAACGTGCAAAAAGGGCGTCGCGAGTCTGCTCGATTCCACAGCGAGCTCTCCAACGTGTAAGAATGCATCCGCGAGGTCGTTGACATCTGGTCTATCGTAGACTCGACGCGATGCCACTCGACACGCCCCTAGACCGCACTCTGGATCGAGTTCAATGACGGTTTCGCTATATTCGCCCGTTCCTTTGCTATCTCTAGATCGAGCGACGAGTTTTGATATGAGCACGTCCACGTCGCCCTGGTTTGCTCGCAGCAGTGCGTCTCGATGTTTCCTGTAGATTTCGGGCGTAAGCCCGCGCGCCCAACTTTCTTCGTCGTCTCCCGCTCCTGGAACATACGTGAACGCCCGCCCATCATCGCCGACGGAACGCTCACCTCGTCCGAGCAGTGGCGCGCTCGCCGACAGGAGTACGATTGGTGTGAAATCGGCAGCTCGCAACGTCTCGAGCGTCAACTCGCTGCCATCACCGCCCTGACTCACCCACACGCACTGGAAAGGTTTCTTCAAGATATCTCTCAGCTCATTCCCCGCGTCCCATCCCGATCGCCGCAGAGAGTCATCGAACTGCTCTCGCCTCGCGTTCACCGCCTCGCGCTCGTTTGTTGAAATCCACTCTGGCAGCGTCACGCCTCTGTCATCGCCCTCTCTCCACCTCACCCCACCCGCTCTCGCCACCGCCCTATTCAGCGTTTCACACCATATCGGCACTGTCTTCGACATCGCATCCGGGAACCTTTTCACCGCGCTCGCCGTGGCGTCCACGACGACGCATCCGCCTCTCGCCGCCGCCTCGCGCGCGACCCGAGCGTTCAATCTCACCCCACTGAACGCCCAATTCTTATCGTGCCCGTCCGTGGACTTAAAATAGCACTCCGGCGCGTCGACGTACCACGTCCCACACCGCGCGTTCGCGAACACCGGCAAGCTTCCGAACCGTTCCGTCGTCGCGTCGCGCGTCCAACGCGCGTCCGCCGCGATGGACCGCAACCGCTCACTCGCCCCCCCGCCTCGCCGTTTGATTTCCCGCGTGATCGCGTACACGCTCGGCCGCAGCATCGCGTTCAACGTATCGTCGTCCACGCGCGATAACGCGTCGTCGTCGTCGCACCACTCGCCCACGCTCGAGCGCGCGCCGCGCGCGTCCCTCGTCGCGCCCGACGACGACGCGCTCGACGACTCGGACGCGTCGCGCGCGCCGACGAAGAAGGACATCGAGCCGCCGCGCGCTCGGGGCGCGCGCGCGAGTGCGGGTGCGGGTCGAAAACGACGGATTTCGTCGGTTTCGCGTCGCGCGTAACGGTCTCGGCGTCAGGCGCTGCATTAACCCCCGCGCGCGCGCCGTGCGCGCGGGTCGACACCGCGCGATGCCCACCGGGTCCACGAATGAGTTCGCGCTGCTGTGGAACAACATCGCGAGCTTGCAATCGCAGATGCATACGGTGATGGAGATGCTCGGTTCGCTGGAGAGGAGCGTGGTTGCCTCGACGAAGCCGCCGACGGGTCAGAAGTCGTACGAACTGCCGTCGAGTTCGCCGAGGAAGAAGGTGCAGAAGAAGGCACCCGCAGCGAAGAAGGTGCAGAAGAAGACACCCGCAGCGAAGAAGACGATCTCGAAGGCCAAGGCGACGGTGGTTTTGGCGACCCTGCGAGACGGCGCGAACAGCGTCGCGAAGAAATCGACAAAGAAGCCAGCGGTAAAGAAGACGAACAAGACTACGAAGACGAATAAGAAAACCCCGCCAAAGTCGAAGAGGGAGCCGACCGATCGGCTCAGTATTAAGGATTTCGAAGTCGGCGGCGAGGTCACCGTCAAGGGCGCGGGTGGCGAGGAGTGGTTTGGCGAGATTACGCGCGTGCGCGCGGCCAACGCGCTCAAGCCGATCGAGGTGAAGTGGTTCGAGAAGAATGGGAACGAGTACAACTACTGGTCCTGCCAAATGTTGGACAAGATTCAGATTCGCACCGTTTTGGAAACGCACCCAAGGGGACACTTTCCGGCTCCCGCCGGAGGACGCGCCGTATGCGAGACATGCAAGGCGAAGGGCACCACGTGCGCGGCGACCTCGGCGGCTATATGAGTACCGTACGCGATGTGTACGATCGACCACACGACTCCGAACGAATGTAAATAATCTCTATGTGGGTACGACGGACCGCCATGAAAAGTTGTAAACGCCTGTTCAGTGTACTCGCGAAACGACCAGGTGTCACAATCAGCCTCGCTCGAAATGTCCGTCGCCGCCGTGGCGTCGCGAGCGATCGCTCCCGAGCCCACGACCGCGACCGGACGCGCCAATGCGCGCGACATCGCCCCGCTCGAGGGTACCGTTCGCGAGCTCCTGGAGACTTTCTTTGACACCCAGCGTGAAAGATGCGCGGCGTACGAGCGATGGAATGCCGCGAGCGCAGCCGCGCTCGCGGGAACGTTAAGTGATGAAGCGTTCGTGAGCGCAACGACGGCGGCAACGGCGTCTATGGGTGCGCTGAGCGAGAAGGTGCGTCGGACGCGAGAGAGGAACACGCGAGACCGTCTGAACGCGATACTGACGACGACGACGACGATGAACGTGCAGATCATCGCGTGCGAGCGAGGATTGAGAAAGTTAGAGTGCGATGAGATGGCTACGATGGTGCGCATTGTGCAGATGGGCGAGCGAACTCGTTTGGAGATGACGTGTGCACTGCATGCGCTTCGGCGGGCGCGGAATCGAGGCGAGTGGTCTTGGCAGCGCTCGGACGCCAAAGTGAGGATGGATAACGTCGCGAGAGCGAGTGAAGTAAATGTTGATGAAGTATCGGGAGAGTTGAGGCCGTCATGGGCGCACGTGAGTGGTGACAACGCGTCGGCGTGCACGCGGGGCTGTGCGTGTGTGCAAGAAGCCCCCGAGCCGACACGCGAGGAGTTCGATAACGCCGTCGCGGAGGCGACGCAGGAGCTCGAGAGATCGGCGCAAGAAATTAACGACGCGGTTGAGGAGTTGCGCTACGCCCTCGAGGACGAATTGTGAGACATTGTGTTGAGCACTCGGCATTCAGAGCGCGCTACTCCACTCGGGCGCTAGTATAGTTTTGTAGACGAGGTGACGATTTTTAAGATAACTGGGTGTGTATTCGCAAAAGGGCCCTTCCTATCTACTATCGCAGACTAACGCGGCTCTTCTTCCTGGATAAAGAATTAGAGGCATGCAGTACTCAACGATTACTTGATGGAGCACTTGGCACCGCCTTCCTCGAGCTGCTTCTTAGCGGCTTCGACTTCTTCCTTCTTCTTGCCCGCGAGGATGGTGAACGGAACGTTCGTGACGGCATCCTTCGCTTCCTTCAAGCCCAAGTCGGTGAGACCACGCACAACCTTAATGATAGCAATGCGCTTGTCGGCGGCGACTTCGTCAATGACGAGGTCGAACTCAGTCTTTTCCTCGACGGCTTCGGCGGCAGCCGGGCCCGCCGCCATCACCACACCACCCGCCGGGGCGGAGGCATCAACGCCGAACACTTCTTCGATTTGCTTGACGAGCTCGGACGCTTCAAGGAGCTGCGCGCGATGTAACGAAATCGGCTGTCAGTCTTCATCTTCAGGGTTTTACTCGCAGGGCGGTGAATCGCCGCGAAATTATCCAACCACGACGCGCGGCACGATGCCCCGAGGACGCTCGCATCGACGCAAACCGCGCGAAAATAATTTCAAGTCGTGCGCACACCCCACTTTGATCACGCGCGCGCCTCCAATCGAACGCGAACGCCCACGGAGTCGACGTCGCTCGACAAGGGTCGGTAGGGTTCCCGCGCTGGAACGACCCTCTCGCGCGCGCGCACCCGCGCGAGCGCGCGAACGCACGAACGCGTCTTCACCGAATAACACGCACCGTGAGCGTCTTCATCTCTTCGATGATGGAGTCCGTCTTCGCGGAGGCGAGGACGACGCCGGCGCGCTTCGCGGCGGCCGGGCGGGAGACCTGCGTCAGCGGAAAGCCATTCGGTCAGTCTTCACGCTCGTCGTCGTCTCGCGCGCGTCTCGTCGGAGCCCGTGAGAAGAATCACGCGCGCGGTATTTTTGCCCATCGATAATCCGAGCGTCATCGCGCGCGTCGACGCGAGCGATGCGCGCACGCCGAGCGTCGAGCCGCCCCATCGCGGGTTTTAGGGCTCGACGTCGGCGCCCTCAACGCGTCGCGCCCGTGCTCGTCGCACACCGCGCGCTCGTGTTTGAGATCGAGCGAATCATATGCGTACCTTGGAGGCCTTGGAGGCGAACGCCGGGGAGGCGTTGACGCGCGCGACGGAGGCAGAGAGGGTGAAGGACATGTCTGCGTTCTGTGTTGTGACGCACGTGGAGGGCTACGTCACGGAGTCATCCGTTTTCGAGACTTTTTCGGTCGAGGGGGGGGTCGTGGTTGAGTCATTACTCGTGATGTACAAATCCAGATGAAAGTGAGCGTCGGAACGCGCCAGCGGTGGACCATCTAATCCGTCGAGGGACGATTACGAGATCAGTCGACGGCGATTTTGGGTCCATTCAATCGACGTTCGTGCGCATGCGCAGCTGGAGGGGCCTCGGTGTCGTCGTCGTCGTCGTCCTCGGCGCGCACGAGCACGACGAGCTCGAGGCGGCCACCGCCTTGAGCAGCGTGCGTTCTGGCGGTGCTTTGTCTCGCGCGGCATGCGCCGTACGCGAAGGCGATCAAACAAGCGACGACGAGTGCCGCGGTGACGCCCTTAGTGCGAGAGTTGGTACCGCTTGAGAGCGCGGGAGACGTCCTGAGCTTTTTTGGAGGGTCCAATCCCAGCCACAGGCGCTCGTAGTTTGTGCCGAGCGACTTGGTCGTCGAACCGACGTGAACGGTGAGTCCCGGACCCCAAGTATCGGTGCCCGCGTTCTTACTACTCTGCATCGCGATCACGTGCGGGACCTCGAAGTCACCGAGGTCCCACGCGTGCGTCACCGGCTCCGACGAGGGGTTGCTTGGCCAAAACACGCGCACCAGCGTCGTCGTCGGCATCGCATCGTCTCGACTCCAGCATAGAACGTAATAGCCATCCATGCCCTCCAGTGCACTACCCATCCACGCCAAACCGTACGCGTACCCGTGCTTTGACAAATCTACCGCTCGCTTGAACTTTCCTGCGTGATCGAAGAGGACGACTCGAGAATTTTCTCGATCGGCCACGGCAATCTCGGCGCGAACTTGCGAGTACGCAAGCTGATGAGCGACGCGAAACGCCGGTTCAGGCACTCCGCTCAGCTCGAAATCTCCCTCGAAGGTCCCGTTCGCGGCGAACCGTCCTATTCTATTTGGGCATTCCCCGTATCCATCGGCCACGATGAACGAGCCATCCTCTAAAACTAAAACATCGGCTGGGGCACAAAAGCCCTCGGCGCCGGAGAGCTTTTTGCCCTTCTCACCAAACGTACGCTTCAACTCGCCGGAATCTGCCGCGTACTGGAACACCTGATGCAGCGCCGTGTCGGTGACCCAGATCGAGCCATCCCTGGCGACGCGCAAGCCGTGAGGCATCACGTGCGTGTTGGCACCGAATTTCTTATCGAAGCGCCCCGTGAGCACATTCAAGCGCACGATTGCATCATCGGCGACGATTTTCGCCGCGCTCAAGTCGTCACCGGCCTCCCACACGTTTGGCCCCCGATTCGTCATCCACACGTGCTCTCCGGCCGTCGTCGCCTGAATCCCACCCACGGCTCCGAGTTGCTTCGGCCAAGCTGATACACCCGCTGATTGCGGAGCAACAACGTGCACTCGCACCGCGCTCATGTCCTCCGCGTGTTCGGGCGAGTCGCCTGACTCAACGATGAACCGTCCTCTCCCTCCGTCGTTCCTACCCAGACACGACAAGTACTGCGGTTCGTCGCTGTACACCATGACGTACATGTTACACATTTCGTGCGACGCCCCAAATCCAGCCTCGACGACTTCGCTCTCGTTCCTCGTGTCAAAGCTACACGTCACCCGTAACACATCGCCCGCGGCAACTGTCAGCTCCTTCTCTGTTTCGGACAACAACTCAAAAATCTGCGGCAGCTGCGGATCACGCTCGAATACGCGAACGGGACGATTCTCATCACCCCCTACCAATCGATCTATCCACACTTTCGTCCCACGCTCGTGCGTGTGCACTCGCACGCCGAACGCCCGGAGCTCGCGAGAGCCGTCGTACGCGCACGTCGCGCGCACCTCCGTCGACGCCTCACCCGGCGGTAGCGAGAAATAGCTCGCCCACGCGAGCACGCTCGCGCTCATTTTTGGCCGTCCCGGCGCCAAAACGATGTCTAACCCGCTCTCACCCGCATCATCCGCGCGTCGCGGATCCAAAAAGTGCACCTCGAGCACGAGCGCGCCGAACGCGCCGTCGCCCACCAAAAATCCCACATCCGCGGGCATGTGCATCGGCGGTGCCCCCTTCCCCCATCCGTACAGCAACGCCTGCGTCTTCCCATCCGCGCACACCGCGACTCTCCCACCGCTCTCGCCGAACATCCCACCCACCGCGCGTTCGATCCCGCTCGCCGCCGTCTCGCATCCGAAGAGCAACATGTGATGCACGACGTCCGTCTCCGCTCGAGGTTCAAACGCCGTCACCGTGCGCGCCTTCCCCGGGACGTCCACGGAGACGTACAGGTACGTATCGCGCGCCGTCGCTCGGCGATCGGCGACGCGCGGGCGAAGCGTCGTCGTCGCCGCCGTCGCCTCGACTCGGACGCACGCGAGCGCGAGCGCGAGCGCGACGACGCACAGCGCGCCCACGCGTAGTCCCAGGACCGCCCGCGTCGCGCGCCGACGCCGAGGACGAGGCATCGCCCCCAACCGCGCGCGCCGGGCGCGTCCCACGTCGCGCCCGGCGTCGCGCGCGCGACGAATGCCGCCGAGACGTCGCCGAGACCGCGTGGGTGTGGTCTCCACGTATTAAATCTATGTTGACCCCATTATTGACCACAGACGCGGCGTCGCGGCGTGTGCACCACGCACGGTGACAATAATGGGGTTAAAATAGCTTCAATGCGTACACGCCCCCGAACACCATCGACACATCGTCGCGATGGACGACGCGCTCGACGGCCTCGTCGACGCCGACGGCCCCCGTCGACGGCGCGAGCGTCGACGACGATCGTCGCTCGTCGCCGCGCTCGGGCTCTCGCTCGGGCTCGCGAGCGCGCTCGTGGTGGTGCGCGGCGGTGGCGTCGCGCGCGTCGATGGTGTTGGCGCGACGACCGATGGGTTCGCGGCGACGGTGGCGGCGGTGCGCGACGACGAGGGGGCGATGGATGCGCGCGCGGTCGTCCCGGTGATCCACGCGGGACGGGCGCGGATGATCGGCGAGGCGATTCGTCGGAGGGAATCGGGGGCGCCGCGCGAGACGTTTGCGGCGACGGCGACGGGCGAGCGGGCGTTCGATCGGTCCATCATGGAGTGGGTGCGCGAGGAAGAGGACGCGAGGGAGATGGTGGGGGGTGAGAACACCGTGGGTGTGGCTCGCACGGCGGCGTTGGGGTGGTCTTGGGCGTCCTTTGTGCCGACGCTCGCGCGGGCGGGCGAACGCGCGGAGGAGGAGGAGGGCGTCGACGACTCGTTGAAGGGCTTGGATGAGGACCAGTACGATGAGCAGAGCGTGGCGAAAGCGGAGGAGAACGGTGAACTCGCGCGAGCGGAGGATTCGATCGAAGGCGTGAACGCGTCGACCATCGAACCCTCTGACGAGGCGAATCCACAGCCGCAGACGAAACCGCGTCAGCGCGCTTCTCGTCGGCAGCAGCGCGCCAAACGCCGCAACCACAAACAGAAGTCAAATGAACGAGACTTGACGACACCGAAGACGACAGAGGAAGATGATGACTTCGTAAGTGAATCTCCTGCGGACGTGAGGAACACAACGCAGCAGGTTCGTCTCGGAAAGCCTCAGACGTTTCTTGAGCGACTCGCGCTCGTGATGAAATTCACGAGAGTCAAAGCACGAAAGGCGGCGCGTAAGGATACAACGCGTGTCACGACCGGTGACGAGAGTACGATGCCAAAATCAAAGCGAAAGCTGAACGTGAACGTACCGCCGTCACCGGGGCAGAGAGTGGTCAGTTCAATCGAAAAGGCGCGAAGAGATCTGTTACGAAATCCTTTCTTCGCCGCTGATTTCGGCGAACACGTGTTCGATAACCTCGAAAAGACTGATAAAGAAATCGTCAAGCCGACACTGAGTCAAGCAGCAGTGCTCAAGGGATTGGCAGCTTTTAGAACTCGATATCGAATGGGGGCTGATGACGTTAGCGAGGATGATGATGACTCGGTACTGGCGAACCTCGGTGTCGCACCGAAAACGTGCAAAATCGTGTACTTTTATCACATCCCTCGCACTGGGGGCGGGTCACTCTTGGCGCACATGGCGCAGAATGGGGTTGACATACAACGTTTTGAGCGATCCAAGTATGCGCAAGAAGGATCAGAACTCGAGATGTATCAACAGTTGGATGAAGATGAGCACTGGAAACGGGTCGTGAAAGCCGCGCTTCGTCCTGGAAGCCACGTCATCGCGCATCACGTCGGTCGTTCTGGAATCCTAGACATGGAGGTGAAGTTGCAACAGTTGCGTAAGGACGCACAGAACGCTCAATGCCAATTGAGGACGCTGACTGTTTTGAGAGAACCCACTCAGCGCGATATGAGCGCCGTCGCGCACAACTCGAACACCACAGCGAGCGTGATGGATCTCAACGGTCAGGTTCGGTTCCTTTTAGTCAACGCAGGGAACGAAAGGTCAAGAAGATGGCCAAAGGTTTTGACGAGCGAGAACGCCAACCTCCCGGATCTGCTCGGCGACGCCAAGGGCATCCTCTCCAGGAATTTCGACTGGATGTTCGCTCAGAGCGATTTACCGAGCGTCAGACGGCAGATCGACAGGTTTTACTCCATCCAATCACCACCGGGTCGCACGTTTACGGATAACCTCGACTCGACTCTGGAGATGACGCACGTGCACCAAAGTGATTACGACGTCGCGAGCGCCGATGGTCTCGGCGCCGTCCGCCACAAACACGACACCGCGCAAGAGTCCGGCTGGCTCGACGACAAGCTCTATCGCTGGGTTCACGACGGCGCGCGTTCGGGGTAGGTCCATCCTAGCATCACAGCCATGTAACGCGGTAGTCCGCGACGCCTCGCGCGTCGCCGAGCAACCACCGCGTCCTCGAACACGACGCCTCCGCAGAGCCCGCCGCGCGCGCGCGCCTCGACCGCGCCCGCGCCCGCGCCTCGACCGCGCGCGAGATGCGCTCGACGCGATCACACCCGAGCGCGCCCGCGTCCGTCGCGCGTCGTCGCGCGTCGAGCACGTCGACGGGCGCGAACCGGCGGCGGCGCGCACGCAGAATCCCGCGCGGCTTCGACGACATCGACGCCGTCGCCGAGGACGTCTCCGTGGACGACTACGCGACGTGGCGACACGAAAATCCAAAGCGGGCGAGCGCGTGGGAGGCGTACGCGGACGCGCGACCGGAGGGTGGGTCGTACTCGGTCGGGAAGAAGCCGCTGGATGAACAGTTTTTGAGCGAACTCATGCTCGCGTTGCTCAGAAATCATCGCCGAGGGGTGCGGGCGGAGGTGATCTTGCAAAAGGTCCGATCGAACATGGAGCTTGATGGGTACAAGAGCGTCCTGGTCGGGATCGGGCGGATGGAGCAGTGGGAGCTGGCGAGAGAGGTCATCGATTTCGTCAAGGCAGAGGGACGCGAGCGAGCGGATGAGGTGTTGACGAGTAATTGGTTCATGGCGCTCGCAACGAGACGGTTGGAGGAGGAGGCGTATGACGCGACGTGTGATGTATTCGATTACATGCGCGAATTCGGGTCGAAACCGTCGGGGGAGACGATCGAGGTCTTCGCGAGGTTGACGGTGCGTGTTGCTTTTGTTCTGCCCCCGAGCGCACCGCGAAGCGAGTCGTCAAGGATTATACACCTTCAAAAACACCATCTTTCGGATCTGAAAGTCATTGAAGAGAAACGAATACCATTGAATGAGACGACGGTAGCTTTGTGGCGAGAGTGAAGACATGTAGAACGAGCGAACTGACCACGCCTTTTTTTACAACGAATGCAGGACGCTGAACCGTACATGACACAGGCGCAGCGGGATAAAGTGCGAGAAATCGCGGGATGGCTTTCCGAAAGCGATGCAGGTAAAGCGCTTTGGCACGTCCATTTCGGTAATCCCGCGGAAGAGTTTCAGCCCGGCGCTCCTGGAGCGCTTACCCCAAACCGCACAATCAGCGTGGCCCTGGAGTCCGGGGACATCGACCTCTACGGCGACATCGACAAGCTTCGGGACAAATTGAAAGATTTTTACTAATAACGTTTTGTACCTTTAATGAATGTTGTATTAACAATTCGAACGATCTAGTGTCCGTCCGAGCCGCGCAACAAAGATTCGACAACCTCGGAGAGTGTCGGGTGCGCGTGCACGGTGAACTTCAAGTCGTCGAGCTTGGAACCCATCGAGATTGCGTTTGACGCCTCGTGAATCAAGTCCGCCGCGTGCAAACCAAAGATCCACATACCCAAAATTTCACCCGTCTTCGGGTTGTAGATGAGCTTGGCCATACCGTCGCCTTCCTTCTCAGCGAGCGCCTTGGAGTTGCCCTTAAATGCTGTCTTGCGGACGGCGACCTCGAAGCCTTCCTTCTCACCCTTTTCGCGAGCTTGTTCCTCCGTCAACCCGACGAAAGAGACTTCAGGGTGCGTGAAGCACGCAGCCGGAACAGAGAGATGGTTGAGTTCGTTCTCGTTGCCGCACATGTTCTCGATCGCACTAATACCTTGAGCGCTTGCAGCGTGCGCCAACATCATCTTACCGTTGGCGTCACCAATGCACCACATACCCTCAACAACCTTGCCATCCTTGTCCAAAACTTGCATCTTCGCGTTGACCGGGATGAAACCACGCTGAAGCTCGACGCCGATGGCTTCGGTGTTCAAGCCCTGGGTGTACGGTGAGCGGCCAGTGGCAACGAGAACCGCATCGACTTCCATGGTGTCGACGACTTCCTTTGTCTTGAAGTCGGTGAGTTCGATGGTGACCGGCTTTTTGCCCGGAATGCCCGGCGTGACCTTGGTCGCCAAAACGTTGGTGACGTAGTCGATGTTACGCGGGCTGATCAACACACGCTCGGCCATCTTGGCAATCTCTTTGTCGAAGCCCGGCATGATGTTTGGCATGGCTTCAATGAAGGTGACGTCAGAGCCAAGCGCCGTATACACGTCGGAAAACTCCAAACCGATGTACCCGGAGCCAATGATGGCAACCCATTCCGGAACCCAATCGAGCTTCAAGCCAGCGTCCGAGGTAAACACGGTCTTGTGATCAACCTCGATTCCCGGCGGCACGAACGGCGTCGAGCCGGTGGCGATGATGATGTTCTTCGCCGTGACCTTACCACCGGTGACCGTGCCTGGCGCACCGTACGAAACCGTGTGGTTATCTTCAATCTTCGCCGCCCCGGTGATGATGTCCACACCGAGACCGGTGAGAGAGCGCTCCAAGTTACCTCGAATGGTCGCCGCCAAGTTTTCGGCGTGATCCGCGATCCCTTGCCGATCGTACGTCACCGCTCCCGGCTGCACGGTAATCCCGAGCGCCTTCAAGTGTTCGGCGTTACGCATCTCCCGCACGCGTCCTGACGCCGCGAGTAGCGCCTTCGACGGCACGCACCCACGGTTCACGCACGTCCCGCCGATCACGTCGCCCTCCATGATGGCCGTCTTCAAACCTCTCGACACCGCGTGCATCGCCGCCCCGTGTCCACCAACACCGGCACCGATAATGAGCAAGTCATAATCGTACCCGGCCGCGCGCGTCACCATCGCCTTGCGTCCACCAGAGCGTGCACGAACGTCGCTGCGAGCCGATGAAAACCAAACGTTCGCGGTCAGTCGTGGTCAAAAAAGTCAAAGATCTCCATCGCCAGAGATCCGTTTCTCTTCGTTCTCGGCCTCGAACCGCGCGAGCCGAACGTACCTCTTACGCGCGCGCGCCCGGAGGGCAACCTGCGGCTTCGTCGCGGCGAACATGTCTCCGAACCGACGCGTTGTGACGCCGTGGACAAACCTCGGCTCGGTTTGGATAACCCGATTTCGAGGGGCTCGTCGGCGATTCACGATTCAACGAAGTGACCGACATATAACAATGTTTCCAAACACTGTGGAAATCAAATTGATCGTTTTCGAGGGCTCGCCGGCGAGCTGTTTCGCTCGGCGTCGTCACGTTCGCGTCGTCACACGCGCGCGCGAGCGTTCACGCGTCGTCGACGATCGCGCACGCGCGCGGGAGAATTTCTCTTCACGTCGTCGTCGCCGCGTACGCGAGAAACGTCGAGCGAGAGAGCCCGAAGACGACCCGTCTCGAGTCGTCGCTGTGCATTCAAACGTTCAAACCGTCATGAGCGGACAGTCGCCCACGGGAAGCGGGATCTCCGCCGATCGCTGGTTGTCCAAGGCGTTCGGTGAGGCGAGCGTTCGCGTCGATCGACCGCGTTCAGCGGCGGGTGGGGATCGAGAGCGAGACGAGGAGGTGCGTTGGAAACGATGTTGATGTCGGTCGCGACGCGGTGGTTTTTAAACGGTCACTTTCGCGAACTTTCACCAACTTTGTTCGTGATTGGCGACGAAGAGCGCGATGACTGACGAGATCGATCGGTTCGGATTATGCAGGATGATTACTCGTCGCGGTTCGAACAGCGTGCGCGGGAGCTGTCGCGCGAGTCCGGCGAAAAGCCGGCGTACTGGGCGCACGGACGCGTGGACTCGAGCTACGATGGAGGCGGCGCGCAGCCGTTCTTCAACAAGGCAAACGAGCGCCTTTACGAGGCGTATTCGCAGTTGCACACGATGGCGCAAGAGTTCGATAAGCCGTTCGACTCGCCGGCGATTCTCGTTGTCGGTCACCAGACGGACGGGAAGTCGGCCCTCGTTGAGGCGCTCATGGGGTTCCAGTTCAACCACGTCGGCGGAGGTACGAAGACGAGGCGACCGATCGCGATTAACATGAAGTACAACCCCACGGCTGTGGAGCCGAGGTGCTTTTTGATCAAGGACGACAACCTTGGTCGCGAAGAGGAGCTTTCTCTACCGGAGCTTCAGGCGCACATCGAGGGCGAAAACAGGCGCTTGGAGCACGAAAACGGCTTCTGGGCAAAGGACATCGTGGTCAAGATCGAGTATAAGTACTGCCCGAACCTCACCATCATCGACACTCCTGGTTTAATTTCTGCTGCTCCGGGAAGAAAGTTTGCGTCTCTGCAGCAATCGTCGCGCCTGGTGGAGGATTTGGTGAGAAGCAAGATGAGTCAGCGAGACTACATCATTCTGTGTCTGGAAGACAACTCAGACTGGTCCAACGCGACGACGCGGCGCCTGGTGCTTGAAGCGGATCCGGATCTTCGACGTACGGTGATGGTTAGCACGAAATTCGACACTCGTATCCCGCAATTCTCTCGCGCGGAGGACGTCGAGATGTTCATGCACCCACCCACGCGTCTCCTCGCGGGAACTGTCTTAGGTGGCGGTCCGTTCTTCACCTCCGTGCCCTCCGGCAGAGTCGGTCTTCACAGAGATTCTCAGTACCGCTCGAACGAACACTATCGTGAGGCGGTGCTTGGACGAGAGCAAAAGGACATTGTTGACCTGGAGCGCCGTATGGATCGTCAACTAGGCTCACAAGAACGGAGCCGAGTCGGCGTGAGCCAACTTCGATTCTTCCTCGAGCGTTTGTTGCAGCAGCGTTACCTGGAGAACGTTCCGACGATTGTTCCGGTGCTTGAACGAGAACACAGAATTGCGACGAGCAAGTTATCCGAGACCGTTCAAGAGCTCAAAGACCTGAACAAAGAACATCTCAGAGAAAAGGGCCGAGCGTTCTACCAGCACTTCCTTGAAAAGATCCCAGAAATCGTTCGTGGTACGCTCGCCGCGCCGACGCGCATCTTTGGCGAGACGCTTTCGCACGAACACATTCGAGGTGGTGCATTCGTGAACGCTGATGGGCGTCCGTGTATGCCGATGCAAACGGTTCCCAACGCAGAGATGCGTCTCTTTGGTGGCGCGCAATACCACCGTGCGCTCGAAGAGTTCCGACTCATAGTGAACTCAGTGGAATGCCCGCCAGTCAGCCGAGAAGACATCGTGAACTCGTGCGGCGTCGATGAAATTCACAATGGCGTCAACTACACGCGCACTGCGTGCGTCATCGCCATCGCTCGTGCTCGCGAGACGTTTGAGCCGTTTGTTCACCAGCTCGGGTTCCGTCTTTCCCACATCGCACGAAGATTGCTGCCTGTGGCCATGTACCTCTTGCAAAAGGAGGGTCGCATCTTAAACGGCCACGAAGCTTTCTTGAAGAAAATTGGCTCCACCTTCGGTCGATTCGTAGACGAGCGCGTGAAGGATTGCCAAGAAAAGTGCCACGCTGACTTGAAGTCAACCACACAGTTCGTCACGTGGTCGCTTCACTCCGGGAACAAAGAGGGCTTGAGAAGCGTCCTTTCTCCGCACGAGAACGATCATCATGATTCTAGAGAAGAAAAGCGACGCAGTGGTGGCGAGCTTGTCCCAACGGAGAAGAGTCTCAAGGCGTGCAAGCTCACAGACTTGGTTGAGAACACATTGTGGAATAGAACAATGAAGTCGGTCACGGTTGACATTGTTGACATGCTTGTTCGCCAAATCTTCCACGGCATCCGCGCACATATCGTGCAGGCTGTCGAACTGAAGTTCAACTGCTTCTTCTTAATGCCACTGATCAATGACTTCAACTCGTTCTTGCGTAACGAAATGGAGGACGCTTTCGATATCAGCCTCGACTCTGTCTTCGATGTCAAGAGTGTGCGAGTTGCCCTCGAGCAGCGCCGACACAAGCTCGAGAGCGAGCTGGAGCAAATGGAGCGTATTCAATCTAAGTTTGCGTCGATTCACTCTCAGCTCGAGAGTTCAAACGCGACTGCGCCGGCCACCACGGCCGCTGCAACGGCGGCTGTTACGGGCACTACCTTCCACAGCGCCGCGGCTCGTGAAATTGCCGCGGCGGATGAAATCCTTCGAGCGAGCCATGACCTGAGCGAGGGTATTGCCGAAGCCAAGGCGCAATTCGCGCACCAAAACCAGTCCCCGCGAACGATGCGAGGATCCAAGGCGTACGAAACGTCGCCGGGCCGATCCGCAGTGGGTAGGAGCCGCGACCGAGCACCTTTGTCGCCGATGGGGTGGAACATGTGAGGCGAAATCAATATTTATCAAGATCGGCGATTAGAGAGACTAATAAGAGGTTGTAAAGTAGTGCGCAGTCTTCTGTACTGTTTATTTGACAACGTTTGTGCGTCGCGTTTACTAAATGAGCGATCCTATGCCCGGCGGCGCAGAGGATCCGCTGGAAGTGCCAGGTCGTGGTGGAGGTTGATACCGTCTGTCATCGAAGCTGTCGCTCGAAATTCCAGTGCCACCGTATGTTGTCTGTACCACAGGTGCGGATGGTCTGTACTTGACTACTTGGTCCGCACTAAGCTGGCCTCTTTTGATATCCCACAAATCTCGAGCCGGTGGCGGGTTGTGTCCAATAGTGACGTGCAAGAGCCCGAGTGAGTTCACGAGCCAGATACTCGCGGGTCGTCCACCACTACCCTCGTTCGACCACACGAACTGAGGCTCAACGGATGGCTTCACCGCCCACTGCTCCGGTAGGCACCTGATACTCGAAAGGTCCGGTGGCTGAGGTTTCCTTGTCAGAGCCATCCCCACCGCCACGAATCCTGGTGGTGGAACGGGAGACCAAGCATACAGCGAGGTTGCTTTCCACTCCTGTCCCCAAATTTGTCTGAACCGCACCGGATAGGCAAACATGCGCTCAAGAACACGCGGCATGTAGGCAGAACCGGTCAAAGCATAGGCATTGATATCTGTGATTTCCACCACGAACGGAGCCGGTTTCGGCTGAGAGAAATGCGGCGACGCGTAATGCCCGAGCGACACGCGTTCAACCTTTTTCTTCAGCGTCGATTTTCCCAAAGACGCCGCCCATACGCTTCCTTTCGTGCGAGTCGCAGTACCATCGCTGGTCCAGACTTTATCGAACGATTTTTGGTGAACCACGGTGACTTGGAATCCGTTCAACACAGAATTTGTCAACTTTGAATCCACTTGTCTATTTTTCTGCGTCTCCGCTTCCCTGGCGGGATCCACAATTGCGCGTGCTTGTATTTTTTCGCGCGCGGGAGCAGCAATGGCGCCAGTCGAAGTGTCAAGCTGAATCATGTCGCCCCCATCCCAACCATCGGAGGTGTTATTGGCCTTGCCACTCGCCCCCAACGGGTCGTTCAGTGATCCTCCTCCCACAATGTCGCCTGAACCTCCCGATAGCCAGTCTTCAAATGCAGACGAAGATACGCCCGTCGGCGGACCGAGACCGAAAGGATCATTTGCGCTCGGTTTCGGCGCGGCGGATAAGAACTGCGGCTTCTTTTTCTCCACGTTTGGTAACGTCGCCGCCATTCCGAAAGTTCCCCAATCGCCGAGACCCGTGCCGTCGTCTATGCTCATATTTTCCGTGCTCACCACCCTCATTTGCGTTTCTTCTGGGGCCTTGCCCGAAGACGAGGACGCGTGACTGCCCGAGGCACTGCCAACATCACCGAGAATGTCCATCAAGCTCACTTCTCCAAGCTTTGGCGTCGTCACTTGCACAGAGGCAGGTGCTGGCGTCCATTTCGAGGCAGCCGGCGCGGGTAATTCAGTTCGCATTTTGATAGTCTCGATCGTAGAATCGCCATCCAAAATCCAGTCTTCGTCAGGACCGAACGCTTCCTCAAACTCCTCACGAGAAATGTATCCATCCTTCGTCTTGTCAACACGATGTGCAAGTTCGAGCATTTGCGCGGACGTGAGAGAAAGTCCGAGCCATGACAAACCGCCGTAAAGTGCTTCGTATGTCAGTCTCCCGATGTGCTCGCCATCGAAGGCTCTGAATGCGTCCAGCAGACGCATCCGTTTTGCCTTGAGAGCCATGCGCACACGTGCGACAAGTGCGCGCGTAGCGAGCAGATGGAACTCGTCCGGGGTCGTCAAGACCTTCGCGAGTGGAGTTGATGCCCACGGAATCTTGGCGCGCCGTCTACAAGCGCGCACAGACTCAAAGAATGCTGCACGCATTTCGCAATCGGAACCTTGCAATGCTCGAACGAGCAAAGAAATTTCACGATCTTCAAAATCAGTCTGACTATCCAAAAATCTGAAACACTGTTCAGCTGTTGCGCCCTGGAAGACTTGAGCGGGTGTGTAACCAGCCGTCGTGTCGAGCAGCGTCCCTCCACCGATGCGCAAACCAGTTTCAGCGAGTTTTGACGGCACGAGTCTTCCATCGTGCGAATTCTTTTTCGTGAGGTGCATGACTACGCGAAGCGACTCTGCCTCGGCAAGAGAGAGCGCAACGTAATGTCGCCCACGCTGCAAAGAGTAAATATTCTTTGAACGTAGCACGCGCTTCAACTCTTCGAACGATGTCCCGGTGGAAGACATGCCAGTCTGGAAAGTTCTCGACTCCTCAGCTACTTCTCGCGCCATCTGCTGAAGCTTTAACTCATCATCTTCCACGCATGCGTCGATCTCACGCAAAACCTCCTTCAGGTCTGATTCTTGCAGGCGACCGTTCCCTGAGGTGTCAAACATCTCGAATGCGGTGCGCAGCGCAGATTCCTGAGCGACTGTGAACGTGTTACCGGCACTAGCGTTCGTATCGATCGCCAACGCGCTCGAATCTGGCACCCAGTCGAGCACGATTGTAAGATTCTTTAATCGGCGATGACCATTGAGAGCCCATCCTTCGCGGAAATAGTTCTTTGACAGGAACAAGTATCCAGGGAAGTCTAACGGCGCCGTCGTTTTACCCACGCCCTTATGAACCTTGAACGTCTTTAGAGGATAGAATCCCTGCGTACGCGCGCTCGGCGCATCACACAGGGTTTCGTAATCCCACGAAAGCTGTCGTTCATCGTCTCGCAAAAACTTCATTGGTTCTGGCGTCTCCTCGATGATCTCTTCTTCACGTTCTTCCTCTTTCTCTTGTTCCTGCTCCTGTTCGTTTTCTTGTTCTTCTTCGTTCTCTTGAACTTGCTCGAGATCGAGGGCCTGCTCCAAGGCGCCGACCAAACCTTGATCTCCAGATTCTGCAGCCCCTTGCGTCATATATGTGCCGGCTCGAATCTGTCGCAACGCCGCATTTGTAGTCTGCTCCATTTGCGTCAAGTCATCCACAATGGCTTTCAGTTGTTCCTTCGCACGAGGATTGTCATCAAGCATGTGCAAATATTGCTGCACAGACAAAGCTAACTTCTCCGAGGGAGACGTGCTTGTGGGGATGATGTTCGCAACAACATACGAAACTCGCTCTCGGAAGACATCCAAGCACGCATGAATGATCCCCTCCGCCTTAGCGGTACCTGGGGCTGTTGGCGCCGCGATGAGCTTTCTGTACGAGTGCTTGCGCCAAATGTTTGCCGCGCGCTGCTCCGCAAGTAGCCCAGCTTGGATGTTCTCGCTTCGCATGCTGTTCACGACCAACCACGCTGTGATGTCCCGAAGCGTGCGCTTCACGGCATCATCAGCTGACATGGTAGTGGTCTCCGCATCTCTCGTCGATGCAATCTGCCCACCTCCCTTGGCTACCTCGTGAGATATCAGCCTTGCAACCTCGGGAATCATGATCACCTTCAAGGTTTGACCACGTCCCAAGCCGCGCATGCGCCAAGCCCCCTGCGCGTAGTCCCGCAGAATCATATCTTTACCGAGAGTAATCGCCGCTTGCGCCGCGGCAGCTTGTTTGATATCCATACCAGTGGTGTGTACTTGATCGTAGAACGTGAAGCGTTTGGACATGGGCATCGCGGCGACGCGCTGGAGCGGTATAACTTCCCAACCACGACGCATGACAATCATCTGCCGGTCATTTTCGTCGAGAAAGACACAGCCCTCCGCCCACTTGAGACCCTTCTCGAGCAAGAATCGAGCGACATCAAGATTCGACATGCCCGTCACAAGCGCACCGGTATCGATGAGCGCCCGTATGGGAGGATCCGCCGACGCGACACTCGTCAGTAGAGCGCTCACGTTCCAGTCGCTTCCCATGGGCATTATCGTGACCGTCTCAGGATCTGTTAAGTAGGCGACCATTTTTGCATCGGAGCCGGGCTCGTATCGTGGAGCGCCAAGTTCAAGTGGGAGAAGGTCACTGGGAGTGCCACTGAATCCGAGCCTGTTCGGGAACAGAATATTCCCACCGAGCTCTTGGCCCGTCGCGCTGAGTTTGAGATTCTGATGCTGCGCGGTTTCCGGGAAGACGAACGTGTTCAGGTAGTACTCTACGCATGGCGGCGTGTTGCGAAGAAGCTGGTAAAGCTCCTCAATCTGATCGTGATCCCTCACGTCAATGAGCGATAACGGCCAAATTTCATCGTCCTGCAGCCCTTGGATCGTGTCATCATCCAACCAGGCAATCCCACGGATGTCACCGGCGGCTGTCGCGCTCGCCTGCTGTGTCACACCTCGACGCCTGGCATTAAGCGCCGCTTCTGCGCGAGCTTCGCCTCTGACACGCTTACCGGTTGTTCTAATCCAATCGGCCCATCTACGAGAAGAAGGACGTTTGTGCGGCGGATCAGATTCGTTGTCGTACTCCTTCATCAGCACAAGAAGCATCTGCTTGAAATCTGTGCGTCGCAATCCCTCAAGACGATATGCACACGTCGTCAGACCAAGAACAACGTCTGGATGCGAGAACTCGTTCGTTCTGCTGGGAATATCTTTACCGATGAACGGAACAGCTAGAAGCCTACGACTCTTTGGCAGCCTGGATCCAGTGATGGCCTCCAGTAAGGTCACATCGGCTGGCTGTAACAAACCAAATGTGACGCGATTGACCTTCGTCAGGATATGAGGTAACAGAGAGCAGAGCCAGTCACGAGCGAGATTGGTCATCTTGATCGCCTCATCATCACTCGTTCGGTTCAGAGCTACCTTGGCTTCCGCTTGTCCGGAACCGCACAAAAGGTACGCCATCACGAGAGCCTCCGACATGCCGCGCAAAGCGCCATGTGCTCGAAGCCAGATACTCGTCCACTGAGCCAAAAGTGGGCGAAGAACATCTTGATACCACGATTTATCAAGAAGCGTGAGATGCGGCGACGTTTGCACCTGTTTCGACGCGATAGCACCGCGCACCACTTCACGAATGCTATCCAATAGGTCCAATGCCTCTTGCGAACCCTCCGCTTCAGATACAGTCGAGCGTCCGTACGCGACTGCGAACACGGCGTCGAGGATGAAGTACGGCAGTTTCCAGCGCAGGCCATCGCCCGCGATGGCGGTGCTGAAATCGAGTGGAACGCGTCGTCCCATGGGCCAATTGAGCTCGGACTTTAACGGATGGAGGATCAAGTCCACTTCGTCGAGAATGAGCGTCCCCGTTTGGAAAATCTCAAAGATCTCCACAGCCGCAAGCGCCTCAGAGCGCAACGTATTCATTTCTTCAATAGTCAAGCCACCAGCATCCGCGACGCGCTCACTTCGGCTCTTCGAGCCAAATACACGATTCACGATATCCTGACCTTGTGCGAGTATACCTCCAGCCTTACCGTCGCGATCAGCGATGTATGATTGATCAAGCAGGTGGCACACTTCCAAGAATTTCAGCGCTAAAGATTTGATGCTTGTCGGTGACGCGATGACAATCGCCCGGTTTTCCTTAGCTTTACGCAGAGTCGAAAGTATGGCACCATCCGCGAGTGATGTGTACCTATTGAACTCCAACGTGACCACGGAACGTCTGATGACGCCAGAGTAGGCCTTCCTCAGAGTGCTGCGTGAAAATTCAAGAAGAGCGTGAGGCACGACTTGCACAACAAGAGAACTACTCTTGGCGAGAATGAATCCAAGCAAAGGACATACAACCGTCGTTTTACCCTCACCCATGAGCATTTGCGCGCACTGACCACCGCCTTGCTCAGCAGTCGCGATGAAATCTCGAGTGAGCTCGACTTGGCGCTTCCTGAGAACGATGCTCTGACTGTACTCGTAAACGAGCAAACGGGGATCAAACATCAGAGTCTTTACCTTGTTGAACGGATTGGCGTCATCTGCTTGGAAGTAGTGTCGCTCAACAGAGAGTAACTCCGCGATCGCGAATGCCCTGAGCCGCAAGTCGCGATCCACAGAGTCAATACCATCGACCGCGGCAGCCTTCGCGCAGTTCGTCAGCGCTATGAGCGTGTCTGCTACCATGGCTGCAGCTCTCGAAGCGAGAGTCGCGCGCAGTGTAAGTAATAACGCTTGCGAAGCCAAATGTAAAGCATCAGTAATCTGTTTAGCCTTGACGTCCGGAGACAATCTTGCAAGGATGTGCTCCCCCCCTTCACACGTCAAACACTCAACCAAGTCTTCAAACGTGACTTCCGCCCATGCGCCCGCTCTTCGCTGCAAACCCAACCGCAACATCTTCGTTCCAGACTCCGCATCTTTACGCAATCCATTTGCAGTGGCTAGAGCAGCTGACATTGCCTCCGATGCAGCTGCCTTGTCGTTAGCGGTCAGAAGACGAATCGCCTCGAGCAGTTCCCGAAGGACGGTGCGGGCGTTGCCAGCCGCACTTCCTGCTCTCCCTGCGCCAGCCTCAGAGGCGATCGCAGCCGTATCGCTCGGTGCGAATCCCTTCAAAGTAACCGCACTAAATTCCCCAGTTGCTTTGCGATCTTTCGCTTTTTCTGCCGCACCTGTCACATCCGCGCGCAAACGGTTCATCATTTGCCTGGCCACCGAAGTGGTGGCTGCCGGATGCTGATTCACGTCGAAAGGCAAGCCCCCCACTCCACCGAGTGCGGCAGCCTCGGCAAGTTCATCGGCTCTATCCTCCGTCAAAGGAATCACGTACTTGTTGAGATCCAGCACACCAAGCGGTCGTTTTACGAGCATTGTCATATCAACGTGTTGAAGCGTCTTTCCGTTCCACACCGTTGCACCGGCCATTTCCGTTTGACCCAGTGGTTGCACATGAAACTGACGCTCTGAACACGATGTGTTCATAAAACGCGTGAGCGCCCAACGACCACCAGTTGCAATCGTACGCGCCCACGTCTGCGCATCGCACTCGAAAATGCTTGCCGGAACGTATTCCTTACCGATCCAGGTGATTCGAGGAGGAAGTTCATCCTTCCTTTGTTGCAAGTATGGCCGAACTTTGCGAAGTAGTTGTCCAATCGCGCCGTCTGAGGTAAACATAGCACTGAACCGTTGGCCAACGCTTTGTTCCTCCATTCTCGGACAGTCACGAGCGATTTCAGGCGATGACGAGAGCATGCGGAGTGTGCTCATCAAGGTCCCTTGCTTCATGGATTGCTCGATCGGCACGAAACGAAGCAGAACGCAACCCCATCGGTGTGGGGAATCGCTGGGAAGAATTCTCATGGGTAACGTACCGGTCAGAAGCTCAAAGAACAATGGGAAGCCCAAATTACCATCAAGATTGAATTTTTCCTTATCAATCCATTTTCCGATCAAAGCGAGCGCTTGACTCCCATTGACACTCACATCGTCAGGACGATTATAGGTCTGAATCAAACCAGCCAGTTTTCCAAGGGGTCCTTCTCCCGTGACTTTTTCGGACAATCCCGTCAAGTCATCGACGGTGTCGAACTTGCTAAACTCAGGCAAGGTGGGAAACACCAGGGGGAATCCGGTGCTCGTCGGCGATGACCCCGCGCTCATACGCGCAATGCCTCCAACGAGCTGTCTCAAGTATCCCGCACGATTCAACAACTCTGGCGTCTTCAAAGGATCCATGTTCATCTCTTGCGCCGTAATCTTTCTGGACCCTGGAAATAATGCGCTTAACATCGCCTTGAATTTAGACCGCTTTGTCTTCTTCATGGATTCTGTGCCTAAGTTTTCTATCGCGGCCAACTCCTCCTGTGCCGTGAGGCGGCACTTGGCGCTGATAAAAGACCAAGCGTTGACGTAAGATAGAACATCGACAACAGATGGCCACTTCGCCGCAAGTCGAGGCTCAATTGGCGTATCTTTCACCATCAAGGCGAGCTTGACTCGAACCGCCGTCGCGTCCGGACTTGGATCTAATGAGCACGCATGTGCGAGCGCATCCCAAAGCTGCGCTTCTTCCGGACTGGGTTGCGCTTCGGAAACACACAACTCGGCCAAGCGCAAAACCGTGACATAATCTCTACCAATGAATCGTAGGATAGCGAGATACAACGCCGCTGGCATTGACGTAGCGCAGATCGTCGTGTGCGATGCATGCACCGGGTAGACATAGTGCTTCGTTTCACCGAGATTCTCCACCCACTGAGTGCTCCAACGATCGATGATGAGGTCAGATCCAAGTCCAGTGCTTGCACCCTCAACGAATTCCGTCGGCGTGGCCGCCGGGCGTGGGATAGCTCTCGCCGAGAGGAGTACAGAGAGCGACCCGTCGCGAGCTTCGAGTAGAAGCGCATGCGGCAGACCAGTGAGAAGTATCTCGAGTGCAGCGTTTCTTCGCTGTGCCAAAAATAATCCGGCGTGCTCCTCGCACTCGAGACGAATGGATCCACCTGTTGGGATGGCATTGAACGAAATGCCAAGTCTAGGCAGTTCAATGCGAGAGATATCGCAGAACGCAGGAACCTGTTCGGTAGGGCCGTTTTCAAGGCCACGTTTCGACGACCATACGAGCGAGTTCGCCAAACCTTCTACCGCTGCGAGGGATTTAGTCAGAGTCATCAACGACTGACCTTGTTCGCCAGCAATCGCGGGTCCGTAAAGCAAATCAACCAACGTCAGTTGTCCTTCTACGTACGATCCATCGAGTGCAGGCATTCGCGGACTACCGTTCGTATCCACTGTGGGAAGCCTTCTGACAATAGCTCGAGCGTCGACGACATGTCCATTGTCGTACAGCGCATTTTCAGCATATGCCAAACGAACATGGATCATGGTGTTCGGGTGTGGCACATTTTCGTTCGCCGTGCCGAACAGATCCCCGCTCGTCTCGCTTCGCCAGAATTGATACTGATCCAACAGCACTTGCGGAAGTAGCCCACGCAAATGCCTCATCGGTACAAACGATTCACGACCAATCAATCCGTTGATGAGACGAGTTACTACGAGACTCGGTGCTCGCGATCCCAGACGCGCCGCGGAAAGCAAGAAACGCTCATTTTCATCAGTTAGAATAGGCTGCCCATCAGGATCGATATCTGCAAGACAGAAGGACGCGTTCGACGCGAACACGAGCGACCGTCTCCATTGTCGACCATACGACTCAACTCGGAAGACCTGCACAAGCGGTGGCTGGCGCACAACGACAACTTCTGTCAGGAGCTGCTTCGCGTCTTCCATCCGGCGATCGTCGCCGGTGGTTATGGCAGGTTTCTTCTTCCAGAAACTCCATGGCTCGCTCACGGTGTTCTCCGGAGCACCAGTGCCTGCCAACCGAGCGACGGGGCCACGAATGGTGTGTTTTGGCAACAAAAGCTCAACACCATGAAGATATCCAGCTCCCGGACCCTTGATGATGGGATTGAGTAACGCTAATATCCACTCTTCGCACGGATCGAGACCGCCGGCACCAACGGCGCGACCGAGCAAATCCAGTGCCTGCACGTTGACTTTCACTTTTGACGTCATGGGTCGGGTGAAATCGTTCACTGGCGGACGGAGATCTTGGTCCCACACTTGAACATCGTGGCTGAGCCCGACGAGTCTCATCCATATGCGATGCTCTGTGCTTTTCACTTCGGCACAGTGAATGACATCTCCCGAATCGCCGCTAGTATGCTCTCCCTTGCTCAACTCTTGGAAGTGAGATGTTTCGATACCACGCTTTGATAGCACGGGTCCGAGGGCCGCCTGGAAGTCGGGCATTTCACGTATACTCGCTTCAAGATGTCTTAGTCTGTTCTTTCGAACGGTAAACTCGCCTAGCTGCGTGTTAATCTCCATGTCAAAAGTCTGCAGCGTCGTTTCTAATAGCCATTCACCGTAATGCTTATGATTCCTAAGTATAAGTTGCGCGTTCTGTTTGTCTCTAGCCGCAATTTCGGCGAACGAAATGTCTGAGACGTAGCTGACGAAACGGCCGGCACCTCCTGTTCCCGGAGCACGTCTCCACGCGCGCTTGGAATCAAACGCATCGGCCACATCGAGAACATTCTTTGGCGAATCGGAACCACCCGACTTCTTCGTCGTTAACGCCTTCACGACGTGCTCAAGAACGCTGTTTGCATCCTGTGGGTTCGCCGCCGCCCACTCGAGGACGGATCGCCGCTTTCTTTGGAACAAATCGAATATTTCTGTCGGTGTGAAACCAAGGCCAGTATCAACTCCGCTCATGTCACTATTCTCTGCCAGCTTTCTACTTGTCGTCTCACTTCCGTCCGGCGTGTCCACGAATTGATAGTTCACAAAAATATACTGCTGTGCGGTGAGAATGGTACTCGCCGCCTGCTTGTCAATTTCACATTTTGGAGTCCAGTAGTACATGTACGCGAGATGCGCATGAAGCGCGCACGCTGGACGAACCGCGTTCTTCTTGACGGCATGACGCAGCCATCTACGGAGTACCGGACGACAACGCTCGAACAACGCCTTCTTGATGCGAGTCTTGATTTCCGTTAGACTAACGAGCGATTCTTTAGAGCATTCTAGGCCTCTAGTGAAACCGGTCGACGTAGTGAACTCCGGGTCAAGGGAATTTGCCCGGAATATGACTTCGATGAAAGCCATCAATCTGGTGAGCATTCTGCAAGCGAACAACACACCCTGCGCGCTCGGCGCGTCGTGGCGACCCGTGTCGAGCTCTAAACTCAACGCTAATAATTCCTCCGCACTGTCAGCAAGAGGTCCCGGACAATTTATGAGCTCGTGTATGAGTAAACCAGATGGCGTCGCCATGTGCGCACGTGTCGGAGCAGGAATTTCCTTTGGCACATCAGCGCGCTCGGGAGGTGCCCAAGGTCCAGGCTCGAACGTCACGGCATCTAAAATACTCTGTATATCCTTGTGTGTCAACCCGCGCACGCGGGTGGGATCGGAAAACAGCTTCATGGTGAGCGGCAGACGGATCATTGGAGCGGTGAGATACGTGAGGAGAAGCTCTGATTCGCTCGGTTTGAGTAAATTCTCAAACGTCGGAACATCACGCAGATGCAGGACATCCTCTTCGGTATCGATTCGTGTTCCCGCGAGGTTGCTCGGATTCGCACCCGAGGGCGGACAGCGCGGTCGGCGATCTCGCATCTTCGCTAAGAAGCCACCACCCAAAATATTTCGCCAGCCCGTCGACACCGATGCTCCCTCTTCCACAACCGGCTCTTGCCACGGCTGAATGACGAGCGACCTACCAAACGCTTGCACACTTAAATCGAAGTAACCGCCTCGCTTTGTAACCTCCCATTCAAGCGCAGCATCAATGGGCTTCCATCGAGCGAGCCCCGGTAGGTCGTCGGAAGTAGGGGCCATCAGCAACTTGAACATGAAGACGATGTCGCGCAGGGCGATCATCTCAGGATACATATCGACGAATTCCCTCATCTCTCCGCTGTGAAACTTGGCTAGATAATCGGGCATATTCCGGTCAAAACCCATTTGTAGACACACTTGGTCGATGAGCCTCGCCTCCCCGATACCAAAAGACATCCCTCCCGCGTTTTCATTCTCCCAGCGGTACACCATGTGATCCTCGCTGATCGTTTTACTCAAGCTATGGAAGTAATCTAGCGTTTGCGTCAACCTAATCGTGCGCTCCGGACAGTGGAAACGCAAGTACTCCGCCTCTACGGCGAAAGGACCAGCCTCAAATCCGAAAGGTTCGACGGGACCTTCAGTGTATCCGGCGTAGTGCTGTGTGAAAGCCGATGGTGCGTCGGTGACCTTGAGTCGAAGCGTTGCGTCGGCAATTGCCGCAAAGTTCGCAACCGTGAGCAACCTTGCAGCGTCGAACGTTTGCGTGACGCTAATCGACAGCGCTGCGGCAGAAAATTGTCTGAGCAACAGATTCAGGCTTCTCAAAATTTCAGCTTGAATCTCATACGTCGTGGGTGTCGCGTGCCAGAAACATTTGGTGTCCCTCTCGGGGTGAGTCAACGGCAGCGGTGCCGGAAGCACGTGCAAAAACAAATGAACTAGTAAACTCACTCGCAAGGCGTACGAGTTCGGCATCAGATCGGCTTGATTAGCGAGAATCGTGCAGCAATGCAACGCATCGCGCAGCGCCTTTGGAACTTGATCAAGCTGTGCAACAGCATCTGGTACCAGCGTGAGCTCTACCGGTCGAATGATAGGTGGCATCTTCGCAGCTCCAGCTAAGTGCTCGACACTTTCCTCAACGGCCAGTCGATTGAATAGCGGTTGAGTGCACGCTGCGTGAGGAACCTGCGGTGGTTGTAACGCCGGCGGCAACGTCGTCGCGCTATGCAGCACCTTCGTTCTTTGCATGACCGCCTCCACAGATCGTAAAACGTGAGCCAATGTCTCGCTCGGTACAGTTGACTTCCTCGTATCATTAGTACCACTAGCCTCTTCCGCCGCGACGCACAAATCTGCGTGATTTGCCGCGTGCTCTGCCACGTTTCTACAAGCCGCCTGAAGGGTGACCAAGGCGCTCGCACTTATCATATTCACCCGCTCTAAATCGCGTCTCGCTTCCTCGAGCATGACGAATCGAACACCAAGATTCACCAACGCGTCGGCGCGAAATGGTGGGCAGCCCAAGCTCGCGAGACCGCATCTCGCAGCTTCCATTGCCGTGAACACTCCACTCGAGTCTCCTCCTCTTGGCCGCTTCGCAAACTTAACCGTTCGCAGGGGCTTGGAACCGACCGCGGCCATTAATGGACGACCGTTCATCATGGGCAAAATTTTGTTGTAAATCATGTCCTTTGCCTTAGCAGCATCCGTGGGGAAAATCAACGGACGGAACAAGAGAGCCCACGCCGAGGAGTCGTGCGCGCTGGCGATTGGAACCTCCATGAGCTGCACCGTGTGGATGTACTTAAACGCGTCCTTCGCTGGATCGGCGTGAACTGGATGAAACTCCACTCCATCGCCGCAATTCGTCAAGCTGATGACGAAGTTACCCGGCAAGCGATGAATGGTGTAAATCACCGCGGCGCCACCTTGCTCATTCGACCAGCCTCCCGGAACCATGACAATCTCACCAGCTCGGAGCAGACGAATGCGATCGCTCAGCGCCGACAGAAAAGAAACGAAAAGATTGTTATCTTTCGTTCCCACAGGCATGAGTCGAGCGAGTGAAAGCATATCGTCCAGCGCCCGGCGAATGGTGCTCATGGCGTTCGATTCTGGTTGACTCATCGGCAGCGTCGATGCTCCCAGGCATCTGCCCACCGTTATGGCGCTATCTACTAAGGCTGACAGCGTCTCACGCACGTATTTTGAGCGCCGCGAGTGGCCGAAATTCTCGTTTAAACACGAATCTGCCATGAGATCGACGAATGTCATGTTTTCCCAGCACGCGTCCATGTGCACCGGCAGTGCGCCACCGCCGAGAGGTCCGCACAGCCCCGCGAGCTCGAGCGTACCGCGAAAGTTCTTCCCCTTGAGCGCAGCCTGTTCCTCATCCTCCGCGCGGGCGCTCACGGCGGCCAAACCACCCTTGCTCGCCGCTTCGTTCTCAAGACTCCTTGCTGCTGAGATGGCTTCGCGAAGCGCGGTGACCCATCTTTGGAGCGTCGCTAGGTCCTCCGCCTCGACCACGATCGCCGCGCTCCGTCCCTTCTCCCCTGGATCGCTTTGAAACGCGAACAGCCGCTTACCCTTGTGCTTGCTCGGCTTCAATCCAAACTCCGTGAGCGCGTCCTCCGTGTCCAGGATGCGCGCTTCGCTCGAGCCCGTGATCGCAAACTCCCCCTTCGCCGCGCTCTCCGACGCGTCCGCGGGCTCGTTCGCGAAGTAACGCACGCACGCCCGTTCCCTCGCGTGTCGAGGCGAACGAAGAGCGAAGTACCGAAGTCGCCACGTCGTTTTACCGTATAAATCCTTCCCGCCTCGCTTGGTGAGCCAGGATTGGATTACCGCGCTCTTCGACGTCGACGCGCTGGACGTCGACGCGACGGCGCGCGTGTCTGACCTCCATGCCTGTTCGCTGGACATCGCGTGCGCTCTCGCGACGCTCGTCGACGCCCCGCGACGCGTCGGCGCTTGACGAACGCGCTCGCTCGAGCGGAGGATTTTCTGTTGAAACCACGGGGACCGACGCGACGACGCGACGCGAGACGGAAGATGGAAGACGCGCTCGATGGATGCATCACCGTAAGAGCGTATGAACGAATGACGTGCTAACGATACTACTAGTACAAGAAGCGCTACTCTTTACCGACGAGCGTCGTCATCGTCCGACGGAGGCCCACATCGCTCGACTCACCGCGCTCGTGGCGAGCTGCGAGATTTGTTCCTTTTGATCTTTACTGCACTTCACGTACCCGACCAAATTCGTCACCGCGAGCGTCACCGCGAGCGCGGGAACGAGCGCATAGTTGAACTCGAACGCCGCCAGGGCGCCGATGAGCAAAACCGTCCACCCCGCGGTCGCTCCGTACAGGGCGGCCCAAAACGCCCCGCGCTCGCGCGCGCTCACCGTCGCCATCCCTCGCTCATCTCGAGACTCAAATCGCCACTTCGACTCCCCCGTGTGCTCATCGATCTCATTCCAATACCGCAACCCCACGAGCTTACGTCCGGCGACGTTTTTCGTCGTCCAAAAGTCAATCGCGAGCGCCACCGCGCACGCGATGAAATTCCTCGTGAAATCACCGCTCACCAATTCGCACGTCACGTACATCACCACCGGCGCCGCCTTGAGGCACACGAACGCGAGGAGCGTCACGGGGTGTCCCGTCGTCTCCGGCGCGATCTCAATCGTCGCCATCGCGCCCGATCGTCGTCCACGGCGTCGTCTCGCGCCGCGCGCCCGGGTCTCGCGTCCGGCGCGCGTCGTCGGCGCCGCACGCGAATGCGTCGATCCCCCCACGGTGCGTCGACGGGTGCCGCGCGACGACCAGGAAAAATTTATATATCGCCCCTTTACTTTTGTGTTTTTCACCAAGGTAGGAATACTCTATTGTAGATGGCACTAAACGATGTACAATACGTGTATATCGACGGTTCATGACTCGTCAGTCATGTAGGGACTCTCTAAAGGGGCGATATATAATTTTTTCCGTGCTTGAGATGGTGATTTCATAGTGCGTGTACGTACAGCCTATTATTTTTCTGATATTGACAGTGATAGACATCATGTGACTGCTACTACGCCATTTCGTCACCGGTGTCGAGGAAATACAGTGATGATAAGTACATTGCGTCACCGGTCGAACCCTAGCACGGGCGTGGCTAAATCCCACGGTGAAGCAACTTTTTATCAATCACATATGTCGTGTTTAATACCTATTAAAGTGTATCCAAATATATAAAAATACATTTTAATACAATTGCGTAGTACACTATCTATTCAAGCCATTATCCCTCTGAACCGTTCCGCCGGACCTTGGGTGGATGATTTTCCAATTCAGCGAATCAGCGTTCTCTCGTTAAACTATTGAAATTGTCATTCTAAAACTTGTATATGTAACTTGTATATGTGCAAACAGTATGGGGTCCTAGGGTACTGTCATACGCGTTCCCGTGTGTTTTCACCTTGTGCAAAAATTTGACATGTTCTCACAACACTCGATACATATGCACACATAACGCGCTCGACAGGCATCCAGAAAGCGTACGCCCTTTGCGGCATGTAGTACTCATCTCATAATTCTTGGTTGACGGCTTTTTTTCTAAAGAAATCGGTCATCGAGTGCACACGACTGATCAACCTCACTCTGACACGCAGGAGAGAGAAAACGTCTTGAACCCTGCCAAACCCTAAGTAGGGTTGATGGCATCTGCTCGGTACGTGCGATGCAAGCTCACAGCGTGGTTCAACGGATACAAGAGGAACGTAAGTCATTGAAAGTGTTTCTCGGAAGCCACAACGCGGATCAAAAGGGCACGTCGAGCGCTTGCGCGCGTAATACACGCGCGAGATGAATACGACTAAACCCTAACCAGGGTTTAGTCGGGGTTTAGCCAGGGTTTGGGCGTTGCTTCTCGAGAGCTCGGCGTTGAGGCACCAGGAACGCGAGTGACTGCGTGAGGACATCACTCTGTGCATCGCATGGTATAACGGCCGGATGAATACCATGCATCATAAGTGTGTCTACAAGTATTCATCGACACGCGCAATCCTGGTGCCATCCGAGCGCGTTATCCACGCACATGCGGCGCGTGTTGCGAAAACTCGTCAAATTTTGGGCAAGGTAGAAACACCCGGGACGCAGCGGACCGGGTGTGGGGTGCCTCTCACAGATGTGAGTCCTGAGTCGTCGTATGTGAATGGATTTTCGACAGATTTATCGCTGTTTGATACTTTCGAAATTCAATACAGTATACATTGGTCAATTGATAAAAAGTTGCTTCACCGTGGGATTTAGCCACGCCCCCTAGCACCCCACGTCGAAACGGTTCGCGCGAGCTCGAAAGGTTAAATCACCTTCCATGAGTGGTGACGGTGATGCAAATCACCAAGTTTCGGGTGGTGATGTAGAAGGTGATGCAGATTTTACCCAACCGAGGGCCGATGCCCACCTCGAACGGGGCGTCGACGCGCGCGAAGATATTTTCGCGACGACGCGCGCGACGGACGACGCGCGCGACGGACGACGCGCGCGACGGACGACGGCGCGCGGGCGAGGGTGGTTCGGACGTCCACGCGGCGCGCGCGCGGGTGAGGGTGGTTCGCGCGTCCGCGCGGCGCGCGCGCGGGACGTGGGGCGAGACGTCGACGAGGACGACGACGAACGGCGATGCGCGCGCGCGAGGGCGAGGCCGCGGGGGGTGCGGACGCGACGCGGCTCCCGGGAACGAGCGCGACGACGTCGGAGGGGAAGAAGGCGCGGAAGCCGTACACGCAGACGAAGACGCGCGTGTCGTGGACGGCGAAGGAGCACGCGCGATTCGTCAAGGCGTTGCAAATGTATAGTCGGGATTGGAAGAAGATTGAACAGTACGTGCGGACGAAAAGCGTGGTGCAGATTCGCTCGCACGCGCAGAAGTACTTCTTGAAGATGATTAAGAATGGTGAGGGAGACGCGCTGCCGCCGCCGAGGCAGAAGAAGGCGCCCGCCGCGACGGCCGCGGAGCTCAAGCTTCACGGCGACTCGAGCGCGCGCGCGGAGGCGATGCGGTTCAAAGTTGCGAAACTCGCGCACACGCCGCATCCGAATCTCACGGGGTATCACATCAGAGATTTGACTGTGAAGAGTCAGACGCCGAACTTCTCAAACGTGTACGACTTTCTCGCTTCATTTTTCCACACGAAGAAATCGGGTTGTACACAAGGCGTCGAACCCGCTGAGTCGGCGCAGCTCGATCATCTGAACACCATGAATGACGTCGACAAAGAGACCGCGCTCGCTCTCGCACAAAACATGAGGAGGAACTTGACATCGAGAGAGATGTGGAAACAGCAGGTGGACCTCGTGAAGGACGGTTACGTCACGTTTCTCGATAAAGATGACCTCAGAGCGTTCCATTCGACAACTACGCCTAAAAATGCCACCGCGCTCGATGCAAACGCCGAAAGTGGCGGTGGGAGTAATGAAGAGACGCAAACTGGGCCTTGAGATACAACAGGTAACAGGTCCGGCGCAACTCGGAGAGAAGTCCGCGTACGTGTTCACGAACTGGTTTAGTTATCACATCCAAACGATCTAGATTCATAGCAGCCGCGCATCCTTTTTATGCAAGATACTTATCCGCTTGTTCACTAAGCAACTTGGCACTCGCCTTCGCGTCGATGAAGAGATCCTCACACTCTTGCAGATCCGCGAGCGCAACCTTCTCTCGCCCGTTAGTCTTGGCGATGACGAACGCGGGAGATAAGAGTTGCATGGCGTGTCGTAGCGATGTCTTATCACCAACATCGGCCAAGTGCGCCAGCGACTCCTCGTCGATTTCGAGCCCTTCCACTTGAGCGCGCACGGCGAGAATTCGAACCATCTCTTCAACGGTGTACGTCATCGTTCGAACAATCATCAGGCGATCCAGGAGATCGGTCGGAATACCGTGCGGAGCCTGGATGTCGGTGCCCTTGACGGTACAAATTCCTCGATTTGTGGCGAAGATGACAATTGGGGATAGTGACGATTCGAGAGCCTTGTTGAGGTACGTGAAACACTCGATGTCCAGCATGTGCACTTCGTCGACGAAGAGGACGCCCGGAATCAATTCAGCAATACCTTGATCGATGTATCCGTTCACGACTTTATTGATCTCATGCCGGAGTTTCTCTGTGATCTCCGTCTTTTTCCCTTTGCTAAGCTGGTTCATGACGGCGACGATGTCGTGACCGCCGATGGGTTTGGCGTTCGCGGCGTCCAAGTCGTGCAGCGTCACGTCTTGAACAATTTCTTTCCTCTTGTGAACGTCGCCCTTAGGGAGTGGCGTGTACTCTTCCGCCTCCAAATCAAATTCAGTGGCGTACGCATCGCATCTCCCGACGCGCTTGACGCTTCCGCTGTTCGCCTCGATGTAAATTACGTCTCCGAGTTGCACCTTTTCTTGCTGCAGCGCCTCGTAAATAGCGGGATCGAGCTTCAACTGTTTCGTGCCCTTGACCGATTTCAGCCCGACGATGACGTGCGAGATCACCTTCCCGTACCCTCCACTCGTGCTCTCCGTCTCTTCCGGCGTCATCTCCACCACCTCGCCCTCATACACCTCCTTGACCTCTTTGATGCGCAAACCAATGGCGCGTCTGAAATTCTCCATCAACACCTCCGTCTTCTTGATCTCCGAGCTGTACACCTCGCTCCCGACCATGGGGCAAAACGGCACGCGCGCTCCGAGCTCCTGCGCGATCCCGAGCGCGAGCGCCGTCTTCCCAGTCCCCGGCGCGCCCGCCATCAAGAGCGCCCGTCCCGCCATTTTCTTCTCCCGGATCATGTCCACGACCAAGCCGCACGCCTCTCGCGCGAGTTCCTGACCGATCCATCCCGCCGCGGTCTCCGCCGCGTCACCATCCTCCTTCAATCCCAATCCCTGCGACGCGCGACGCGCGCGCGCGCGCGAGCGTCAGTCGTTCGTCGTCGTCGTCGTCGTCGTCGTCGTCGTCGCCCATCCTCGGTCCACGCGCGAGCGATCGTTCCCTCCAGCGTCGCCCGCGTCGGCCCGCGCGCGCGTTCGCGCGCACCTTGATGTGCGTGTGCGCGGCGACGCGAGACTTCCGCGCGAGCGAGGGCACTTCGTCGATCTTCATCGCGCGTCGAAGTCACGGCGGCGGCGAGCGCGACGTTGACCGTCGATGGTTTTCACGTACATAGACATACGCGCGCCACACAACGTACGTACGCATCGTATTGAGACTTCGAATACGTCTGTGTACGCCGCGCGCGTCGATCGCGCCAGGGCTTGCGCCGCGCGCGCGCCCCGCACACGCGCACGCGTCGCCCGCGAGCGCGCGCGCGGGACGAACGCGCGCGAGGGAGGATGCTGTCGACGCCGCGCGCGCGCGCGGCGCCGCGCGCGGCGAGGGCGACGCCCGGGGCGGGACGACGCGGCGAGGGATCGCGCCGCATCGGCCGCGCGCGGGCGGTGTCGGAACCGAAGCCGGCGAGCGAGATCGACTGGAACGCGATCGGATTCGGACTCACGCCGACGTCGCACATGTTCGTCGCGACGTGCGATCTGGGCGGGACGTGGAGCGCTGGTGAGGTGGTGCCGTTCGGGAACCTCTCGCTGAGCCCCGCGGCGGCGGTGCTGAATTACGGACAAGGCGTGTTCGAGGGCATGAAGGCGTTCAGGACGAAGGATGACGAACTATTGGTGTTTAGACCGGATGAGAACGCGGCGAGGTGCGAGGAGGGCTCGTTGAGGATGTCGATGCCTCCGGTGCCGAGGGATCTTTTCCAACAGGCGGTGATGAAGACGATTAGCGCGAACGCCGACTACGTGCCGCCGGTTGGGCTCGGATCGCTCTACTTGCGACCGCTTTTGATCGGTACCGGGGCTATTCTGGGTTTGGGACCGGCGCCGAGCTACACGTTTCTGGTGTACTGCTCACCGGTGGCGTCGTACTTCAAGGGGGGACAGCTCACGCCCATCGACCTCACCGTGGAGGAGACGTACCATCGCGCCGCGCCCGGGGGCAGCGGGAGCACGAAGTGCATCGGTAACTACTCCCCGGTGCTCAAGGTCCAACTGGAAGCCAAGCGTCAGGGCTTTTCTGACGTCATGTATCTCGACGCGAGGGAGAACAAGTACATCGAAGAGGTGAGCTCGTGCAACTTTTTCTGCGTCAAGGGCAACACCATCTCCACACCGGCGCTTCAGGGCTCGATTCTTCCGGGGATCACTCGCAAGTCCATATGCGAAATGGCCGCCGCGCGCGGCTTCAAGGTCGAAGAGCGTAACGTCTCGATCGAGGAGGTCATGGACGCGGATGAGTGCTTCTGCACTGGCACCGCCGTCGTCGTCGCGCCGGTCGGATCCATTACGTACAAGGGAAAGAAAGCCCAGTTCTGCGACGGTAAAACTGGTCCGGTGACCCAAGCCATGTACGACGAGCTCACTGGTATCCAACAGGGTCGCATCCCCGACGAACGCGGCTGGAACGTCAAGGTTCCAAAGGATTTCCACCTCTGAGCGACGTGCACCCGCGACGACAGTCGCACCGCGGACTAGACCGCTTAGACGTCGTCGATTTATTAAAGCGCACTACCACCCACTCCAGCGCGCGCCATCTTTCCTCTACCCGACACCGCACTCGAATCATCACAGCGATCGCTACGAGCACGCCTGAATCCGCGCCTCGTCCGAATCCAGCCCCTCGCGTCCAAGACCTATCCAAAAAAAAACAAAAGAGAGCGCCGCCGCGTTCGACAACACATCGCGTCGCCCCGACCCCTCCGGTTCCGTTGAATCGCTCGACCGACGCGAGCGAAGCGAAGCGACACCCTCCGAGGACGCATCGCGCCCGTCCTCGCGTCGCGTGCGTCCCGATCGACGCCGACGTCGTCGCGATCGTAACAGCGCGCTCGGCAGCCTCTTCGCTCCATCGACGATGAAGCTTCGATTATACGGCCCGACGACGCGCTCGCATCGCATCGCTGCGAGCGCGCGGTTCTCTGGCGTCGCCGATGACGCGCTGGAGAGCGCGGAGTGCGTCATGGGGACGACGAACAAGACGGCGGAGTACCTGAAGGAGAAGAATCCATTCGGTAAAGTGCCGTGCGTGGAAAACGTCGAGCGTGGGAGCTCGGCGTTCGAGAGCAACGCGATCGCGAGGTACCTGGCGACGATCGGGGAGACGGGTTCGAGCATTTATCCCGACGACGCGTGGACGCGAGCGAGGATCGATGGATGGATGGATTCGTTCAACGTCGTGGACGTGTGCGGACCGTGCTGGTTGTATCCAATTACCGGCACGGGTAAGGCTCGAGGAATCGTATACGACGAGAAGAAGGAGGCTGAAGCGAAGAAGGTGGTGACCGATTTCATGTCTGCGGTCAACGTGTACCTGGAGGCGCATGAAGCTGTGTTTTTAGTCGATAACAAAATCTCACTTGCAGACATCGTCGGCGCGAGCGGCTTGAGCAACGTGTACAGCTACCTCGTGCCGAGAACCGAGTGGGAGGCCAAGTACCCAAAACTTTTGCAGTGGATCGAGACCATTTACGCCACGCAAGAGTGGTTGGAGTCCGTGGGCACGATGCCGGTTTGTGAAGAGGCGGTGACGTACGACCCGAGCGGTGACAAGGTGCTTCCGCGTCCGGTGAAGTATGTCGAAGAATGGCCATCCAAGCGCGTTCGCGATACCTTCATCAACTACTTCATCGAGAAGCAAAATCACACGCCCTGGCCGTCGTCTCCGGCGGTACCCGTCGATGACCCCACGTTGCTCTTTGCTAACGCCGGAATGAACCAGTACAAGCCCATCTTCTTGGGCAAGGCTGATCCGAAGACGGCGCTCGCCAAGCTTTCGAGAGCAACCAACACACAAAAGTGCATCCGCGCCGGCGGTAAGCACAACGATTTGGACGATGTTGGTAAGGACACGTATCACCACACATTCTTTGAGATGCTTGGAAACTGGTCTTTCGGTGACTACTTCAAGGAGGAGGCCATTGGGTGGGCGTGGGAGCTCCTCACGAAGGTGTACTGCCTTCCGGAGGATCGATTGTACGCCACGTACTTCGGCGGTGACGAGTCGCAAGGCTTGGAACCAGACTTGGAGGCTAAGGCGATCTGGCTCAAGTACCTTCCGGAATCTCGCGTCATGCCGTTCGGTTGCGCGGACAACTTCTGGGAGATGGGTGACGTCGGTCCCTGCGGTCCCTGCACTGAGATTCACTACGATCGCATCGGCGGACGCGACGCGTCTTCTTTGGTGAACATGGATGATCCCAATTGCCTCGAAATCTGGAACGTTGTGTTTATTCAGTACAACCGTGAAGAAGGCGGTATGCTCAAGCCGCTTCCGGCGAAGCACGTCGACACCGGTATGGGCTTTGAGCGTCTGACGTCCATCTTGCAAAACAAGCCGAGCAACTACGATACCGACGTTTTCATGCCGATTTTCAAGGAAATTCAGCGAATCACCGGTGCTTCGCCGTACACTGGTCTGTTGGGTAAGTCCGATGTGGGAGAAAAGGACATGGCCTACCGTGTCGTTGCGGATCACATTCGAACTCTGTGTATCGCCATTGCCGACGGTGCCGCTCCGGGTTCCGACGGCCGCAACTATGTGTTGCGCCGTGTGCTTCGCCGAGCGGTCCGCTTCGGACGTGAGAAGCTCGGTGCGAAGCAGGGCTTCTTTGCGCAGCTTGTTCCAATCGTCGTCAAGCAGCTCGGATACGTTTTCCCAGAGCTCATCGAGAAAAAGAAGCACATCGTGGAAATCATCGCCGAAGAGGAGACGTCTTTCGGTCGCACTCTCGAAAAGGGCATCGCTCAGTTCAAGAAGGTCCTCGATGCGGCCACGAAGGAGGGCCGCACCGTCATCTCTGGCCCCGAGGCATTCCTTTTGTGGGAGTCATACGGTTTCCCGAACGACCTCGTCGAGCTCATGGCTGAAGAAGTCGGCTTCACGCTCGACAACGAAGGTTTCGCCAAGGCGTTCGCCGAAGCTCAAGAAAAGTCTCGCGCAGGTGGTAAGAAGTCAGGAGGTGTGCAGCTCTTGTTTGAAGCAGAAGCGACTGCTTGGTTGCAGAACAATGACGTGAGTACGACGAATGATTCTGAGAAGTACGCTGTAGGCCGACCGTCGCACACCTCTACCGTGGCCGCCATCCTGACCCCGAGTGGTTTTGTCAAGTCAACCGCCGATGCCGAGGGTCCGTACGGTTTTGTCTTGAACTCCACTACTTTCTACGCTGAATCTGGTGGACAAGTTGCCGACACTGGTGCAATTTCGACGCCAAACGGATCAGTTTCCGTGGAGGACGTGAAGGTCGCCGCGGGTTTCGTGCTGCACACCGGTGAAGTGTCCGGGACGGTGAGCGTCGGCGAAGCGGCGACGTGTGCGGTGGACTACGAGCGTCGGGAGAACATCATGCCTAACCATACGATGACGCACGTCTTGAACTACGCTCTGCGCAAGGTCGCCGGAGACGGCGTCGATCAAAAAGGCTCGTTGGTGGACGAAGAGAAGCTACGCTTCGACTTCTCTCTCAACAAAGGGTTGACGACGAAGCAGATTGCGGACATTGAAGCAGTGGTGAATGAGCAGATCAACGCCAAGCTCTCGGTTGACAAACGTGAGGTCGCGCTGGCCAAAGCAATGACAATCAACGGACTGCGGGCCGTGTTCGGTGAAGTGTATCCAGATCCCGTGCGCGTTGTGTCCGTTGGCCCGAGCATCGATGAGTTGCTCGCGGACCCAATCAACGAGAAGTGGGTCAACTACTCCATCGAGTTCTGCGGAGGCACGCACTTACAGACAACGGACTTTGCCGAACAGTTCGTTGTTCTTGAGGAAACCGGTATTTCGAAGGGTATTCGGCGCATCACCGCCGCAACGCGAGGTACAGCTAAGAAGGCGATCGCTCGCGCCAACGAGTTGATGGCCACTGTCAAGGCGTGCGATGCGTTGAGCGGGGAAGCTCTCAACACTGAATTGAACGTTCTCAAGGTTGCCATCGACACTGGGTCGATGCCAACGGTCGCGCGCGAGCAAATCCGCGAGGAGCTCAATAGACAAATCAAACGTCTTTTGGAGGCGGCCAAGGAAGCTGCCGCGGCGGCTAAGGCACAAGCCCTGGTGGACGTCCAAGAGAAGACTGCGGCGACCAAGACGGCGGGCGCGAAGTACTTCGTCGCCTCTTTGGCGGACGAGACGGACGCTGGCGCGATGAGGGAGGCTGCGACGATCGCATTCAAGGAGGGTGTGGCGTGTACGCTCTTCTCAAAGGTCAAGGGCAAGGAGTTTGTGTACGTTAGCGTCCCACCGGATGTGAGCATTGATGTCAAGGGATGGCTCGCGGCGTCGTGCGCTCCGCTCGGAGGCAAGGGAGGCGGTGGTAAGAACGGCGTGGCGCAAGGACAAGGACCGAACGTCGAGGCCGTCGGGGACGCCATCGCTGCCGCGGAAGCGTTCGCTAAGCTCGCCATCTAAGAAATCAAAGCACGTAGAACCATTCCAAGATCCGCGGCGCGCGCGTTCGACGGCGCGGGGATGTCTCTTTCGCTAGAAAATCGTCATCATCATAATACATATGGCGGAGTGAGCGCTGAATTCGAGCTCGGAAATGCTCCCAGCTCGATGCTATGAGTAAGATGCGCTGTCCGCGCGCGATTGGCGTATCGTTTGTCCGTGTTCATGTGCATTTTCGATTCTTCCCTCACATGTCATCGACGCTCTTGCGAACACATCTCGCCACGCGTTTCTTGAACGCGGGATAGTCCTCCCGCCACTCTTTAGCTGCGTCTATGTTAGCCGGGCTCTCATCGTTCGGATCGGAGAGCATGGAAATTATGCTCAGCACGATCGTCTCCACCGTCTGCACCGGGCTCCACCTCTCGCTCGCGTCCTCATACCCGTGCGGATCATCCCCAGGACTGTGCAGGATCGATATGCACACCCTCCCATCCGCGTACACGTTCGGATGCCACATCTCGCTCACGAACCGCACCCCCGGCGGCTTATTCGGATAATCCTTCGGAAACGTCATGTGAGCCGTGAAGAACCCGCCCTCGTAAATCGTATCCGGAGGTCCCATGATGGTCACCGACCACTCAAACACGTTACAGTCATCGACTAATCCCGCCGAGAATCCCTCGATCGGATTCCTCGAGAGCTCTGCGTCGCGTCGACGTCCCGTCAGTCCTCTCGCCCGCGTCGTCGTCGTTCGCACCGCGCGATCGCCTCCACCGACGTCTTCGTCATCGTCTTCGTCATCGTCGCTTCACGGACGTCGAGCGCCCCGCACGCGCGCGCGATCGCGAACCCATCGCGCCTCGACGCACCCTTGAGCTGTTTTCGCAGCAACAGCACCGCCTGGTCGCTCATCGCGAGCGATTCGAGCGCGGAGATGTGCCGCCGACGTCTCCGCCGCCGCACCCAGACGCGCGCGACAGGTCGCGATGGACGACGACGACGAGGCCGAGGACGAGGCGACGTGGGACGACGCGAGGACGATGCGCACGGCGGTGGTGACGATGACGTGTGACGTCGCGCGGTGGCGTCGCGAGGACGGGGAGGCGTGCGAGAGGCTGCGCGCGTGGACCGAGGCGTGCGCGTGGACGCCGCGGCGAGCGATGTCGGTCGCGGCGTGCGTCGGAACGGGCGGCGATGCGGAGAAGACGGTTGTGTTAGACGTCGTCGTGCGGTGGCGGTGTCGGGGGTGCGTCACGGAGGAGGGACGGTTGGAGAGACGGTTGACGCGGCGAGTGGAGGCGTTCGGCGGCGGCGGAGACGAGCGTGAGATGAGGGGTGATATCGTGCGCGTGCGCGAGTTCACGGTGTCCGTGACCGCACCAGGGTATGTTCCGATCGGTTCGTTCGAGGAGACGGTGGTGGAGTGCGGTCCGGACGGTCCGGGCGTCGCGGAGGCGTCGGCTCGATTTCACGAGGACGGTTTAGCGACGTGCCTACGAATCGTCGATGACGATTGCGCGCTCGCGATTCGGCACTTAGTGCTCGAGTATATTGAGAAAATCGAGCGACGATTCGCCGAGGGGCATCCGGACATCGCTTACGGGAAGGATCGGTTCGCGTTTAAGGAGATTAGCTCGCGCGGCGGCGAGCGTTTCGACGCGTTGATCGATATTGAGCGTCCCGAGTGGAAGAGTCTTCGTGATTTGGCGCGCATCGACGCCCCTTGGCTCGCCTTCATCAACGAGGTGCTATCGACGAAATGGAACGTGAACGTGAGCGTGGTTTATTCGCGACCCGGAGCGAAGAACCAAGAGTGGCACGCAGACGGCAGACACCTCGATACGGAGTGCGACCCTCGCACTGGTGAAGGCCACGCGCAACCGTATGGCGTGTGCGTCTTCATGCCGCTCATACACTTAGATCGAGACACGGGATACACGCAATTCTTCAAGCGTTCGCACAAGACGAGCGAACTCATCGGCTTTGGCGAGGCGGCTTCGATGTTGCGACTCTCCTTCGACGGCCTCCTCAACACCGGACAGAGCGTGGTGTACGACTATCGCTTGCTACATCGCGGCATGTACAACCGATCAAATTACGTTCGGCCGGTGTTACAGTTCCTCTACACCGCGCCCGCGTACCGTGAAACGAAAAACTACGGCGTCGATTCCATGTGGTGAGCTCGCCCCTCTGCATGTTACGTCCGCGATGGGTCATTCATAGGTCACTAGCAAACTGTATTGTATCAAATCTAACTTAGTACATCCACTCTTCCTATCGTCTACACTCACGCCTCGCCCGTCCCCGGCGCGCTCTCGCTCCGCGCGACCGCGGCTCGTCTCGCTCGCGCCTTCGCTCTCGCCGCCGCGCCCGCCGGATTCACCGGAAACTGCGATCGCATCGTCGCCGCGAGCGCCGCCGACGCCCACTCCGCCTCCTGCGATCCCACCGAAGGCGGTTCGACGTACTTTTCTCCGCCTCCGCTCAACTGCGCGTGCTCCAGCCTCGAGTACGCTATGCCGTAGTGCTCCGCCAGAGCCAACCTGCGCTCGCCCTCCGCCAGGCGCTCCTCCAGCGACGTCGACGTCTCCGCGCGGAAACCCTCCCGCGCCTCACCGAGCGCGTCCATTCTTTCGCGTTTCGTCGGCAGCGCGCGCGCGACGCGAGCGATTCTTCGATACAGGTTCGCGACGCGAGTCGACATCTGACGCGCGTCGCCGGGACGGACGCGCTAGGTGTCGATTAAAATCCGTTCAATTCTACGTCGCCTCGAGCGCAATCATCGCTCGCGCAAAACACTTATTCATCGTCGCTGTCGCTCCCGAGCGCCACCTTGGCGTACATCTCCGCCGTGAACGTCGTCGGTCGTCCGCGTCGCGCGCGACGTCCGCCCTCGATGATGTTCGACGCGTCCACCTCGTCACCGCTCAGGTTCTCCACGCACTCGCTGTCCACGCTATCCGCGTCGGAGTCATCCCCATCGGAGCCCGAGTCTTCGACGGGCGCTTTTCCCTTCGGATCGACCGCTTTCTTCGCCTGCGCGCGCGAAAAGTTCAAAATGTTACCTCACTGCGCACCCGCGATCGTCGCTCGTGCGCGTTCGCGCACCGCGCGCACGGCGCCGTACCTTTTTCGTCGGCGGCGCCGCGGTCTCGCGCGCCGCGTCTCGCGGGCGTTCGTCGTCCTCGCTGTCGCTCGCGAGCGCCTTGCCGCTCATCGTGTTCAAAGGCGCGACGCGGAGTGCCGCTCGACTCGAACGCGCGTGACTTCTCGACGCGACCGCGACCGTTGGACATGACGGGCGCGACGCGGGACGTCTGGGTGGACATGGCGGCCATATTCACCGCCGTCTTCGGCGTCGTTCTCGCCGCGTACGCGTCGTTGACGCCGGTGCGAGGAGGGAAGATGACGTCCGAGACCGAGGCGCGCTCGGCGCGATGGATCGTCGACGCGCGGGTGAATCCGTCCAAGGCGAGCGCGGAGACGTTCGTGATGCGGTACTCGATGTGCTGGATCGCGAGCGTGGGGGTGGTGATCGCGACGAAGGCGTACGAGTCGTTCGATAGGTGGGGATACCTGGCGTACTGCGGCGCGTGCGCGGCGCCGGCGATCGCGTGGCCGTTGATGTTTCCGTCGAGGGCGGACGCGGGGAAGCCGCTCGGTGAACGGTACATCGTCAAGGCGAATGTGTGGATTGCAGTTTTTTCATTCATCGGGAATTACTGGTACACGCATTACTTTTACGGCGTGCTCAAGGCGGAGTACACGTTTGACGCGCACCGGTTGAACGACGTGCCGATATCGATGTATCTGATGACGCACGCGTACTTCATGTTCTATCACGTGCTTTCGAACGCGGCGCTGCGTCGCATTCGAACGGGATACGTGGATAATGCGCAGAGGTTCGTGTTCGAGTGCGCGGCGATCGGCGCCATGTCGTACACGACGGCGTTCATGGAGAGCTTGACGATTTGTGGCTTCCCGTACTACTCGTTCGCCGATCGACACATGGCGTACACGCTCGGCTCGGCATTTTATGGCATTTATTTCTTGGTTTCGTTTCCAATGTTCTTACGCGTGGACGAAACGAAGCTGATGCCGATGTCTCAGGTGTTTTGGGAAGCGATGGGGAGCGGAATGGCGGTGCTCTGTTTGCTCGACTTTGTGCGCGTGTACTTGCGCATTCCGTTTCAAATGCGAATCCAGTGAATAGACGTTTGCAGTACAAATTAGCTCTGGTTACATACTTTCTACGCCGCGATGTTCAACTTGGCGCGGGCGTGTCTTCGAAGACGATTGAGACTCGATAAACATCGGTCGATGAGCACCAAGGCTTCGCGCGCCTTGGCCTCATTTTGTGTCAGCCCACTCTTTGCATAGAACGAGACCGTCGTTCGCAGCGTGGCGCGATTGGCGGCGAGGATCTCTTCGGCTCGATCGAGACGCGAGTCGTTTTCGCTCGCTACCGATATCTTCGACCCCACGTTGTCAAACAGAGCGTCCATAACGCCGATGGCAGACGCCAACATTTTGGGATCGTCTTGGAACAAGCGCACATGGTCCAAGAAGAGAATCTCGGGATACTTTCTCACGGCGTGGGAGTATCGCTTTTCTCCAGCGACTAGTTGGAAAAGTTCGTACGCTGCATTAAGCAATGGAACGTGTTCCGCGTATGCCGCAGTGAGCGACGCATCGGCGCTTCCCGAATGTTTCAGCGCGTGGATGTTCCGCATGAGCACGTGCAACGCATCCGAAGAGGCGAGAGCGTTACGACACGTTCGGTTGTTCCAGTGCTGAATGAAGAACTTGCACCCTCGGATGCACTCTTTGCCACTGTGCGGCGCCATGATCATCGCCACCGACTTTTTTGCTCGATTGTAAACAGGATCGTCAGGTTCGACTCGAGACGCTATCGTGATCCTCTTGCGATGCCACTCAAGTTTATGCACGGCGCGCTTACGCGTGAGGTAACCTCGAACGTACGCCTGAAGAATAACGACACTACGTTCGATCTTATCGCGTCTCTTTCTATCGAGGATCAAAGATCTGAACGCCTCCTGAATCTTTGAAGCTGCAACCTTCATGATCACGAAATCCGCTCTCGCTGCGTAACACCTCCAAGCAGCCTGGATGGTCGTCGCCGCTGCATTCTGCCGCCCCAGGATGCTCCGAATGCGCGTACCACGAGCATATCGCTGAATCGTCTCCGCAGCATTATATCGCATGGCGGCTCGAAGCTGTTCACTTCGTCTCGTCGCAACACGAGGCTGTTGTATAGCCACCTCCACGGATGTCTTCTTAGCGAGTCGCATCTTTTGAATCCTTAACTTGACAGCTTGTTCCTTGCGCGTCTGTGCCACTCTACGACGGGTTTGCCATCCCCGGACGCTTGCTTGCATCAACGTGACGAACCAAATCTTGTAACGTTCTTTATCAATGCGATGGCGTGTGATGTAGCCGCGCCAGTGGCGCTGAATCGTCGTCGCCGCAGCCTTCCTCTTTTCTTCTTTGATCATCCGCGACCGTTGGTTGTACGCGTTGAACGTCAAGAAGCGGCGAACGTTTTGCTGAATCTTCACGACCGCCTTCTTTGCCTTGACAAACGTCTTTCTCGCCGACTTCCCTCGCGTACGAGCTTGCGTGAGCACTACCGCCCATCGTAGACGCACGAACTGCTTGCGAACGAGGCACTTTCGAATCGCAGCTTGTAGCTTCACTGCGGCATTGTGCCTCAATTGCTCTCTCGCCTCGCCAAGGCGCCTCGCCTCAGTGCGCTTCGTGAAGCCTCGCCAGCGCGCCTGAATGATCGTAGCCGCGCAAATCTTATTTAAAAGCGTTTGTCGGGCGCAAATCATCTTGTACCAACCTTGGATGATGCCAGCGGCGCGCTTTTCCTTCAAGAACTGCCTTCTCTGCACACAACCTTTACGCATCTTCTGCGCCTTCTCCGTCGCCCACTTCGTATCTAGGTACTCTTGTCGTACTCTACACATGCGTATGAATGCTTGAATTTTCACCGTCGCGTTCCTACGTTTGATGTAAGCTTTCCGCACGACGCACGCACGACGAAGTGATTGGACCGTCACGATTGCTTTCCGTCTCGCCTCTACAGCTCGGGCTCCTTGCACACGACGCACGTGTGAGATAATGATTGTAGCCGCCGCGGTCCATTTACGTACGATTTGGGAAAAAGTCGGTCGATGCGGTCGATTCCATCTCCACCAGCGCTGAATGCGCACGCACGCAACCTCTTGTTGTCGAAGCAACAGAAGGCGAGCGCTGAAGAAGAGCAAGTAGCCACTCACCGCGCGCGGATCGGGTGATCCCTCGTCTTCTTCGCTAGAGAATCGTATGTCAAAGGTTGGATTTGGCACACCACCGAGCGCTTGAATCGCCTTACAGACCACAGCGAAGTTGTCCTTCGCGATCAAACGAGCGTTCTTCGCTACTTCAGCGTTTGGATTGCCAAGTTTGAGAGGAACGTTGCTGATGCGCCGCTTTGGGATCATCGACGGTGCGTACGCGCGCACCAGAGCGCAGAGGGCCCGGCCATCGGCGAAACCACTTCCAAGATTACTAAGCTCGACCTTCTGCGTTGCACACGCCGCTCTGGCCCACGCGTACAAGCGCGCTTCCATTGCGCACTGCGGCGCCTCGATGACAGAGTCTCCACGGCGAGCCGCTGACAATCGCTCTATGCGTTTCACGTCGGGAACCTTGCCACCAAGTCTCGTGATTTCCGCATCCAGTGCCTTGGGAAGGAGTAAACCTGGCGCGGCGTAGTGCATCATCAACGCCCAGAGTAATCCCATCGTGTGCTCAAGGTGTCCGTCAACTATGTCTTCAGCCTTGATATGACTCCACGTGCCGGGCAGTCCCACTTGTTGATCCTTGATCGCTCGCAGTGCCACCTCGACGTTTTGAACCTTTTGAGCACGAGAAGCGCACGGAAAGTGCACCTCATTCAGCAAACCTCGCTTCCATTCCTTGTTCTTATCGTCGAAACTCATGAAGAGAATGTCTGCGTTGAGCACTTCCATGAGTCGACACAAACGAACGCCGTCGCGCAAATCGACAGCCAAATTTGCGCAACGGAAGTCGTACTCTCGGATGGGGTTCTGTTTGTAATTTAACCTGTACGAGCACTGGCGCAGATTACGAATCAGGTCGCCCTCACCGTACATCGAGCCTTGCAGTGCGGCCTGCAAAACATCTTCACTTTGCTTCAGCGCGGCGTGTGGACGCATCAGTAACGGCGTGTTCGGCGGTAGTCCGCTCGTTGCCGCGCGGTCAAGCATAAATATCAAGAGCAAAACGCGCTTCAAAATATTTCGGCACAGAGCTTCTTCGTATCCGTGAGCGAACGGTGGCGCCCCGGGAGTCGCGCCTGTTCCAAATTCAACCTCCAGATCTCTATCCCGGCACAAGGCGGCGATGCATTCTTCTTGCACTTCGCGTAAATCGCCTCGACTCTTCCATGTAATACCACCTCCAATGACTACATCGACACCGAGCTGTAACCAGAACGGCGAAAAGCACGATAGTGCTCTCGTGAAGTCAGCTTTGAGCGCGACGTTGTCCAAGAACGTCTGTCCCCGATTCAACCGGAAGCGAGCGTTATCGACGTGCCTAAAAGTCTTCTTAAGCACTCGTCCAAGCTCGTCGTCGTAGCTGTACAACGAAGTGAGCTTATTCCGCACAGTCTGCCGCACTTCGCGGGCGGACGCGCATTCACCTCGGTTTGCTGATGGAGAGTCCTCGCCCATGGTGCCGACGTCGTCTATGACAATGGTGTGATTTAACCACGTGATGAACGCAAGCTCTTGTTGTCTCAACCACACACCGGCTTGGAAATCATCCGAAACGCCCTCTGTCGTTTGTTTCGCACCCTTGTCTTCCCCAGCGCGTTGCAACTGGAGCACGCGCGCCACCGGAGCAGGCGCCAGATTTGCCGAATCCTCCTCCATTCGTCTTTGCTTCGCCCTGAGCGCCGCGTCCATCGCCGCCTTGTCTTCACTCACGACCTTCTTTTGTGGCGACGCAAGTAGCGATCGTCTCGTCGCTAGCCTAGAGTCCCGCGGTCGTTTTGTTGCCCCCCCGTTTTGATTTTCCTTCGCAGCGCCGTTCGTCAGCGCGCGCAACACCTCGCCGCTCGCCACGCCGCGCAAACGAACCCGTATTTCCGCCTCGGGCACGGGCATCGGGGACTCAAACGTCACCGCACACATCACCGACCCACAGTACGTCGCCGACATCGCTCGCTTCGGCGTCCAAGTCAGGACGACGCGTTCCGTCGTTCCCGGTTGCACATCCACGCGCTCCGCGTCCACTTCGAACCCATCCCTCGTCAACGCCTCGACGTCCGTCACCACCACCGTGGCCGCCATCGCGGTATCGTTCACGATATCCAACTCCGCGACACCACTCGATCCGACGTCCACGGCACCGAAGCGAACCACCGGCGCCACGTGCGGCTCGCTCAGTCGCGCGCTCCTGCGTTCGCCGCGCGCCCGTCTCACCTTCGTCGCACTCACCCCTCCCGTCTCGCTCTCGACGAACGCATCGACACACACGTCACTCTCCGACGTCGTCGGCACCGCGAGCGCGGTCCAGAGCTCGTCGTCGTCCCCGCGCGCGGCGATCATCGACGACGAGGGGAAATCAATCGACGCCCCAGCGTTCACGTGTCGCCCGCGTTCCATCGCTCCACGCGCGCGCTCGACGATCGTGATCGGCTCTATCGCCGTCAACGCGTCGTCGGCGTCCGCCGCGCCCGCGTGCACCGTCGAACGCGTCGTCTCCACGCGACGCGTCGTGAAATGTCGGTTCGCGCGACGCGAACGGTTTTTTCCCACCGTCGTTCCCCCTCGCGTCCCGTCTTCACTCGACGACGCTACAACGATGCCGAGCGAGGGGCCGCGTCGTCGAAGACCGTCGGCGAGGCCGGCAAAGGTGTCGAGGAATCGAGTGACCCGCGAGCGCGATCCGTTGGCGTACTACGGCGCGCGCATCGATCGATTCTTTGACAACCATCCAATCATCGAGGTGTTCTTACAAATCTTCTCTCTGACGGTGGTTCTCTGGGTCGTCTACGCGATCAGCGTGAAAACGGGGGTGTGGCAGCGAACGCTCGGACCAAAGGTAGAGCCCTGGTTGGCGAAACACGTCGTGCCGTGGTGGTTGAAGAGGGTGCAACCGTTCTTGGACCGCGTGGGCGCGTCGACGCGCGCGCGCGCGCGCCTCGCCCCGTAAATCGACGCGATCTCGACGCGTCGCTCTAGTTTCGTTGTGCGCGCACAGAAGGCTCGGTAGGTGATATTTCGTCGCTCGAACGCCGTTCGCGATCCGTCGTCGACGCCGCCGAGCCCGTCGCCGCCGTCGCCGCCAAAACGATGTCGCGCTTTGGAGCGTCCCTACATGACTGACGAGTCATGCACCATCGAAAAATGCATATTGTAGCCGCCAAGTCGGTGGAATCGAACCACTGGGCCGCTAAGCCCCTACGGCTTTGAAGGCCGCACTCCGCGCCAGCGAAGCTCGCCCTGGCGAGGCTACAATACGTAAGACAACCCCGATCGCGACACCGAACGTGATCTCGCGAGTATTACGGGTGTTTTCACGCGGTGGTCGACATCGCGGCGGGCGGCGATTCGCGCGCGTCGCGCGGCCGTCGCCGTCGTCACACGCGCGCGCCGCGCTCGAGCGCGATGCGACGATGGACGAGCGACGCCTTTCGCACCGTGCGCGCGGTCATCGCGGACGCGTCGATGCGCGTCGGCGGTGCGCGGTCGCAAAATGCGCGCGCGCGAGGTTTTAGCCCATCGTCGACGACGCGCGCGATGACGCGAGCGATCGGTGAAGGACGCGGTGGAACGGCGCGAAATCGGGACCGTGGACGAATGCGCTCGAGCGCGGTGATGCGGCGCGCGCGAACGTTCGCGAGCGACGGTGCCGCGGTGGAAAGCGGCTCGGAGGATGAAGACGACTCGGAGGACGAGGGCGACGCGAGCGGGCGAAGGGGGAAGCGCCGTGAAAAGATAAAGTACGTCGTTCCGGATTCGGTGCCGAACGATCCGCCAATGTTGCGGACGCTTTTGGTGCGGAGCGATAACGATGCGGCGTTGGCGACGACGAAGACGTGCGCAGAGGCATTAAGTTTGGCGACGGAGACGTTGGCCGGAGGCGGGCAGCCGCCGTCGTCGAGGGCGATGCGCATAATCATCACAAAGGTTAAGACTTCGGATGACGTTCGAGCGGTGTTCGATTTCATGGCGAAGATTTTTCAGATTCGTCTGGCGAAGCACACGGACGCGGCGACCGCGCCGTACTGGTCGGAGCGAGTGATATTAGACCTCTATTCGCACATGTTCAACGCGAAAGATTACGAAAACGCGGCGTGGGCGGCGGAGAACTTCCCGATTCTCGGCGTGCGACCGTCGAGCTTGACGGCGAAGCAAGTGTTCTTCACTCTGTATATGGGGCCGTTTGACCTCCTCTATCGCGGGTACGAGGCTTTGAGAGAGAGATATGGAACTGCGTCATTTGCCACGGCGACGATGATCGGGGCGTCGCTCGACAACAACCAGATCGACCTCGCTCGCGAGTACGTGGACGCTTTCATGGAGAGTGAGGCAACGATTCCATCCAAAACGTTTTACAAGTTTTGTAAGGTGGCCGTGAGAAAGGGCGACGCAGCGAACGCGAAATGGGCTCAGGAGATGTATCTCCAGTCCATCAAGCACGCGTGTGCGCACCGCATCAAGCGTGCGAACGAGATTAACGCTCAAATTGATGACGGGACCTATAAGGGCAAGCTGAAACAGAAGATTCAGATAGACCCGAAGTTGCACGATCCTAAGCCGTTGATGCCCTTTTATTTTATCACTACAGCGCAGATGCACCTTCTCCACGGCGAAGTGGAGGCTGCGTCGAACGCACTCAATGACATGCCGTCCTTCGAACACAAGTACGTGCACGTCGGAGAAGACACCGGTGAAGGGGTGGATGGATCGACTTCTTCCGCGTCTGTCCGTACGAGAAACGTCGAAACGGAGTGTTTGGAGACGTTTTCGTCGTGGCCGTCCAAGCTCTACGTCGACGAAGGATTCAGCGGCGAACCCACGCCGGAGACTCTACGCGAGACCATGAAAGCGGCGATCGCCGGCATCGCGCGCGATGATATCCGATCCATCTTTGAGCGCGTCGACGTGGACTCCGTCTTCGACGCGCTCGAAGCGAAACCCACCGAAGCGGAAGCCGCCGCCGGAGACGTAGAGGAACAACGAGCGGACGAACCGGAGCAACAGAAGGAAGACTAGCCCCGCGAACGATCCCCAGGAAGCACCGTTTAATAGCACCAGTCGATAGCTTGACGCACGCCGCTCCGATCTCGCTCTCTGAAACTCTCGTATCGCCCGCTCGACAAGATGGTGCAGTCTTCAAATCCCGACGCGATGACGTCGTCCAACCCCTCCTCGCCCTCGCGCGCGCGCGCCCGCGTCTCCGCGTCGCCTGACGTGGAGCACGCGCGAACGTCCGTCCGCGTCCGAACACCGAGCGCGTTCGCGTGCGCCGCGTGTGCGAAGACGCTGGAGTTTGTCAACGTGCCCGAGCGCAGTCGCAACGCGCCGATGGAGGAGTCATTCGTCATCTTGGCCCCGGAGCTCGCTTTACGGGCGAGGAAAACGCTCGGGGAAGAGGCATGGCGACGACACGCGCTCGGGGGCGACGCGGTATCGAGAGAGGGCGGGATGGAGGCCTCGTTTGTGGTTCTCCCGGAGCGCGCGGAAAAGAGCGGGATCGAGCCGAGCGTCATGGCGCGCGTGTTCGACGTCGCGAGCGAGTTGAGCGAGCGAGATCATCCTTTGTGTGACGCGTGTTCGTCGTTGGCGTTGACGGAGGTGGAGCGACGGACGCGAGAGGTGGAGGCGGAGTGCGCGGCGTACGAGGAGGCGCTGGAGCGGTTGCGAGAGGCGGAGACGGAGGAAGGGAGTGGGGCTGGGGTGAGCGACGTAGGGGGGACGTCGAAGGCGATATCAACCGCGGTTATGGACATGGAAAAGGCGGAACGCGACGCCGAGGAGACGCTTCGTGAGTTGGAATTGGAGCTCGAGTCGACGCGCGCGGCGAGGAGCAAGCTCGCGAAAAAGGCGGCGGCATTGGATGAGGCAGAGGATACGTATTGGCGCGAGTTTCACGCGTTTAAGAGGAATTTGAACTCGCACTTAGAGAAGCGAGATTCGATTTTGACGCGAACGGAACAAGCGCAGGCGCATCTGGATCGATTGGAGAAGACAAACGTTTTCAACGACTCATTTCACATTTGGACGGATGGTGCGTTTGGCACGATCAACGGCTTTCGTCTCGGTCGGCTTCCGAACGTCATGGTGGAGTGGGACGAGATCAATGCCGCGTTTGGTCTGGCGTGCCTACTCTTGCACTCGATGGCTCGCATCTGCAAGTTTACCTTCACGCAGTACACTCTCAAGCCAATGGGGAGTTTCCCGAAGGTGAGCGACGCAAATGGCGGCGTGTTCGAGCTCTTCGGGCCGGTGTCCATAATATCGTCGCACAAGTACGACAAAGCTGTGCTGGGTTTTCTCACGTGTCTCTCAGAGCTGAGCGAATTCATGAAAGCGCGCGATGTGCGCCAGGGAGTGAACCCACCGTTCCAGCTTCCATTCACAATTTCAAACGACAAGGTGGACGGGAAGAAGATGTCGTTCACGTTCAATCGAGACGAAAACTGGACGTACGCGCTCAAGCTCATGCTCACAGATTTGAAGTTGATGCTCGCGTGGCTGAGTCACAAAGATTAGCGTTTGATAGATTGTACACCGAAACCGAATTTGTATTTTTCAACCTCTCTAAACGGGTTGCTCAGTCCGCACTCGCTCTAAGGCGCGCAAGGCGCTCTGCGTCTATATCCGACAGTGCCTCAATGAATTGACCCAAGTCACGCTTCGCCACTTGAATGATCGACGCCTCGAAAGAGCCGTGCTTGAAACGAGCGTTGATTCTCTCGGCGGCCAACTTGAAGGAGTAGGTAAAAAAGTTTCCACCGGAGGTGTCGTCTGTGTTTGGCTTTGCCGTGACGCCGACGATCAAGGCGAACGAATCATCTTCCGAAGACGGACCAATGACGACAAGAGGCCGAATTCTGTTTCTAGTCAGTCTCAGGGCGTCTTGGATGAACAGCGCAAGTTTCAGAAGAGAGAGAGGATGGGTGAAAAGCTTGACATCCGCCGGCGAACCGTGATCGAGAAGGTTGTAGCACCTCAAGCTCCCTGTCGTGCGAATGTGCGCCGAGGACGAGAGCGCGACGCTACCCTGACGCATGACGGCTTGTTGCAGTCGAATGGCGTGCCCGATCCCGGATTCCATCTCTTCCCAGTTACCCAACGATAACGCCTGCGCTGCGCGCCAAAAATTATCGGCGGCGCTCCCGTCTCCCTCCCCCGATTCGCCCAATCCCTCCAGCAAAGCCGTCGCGCCGTAGACGACATCCGCGGCGCACACCTTGACGGAATAACCGTGCGAGTACTGGAACGACCAGAACTTGACGTTGTCCAATCCGTGTGACGATCCGTACTGCTCCAATCTCTCTTCAAACTGTTTCATCTTCTCAGGCTCCATGTGCTTGTATTTCTGCTTCGCCACGTCCAGTGAAATCCCCACGTGGGCGAAGAGAGAGTTGAGATTCGCACGGCCCCTCTCCGTCCACGTTTGTAAAGCCGTTGCGACGTAGTTGCTGTGCAGCATGGAATCGTACAGCGTCCAGTGTCGAAGAAGCATAAATCTGAACTCCTCGTTGTACTGTAAACGACGCTCGGAGAATGCGTTTACGACAGTACCGTCTTCTAAATACCGCGTCATCGGTTGATCCGCGTTCGACATGGCGCTCACGCGCGTTGCAAGCTCCATCACGCACGACGTGTACATCTCATGCGACAGACGCTGGTGCAAATATTGATCCGTCATAGACACCACCGCCAACCACAGCGGTAAATAATTCTCCAGCCTATCCTTGTTCAATTTGTACGCTATATCGTGCATTATAATCCCGGACGCTCGACCGTAGAAGGACCCTCGAGCGTAATACGCCGCGCGATCCCGTGCGCGCTCTTGCCTCCGCACTCGACGCGTCCTAGGCGACTCTGGACCTTCGTCGTCATCGCTGGAGTCATCGCTGTCGCTATCGTCCGAGTGCGGCTCTGGAAACGACTCCTCCCCTTCCTTGTCGTCTCGCATCACGAGAACGTCCTGATTATCTGCGCTCACGTTCACTAAGTCCAACGGCCTGTGCGAATCGAACACGTACGCCCGCGCCCCCTTTCTCAACCCCATCACCGCTCGAACGTCCTCCGTCCCTCCGCAATTGATCAACACAATCGCCCGCTGCAACCCGTCGTCCGGGATCTCCGCCCCCAGGCGCTGTAGCTCGTCGTACTCGCTCACCGGGTACGCGCTGAACGCCACGTGGTCGCTCTTCAGCATCATCTTCAACGTCCTAAACGCGCACAACGCGTCAACTTCCGCGGTCGAGACGTAAATCAACACCGGGCAATTCGCGCCTTCATCTCTGATGGACGCGTACGCGTAGTCTGCGATGGCCACGAACCGCGTCGTCAGTCACGTGAGCGGGTTTCATTCGTTCGATTGGTTTCGACAAGTTCAAATTCGTTTACGGGAGATCATCGCGCGTCGACGGCACTTTGCTCGTTACGATGCGCGTTGGGTGCGACGAATCAAACGTACGGAAATTATTCGCGCCGACGAGCATGGCGCACGATTCGCACGCGACGCGCGCGTGCCTTTGTGTGCGGTGAAGGGCATTTGAACCACGTGCAGCTGTCTCGGCGCATCGAGCGTCGAGCAATGTCGGTGGGATAAGTCATCGTTTTGGTCGAGGCGCACATCGGTCGTCGACGACGGGAAACTTTACACGGAAGGGTTCACTACGGCTGATCTGGCGCCGGCGCGGGCGCCGGGGCGGGCGCGGCGCCTCGGATGCGCATGGAGAGCTTTGGATGCTTCATCGACGCCCGCATCGCCGCCTGCTTAACGGCTGGATCGCTCCACACGTCCATTCGCTTGATTAATTTCCTGGTGTAGCACGAGCGGCAGATCAAAACATTGACGATGATCAAGACGATACCGACGGCGATGCTGACGCCGGCGACGACACCCTTTTGTAACGGACAGCAGTCGTAATACGAGTTTGCCACGCACACCGCTTTCTCCCCGACGCCGCAATAATCATTACTCGCGGTCGCGATGCACGAGTTAAACGGATACCTCAGGGTAAGTTCGTCGAGCTGACACCACCGCGAGACGGCTTTCTTCGTAAACACGGGCGCGCACCCACCTTTCCGTCCCTTGAGCGCGCCAGAAGTGACCCGCGTCGCCTCCTCCGCGCTCTTCAAGCACCCAACCGCGATCACGTCGCGCCCTTCGTCCCGTACGCGGCTCCAGTACCCGTACGCGTTGTACAGCTCTTCAGCCGTCGTCGAGGACTTCGACCCGACGTTCGCGCTCGCGCACGACGACGGACACACGCTATCGATCGCGTCGCTCCACTGCGCGCACTCTTCGCACTGTCTACACGAACCGGTCGTCGAGTTAACGACGGCGGCGCAGTAGTGCCCGCTCACGCTCGAGCATCCCGCGTGGTTCGCGCACGAGTACGACATCGAGCGCCAGACGCGCGCACGAGACGCGCGCGCGCCGGGAAGTGCGACCGGTCGATCGCGATCACGACGAGCCGTTGTTGGAAAAGATATTTCAGGGCTTTCTGCACAACGAACGCGGATGTCAACACCCTTGTGACGCACATCACGACGCGCGTGGGCGATGGGCGGTCGACGACGATCGGTCGGCGCGCTCGCGTCCATCGCCCTTGTGTGGGCGTGCGCGTGCGCGATCGCGACGAACGCGAGCACGATCATCGAGAACGCGGTGGCTGTGAAGCTTGAAAACGTGCGATCGCTCGACGACGGCGCGCGCGTGACGCTGCGAGCGATGACGAATGGGACGACGTACGAGATTGCGTTACATCGCGACTCGGACATCGCGGTGGACGCGAGCGTGGGGGCGTGGGACAGCGGGAAGGGAGACGTGGCGCGGGACGCGGTTGACGCGCAGGGCCTGGAGTCTTTGCGAAGATGCTCGTACGAGGGTGAAGCCACGGACTCGAGCGGGAAGACGCTTCGGGCGTTCGGGACGGTGTGCCACGGTCGTCTGCGCGTGGTTATTCAGCCCCACGTCGGGAACGATCTTCTGACGATCACGGGGGACCTGCTTGGCGAGCGCTCGGAAGCCGTTCGAGCGCAGACGCAAGGGCGCATGCTCGGGGTGGAAGAGATCGACGTCGCCGCGGTGACGATCGGTGAGTCTTGGCATCTCTCCGATGAGCTGGCGCAGTTCGCGAACAACGTGACGGACGGTTTTGTGATATCTCCGGACCAGCCCATTGCCTACGTGGACGACGCCGGCGCCGTGAACGCGAGTTCTGGCGCGCACTCCAGGAAGCTTTTGCAGTCCTCCGCCGCGTACGTCGATTTCGTGTTCTGGGGTTCAACGGAATCCATGAACGTGTTCGGTTACGATATCAACGCATATATGGAGGAGAGTCTCTTGCAACTCAAAGTGATACAAAGCGCATACAGCAAGACCAGTGGCATGAATCCACCGTTGAAGTTTGCGATTAAACAGTTTTTGTACACGGCTAAAGGCTCGAGCGATCCTTGGGGCGTGTATGCGGGCACAGATTTGGGAAATATGTTAAACGCCGCACAAGCGTGGAGCGAACGGCGACCTGCTGTGCTGAACTTTGATTGGGACTCTGTCATCATCACGGCGAAGCGCAATCCGCAGTTTTCTGGCGCCATTGGCATGGCAGGCGTCGGAACTGTATGCACTCTTCGGAGCGTAAGCACGAACGCTGTCACGAAGGGCGCGTACTTGTATGCAGGCAGCACTATCGCTCACGAGTTTGGCCACACTCTTGGATTCATGCACGATGGGGATGCAGGTACGGGCACTGGGGCGTGCACTGGAAACAACTACGTCATGGCACCCAGTGAAAACGGGGCCCCAAATTTTTCACCCTGTTCGGTCGAACAGTACAACTCCGGTACGTTTCGATGGGGTGGCCTCGTTTATACTGTCGATAAATCCTGCTTGACTACGACCACGGCGACGTTCTGTGGAAACGGCGTCCGTGAGGAGGGTGAAGAGTGCGACTGCTACGGTAACGACTGCACCAGTGTTGATCCCGCGTGTGACGGGTTGACCTGTAAGCGTAAGTCTGGTGCGGTTTGCTCGGTGCTACACGACAAGTGCTGCAATATTAACGGAACCGCAGCTGCCGCATCTGGGACGGTATGCCGTGCTGCCGCTGACGCAAGCTTGAAAATTCCATGTGACACTGCGGAAGTTTGCGATGGGAGTAGTTTTGCGTGTCCAGCAGATAGCGCAGCGCCGAATGGCAAGAAGTGCGAAGATGCTCAGGGCGACGTTGGCGCCTGTTTTGATGGCGTGTGCGAGAATCGAGCAAAGTCTTGCGAAGATGTAGGGTATTTCGGCGGCAAGTGGTGCAGCGCAGCGTGCGCGAGCTCCGTGTCCGGCTACACCGCTGCGCCCTTTCATATATTCGACGCATTCACGTGTAGCGAAAGCCTATGGTGCGGTACGGCGGAGAACTCGTGCTACGTCGGTCTCTATTTGTGGAATACTCTTAACAGCAGGAGAGACGGCTTTCCTTGTTCGAATGCGAACTCGGATGGTACTTTCCCAAAAGTGTGCTACAACGGCGCGTGCACGCTGCTTAGTAGCGTACCCAGCTCAGAGTTACCGACGGCGCCACCGGTCTCGTCCCCGCCGCCGTCGCCGTCGCCACCACCTTCACCACCGCCGTCGCCGCCTCCGCCGTCGCCACCACCTTCACCACCGCCGTCGCCGCCTCCGCCGTCACCTCCGTCACCGCCACCACCGTCACCGTCGCCGCCGCCGTCGCCACCACCGCCACCATCGCCGCCGCCAGGCAGCGCGGCGCGGCCGCCGTCGCCGCCGCCGCCGTCGCCGCCGCCGCCGTCGCCACCGCCACCGTCGCCACCGCCGCCACCGTCGCCACCGCCGTCGCCACCACCGCCTCCGTCACCACCACCGCCGTCGCCGCCGCCGCCGCCGGTGGTAGTCGTGCCGTCATCGCCTCCGCCGGTTCTGGTAAACGATATGTACCCCCCACCGCCCGTGATGTCCGCTGGTGATAATGTTGCAACCGCGGGAGAGGTTGAATACGTGCGAACGAGCTGTAAGTTGACTGGTTACAGCAGGTCCGATTTCCCTGCTCAACTTCCCGCGTTCAAGCGAGGCTTGGTGAATTATTTGGGTCTCACCGCTGGGATCGACGGCGTGACGTTTCTTGACGCCACCGATACTCGACGACGTAAGTTACTCAACGCGGCCACCGTGCGTGTCAAGCTGTTGCTGACTCAGTCGGACTCGTCGTCCGCCATCATCAGCGCTTTAAACACGAGCTCCCCCACGACGGCGGACGCGATGCGGGCAAGCTTGAATGCGACGATGCCGAATTTATCCGAAGTTTCCGTCACGGAGGCAACGGTGATCGTCGCCGCCGTCGATGAAACGTATAAACCATCCAAAGAAGAGGACGAGGCGAACACGTTTGGCTACTACTTCCTCATCGCTTTGGTCGTCATCTTCCTTATGTCGCCACTGGTGATGTTTCTCCTCGGGCTTTGGTACGGCCCGTCGAGCAAGTTGGGTCGCGTCGTGCTCGTCTTCATTGGTGAGGAGAAATTTGCCACCTTTCAGAAGATGCTCTGTTTTCAGCGGACTGCGCAACAGGCTCGCGGTCCAAAGGTCATGCATATGATACCGCGCCGACGTGAGGCGCCGAAGTTCCATCTTCCTTTCACGAATGCGCGACCGCCGCCGCCGCCCAAGCGCGGCTTTTTCGGCCGCCAAACGTGACGAAACTAGTGTAGGTGCGACTCACGTCGAGTCAATTTCATATACTTGTAACGGTATATATACATATTTACGGTGGACGCGAGACGATGGCAGAACACCGACGAGCGTGGAGCACTAGTTGTCGACCAATCGTTGATGGAAAAGATATTTCGGGGCTTTCTGGTCGACGGATGCGGATGTCAACACCATTGTGACGCACATCACGACGCGCGATGGGCGATGGGCGGTCGACGACGATCGGTCGGCGCGCTCGCGTCCATCGCCCTTGTGTGGGCGTGCGCGTGCGCGATCGCGACGAACGCGAGCACGATCATCGAGAACGCGGTGGCTGTGAAGCTTGAAAACGTGCGTTCGCTCGACGACGGCGCGCGCGTGACGCTGCGAGCGACGACGAACGGGTCGACGTACGAGATTGCGTTACATCGCGACTCGGACATCGCGGTGGACGCGAGCGTGGGGGCGTGGGACAGCGGGAAGGGAGACGTGGCGCGGGACGCGGTTGACGCGCAGGGCCTGGAGTCTTTGCGAAGATGCTCGTACGAGGGTGAAGCCACGGACTCGAGCGGGAAGACGCTTCGGGCGTTCGGGACGGTGTGCCACGGTCGTCTGCGCGTGGTTATTCAGCCCCACGTCGGGAACGATCTTCTGACGATCACGGGGGACCTGCTTGGCGAGCGCTCGGAAGCCGTTCGAGCGCAGACGCAAGGGCGCATGCTCGGGGTGGAAGAGATCGACGTCGCCGCGGTGACGATCGGTGAGTCTTGGCATCTCTCCGATGAGCTGGCGCAGTTCGCGAACAATGCGACGGACGGTTTTGTGATATCTCCGGACCAGCCCATTGCCTACGTGGACGACGCCGGCGCCGTGAACGCGAGTTCTGGCGTGCACTCCAGGAAGCTTTTGCAGTCCTCCGTCGCGTACGTCGAACTTGTGTTCTGGGGAGCGAAGGACTTCATGAACGTGTTCGATTACGATGTCAACGCGTTTATAGAGGAGAGTCTCTTGCAACTCAAGGTGGTACAAAACGTGTATGACCAGACCAGTGGCATGAATCCACCGCTGAAGTTTGTGGTTAAGCAGTTTTTGTACACGGCTCAAGGCTCGAGCGATCCTTGGGGCGTGTATGCGAGCACAGATTTGGGAAATATGCTAAGCGCCGCACAAGCGTGGAGCGAACGGCGACCTGATGCGCTAAGCTTCTCCACTTGGGACTCTGTCATCATCACGACAAACCGCGATTTGACTTTTTTTGGCGCCACTGGCATGGCGACCGTTGGCTCTATATGCACTCTTCGGAGCGTCAGTACGAACGCCGTCACGAAGGGTCAATATGTTGTTGGCGGCAACACTATCGCTCACGAGTTTGCTCACGTTCTTGGGATAATGCACGATGGGGATGCAGGTGCGGGCACGTCATCGTGCAGCGGCAACTTCATCATGTCATCCGCTCAAAGTGACGCAGAAAGTTTATCACCCTGTTCGGTCGAACAGTACAACTCCGGTACGTTTCGATGGGGTGGCCTCGTTTATACTGTCGATAAATCCTGCTTGACTACGACCACGGAGACGTTCTGTGGAAACGGTATCCGTGAGAAGGGTGAACAGTGCGACTGCTACGGTAACGACTGCGCCATTGTTGATCCCGCGTGTCATGGATCGAACTGTACGTTGGTGTCTGGTGCGGTTTGCTCGGTGCTACACGACAAGTGCTGCAATATTAACGGAACCGCCGCGGCTGCATCTGGGACGGTCTGTCGCGCCGCCACTGACGCAAGCTTCAACATTCCATGTGATGTTGAGGAAGTTTGCGACGGGAGTAGTTTTGCGTGTCCAGCAGATAGCGCAGCGCCGAATGGCAAGAAGTGCGAAGATGCTCAGGGCGACGTTGGCGCCTGTTTTGATGGCGTGTGCGAGAATCGAGATAAGGGCTGCAAAGTGAAAGGATATTACGGCGGCAAGTGGTGCAGCGCAGCGTGCGCGAGCTCCGTGTCCGGCTATACCGCTGCGCCCTTTCATATATTCGATGAATACACGTGCAGAGAAAGTCTGTGGTGTGCAGCGGGTCGGGACTCGTGCGATGCTGGTCTCTACTTGTGGAATGATGTCATGAGCAGGAGAGACGGCTTTCCATGTTCGAATGCGAACTTGGCTGGTACTTTCCCAAAAGTGTGCTACAACGGCGCGTGCACGCTGCTTAGTAGCGTACCCAGCTCAGAGTTACCGACGGCGCCACCGGTCTCGTCCCCGCCGCCGTCGCCACCACCTTCACCACCGCCGCCTTCACCGCCGCCTTCACCGCCTCCGCCGCCATCACCACCACCAGGTACCAAGGCGCCTCCGCCGTCGCCTCCGCCTCCGTCACCACCACCGCCGTCGCCGCCGCCGCCGCCGGTGGTAGTCGTGCCGTCATCGCCTCCGCTGATTCTGGTAAACGATATGTACCCCCCACCGCCCGTGATGTCCGCTGGTGATGATGTTGCAACCGCGGGAGAGGTTGAATACGTGCGAACGAGCTGTAAGTTGACTGGTTACAGCAGGTCCGATTTCCCTGCTCAACTTCCCGCGTTCAAGCGAGGCTTGGTGAATTATTTGGGTCTCACCGCTGGGATCGACGGCGTGACGTTTCTTGACGCCACCGATACTCGACGACGTAAGTTACTCAACGCGGCCACCGTGCGTGTCAAGCTGTTGCTGACTCAGTCGGACTCATCGTCCGCCATCATCAGCGCTTTAAACACGAGCTCCCCCACGACGGCGGATGCGATGCGGGCAAGCTTGAATGCGACGATGCCGAATTTATCCGAAGTTTCCGTCACGGAGGCAACGGTGATCGTCGCCGCCGTCGATGAAACGTATAAACCATCCAAAGAAGAGGACGAGGCGAACACGTTTGGCTACTACTTCCTCATCGCTTTGGTCGTCATCTTCCTTATGTCGCCACTGGTGATGTTTCTCCTCGGGCTTTGGTACGGCCCGTCGAGCAAGTTGGGTCGCGTCGTGCTCGTCTTCATTGGTGAGGAGAAATTTGCCACCTTTCAGAAGATGCTCTGTTTTCAGCGGACTGCGCAACAGGCTCGCGGTCCAAAGGTCATGCATATGATACCGCGCCGACGTGAGGCGCCGAAGTTCCATCTTCCTTTCACGAATGCGCGACCGCCGCCGCCGCCCAAGCGCGGCTTTTTCGGCCGCCAAACGTGACGAAACTAGTGTAGGTGCGACTCACGTCGAGTCAATTTCATATACTTGTACTTGTACAAGTACTTGTACCGGTATGTATTTACAACGCTACGGTGGACGCGAGAGACGGGAACGAACGCGCGCAATACGATTTCGGGGATTCAAATCAAACTCGTGGTGGTGTCGATGAAAACACCCTTGGTACCAAAAAACGACGTTCTCTGTGATTCTTTTCCCGAGCCCCCGCGTCGAGTCAGGTTGCGATCGACGATCCAGTAATGAATAACGTTGTCGAGCTCCCGATGCGACTCGCTGGCTCAAAAACGCAACAAACAATGAGAAATGGGCGTTCATGTAGTCACCTGGGGGGTCAGTCATCAACGGTTTGAAAATAATGAGGAAGTGGAGTGATGTGTGAAGTCTGAGGCGGCGTCGGAAAACGGGATATGAGGAAATCTATGCCAAGTCTTGAGCGCTTAACGGAAGTTGAACCTGCGAAGAACAGATGAGTCATTAGCATCACGCACCTTCTTGGTCTTTTCGACGGAGTTGTCAAAGCACTTCCAGAATCGCAACGTCTCATCCGCCGCCGCAGAGACAACCGTGGTACCATCTGGAGACTGCGCCATGTGAAGCACCCGCGCTTGATGGCCAGTCAACTCTGCCATTTTCGTCATCGTCGGGTATTTCCACAAGCACAATTGATTCTGGCTATAACCGTGCGATGACAAAAGCTCTCGTTCATGCGTGTTCCACTGCAACGAGCACACTTGCGAGTGCGTGTCGACAGAGTTCAACATGGCGCCAGTGTTCGTGTTCCAGAACTTGATGCAGCGGTCGGCGGTACCGCCTCCCGAGGCGAGCAAGTTGGACTGGAATGGACACCACGCAAGAGCCTTCACGGCAGCTTGGTGCGCATCTAATCGGTGCAACGCTTGTCGGTTGCCGATCGAAGTCGCGTCAAAGATGTGCAACAAGTTGTCGTTACCGCCAGACGCGAGCTGGTTGCCACTCGGGCTCCACTTCAAACCACAGACCTCTTGCTGGTGAACTCGAAGCGTCGATGTGCAATGCTCGCGAATGCGAACGTCGTGAATCATGATGGTGTTATCACGTCCGCCTGTGGCAAGCTGCGAACCGTTCCACGAGATCGCGCCCACCCGCGCCGCGTGACCTCGCAACGTACGCACCTTCTTGCACTGGCTCGCGTCCCAAATTTGAACCTCCGCACTGTTCGTACCGACCGCGATGTGTTTTCCATCCGCCCCCCAGTTGACAGAAGTGATGTAGTCCTCTTCGTCCGCCGGGTTCGTCTGGCACAACTGGTTGATAGCCCCAGTATCCGCGTTCCACATGTACACGGTGCAACCCAACGCCACCGCGACTTGGTTCGACGACCCCCAGTCGATCAGGTTCAAATAGTAGTCGTCGATCAACTCCGGAGCATCTAAGATGCGTTCCGGTGCGGATGGAATCTGACGGCACGTCTTCTTCGCTCGCACACCGGCGGAATTGTTCGTGTAGACGCCTCGCGCCGAGTTTTCCATCCCACTCGGCGGCGCCGGCGCCTTTGACTTGAACGCGAGAATCTTCGCCGAATCGCTTCCCCTTTCCACGTGGAAGTTATCCGCTAGACTCTTCTTGTACGCCTCCTGCGTAAACATACACGCGTGATCGTCGCCGCGATTGGTCAGTCTCTAAATTCTTGAACACCTCTCAACGCGTCCGGGCGCGTCTCGCTCGCGCACCTTCGCCGGAGACCGTATCTCCTTTGAATCATCCTCTCCCTCCGTCCCCCGCCCGTCCTGGGACATGTTATAGTGCGCCACGTCCAAGTCCAGCGCGCTTCTGCTCGGGATGAACCGATCGACCTGTTTTCACGCGCGAAGAGCGCTCAGCTGTCAGTCCACCATGTCGAAAGTGTCGACACGATGCCGATCGAGCTCCCCGATCAAAATTCGCGCGTGTCCCGCGTCCGCGCGATCGCGCACGCGCGTCACGCGCGTCGAAACGACGCATCGTAATCCCCCCCCCCGCGAACGCGCGAACGCGCGCGCGACGCCTCGACGAACGCCCCGACGCACCTGCGCGCGACTCGGTGTCGACGCGCCGCGAACGTGCGGATCACATTCCGTCGCTCGGCGCGCCGGACTCAGCATGACGACCACTCTCTCTCGCGCGCGCGCTCCCCGACAAAAAAATACTCGATCGTTCGGCGACGCGAACGTCGAAGATTCCGCGTCGGCGAGTGCGCGCGCGCGGCCGCCGATGCGCGCGCGCGCGCGGTCGCCGTCGTTCCCCTCGTCGCGCACCGAGGGGGTACACCACGAGTCACGACCCTCGACGGACGCACACGCGTGGACGATTCCGATCCCGCGTCCGTGCGCGTGCTGATAGTGACACCGATACCCATCACGTGACTGATACTACGACATTTTGGCACCGATGTCGAGGACAAACGGCGATGATGCGTCGATTGTGTCCTCGGTTGGGCAGTGATACCCATCACGTGACTGATACTACGACATTTTAGCACCGGTGTCGAGGACAGACGGCGATGATGCGTCGATTGCGTCACTCGTCGACCCCGAGCGCGTCGCGAGAGCTCGAAGAGTGACCGACCGAATCGCGCGCGACACCTCCGCGGCGTTCGTCGCGCGCGCGAGCCGTCGACGCGCCGACGCGATCGCGCGGCGTCGACGTGTGATGTCGGCGACGGCGCGGGCGCGGGTGAGGCCGCGGGCGCGTGGGTGGGGCGCGGGGGGGGGCGGACGGCGGGCGCGGACGGCGCGGACGGCGCGGGCGACGGATGCGCGCGCGAACGCGGACGACGCGGACGACGGACGACGGACGCGACGACGGGCGCGCGGACGGACGGACGCGGATGGTCAGGGGGGGGGGCCGGCGCCGGCGCCGGCGCCGGCGCGGGGGACGGCGCGGCGACGGAGGCGGCGCGGCGGCGATGGATGGAGATATTGAAGGAGGAGTCGGCGCGCGATCCCGAGATCGCGTCGTTGTTAGAGGGGGCGAATGGGGATCCGACGGCGGTGGAGGCGAATATTCGCGAGCGGTTCGAGAAGAAGAGGGAGAAGATTTATCAAGATCGAAGCGGTTCGACGGTGCCGACGCTCGTGACGTTCCGAGAGGTGAACGCGTTCAATTGTTGGATATGGATCGAGAGTCACAATCAGATTGCGGAGATGGAGAAACCGCTCATCGAGGAGGTGTTCAAGGCGTGGTTCGTGCTCGGCAAGTTGGGTGGATTCAATTCGTTTAACATGCAGGCGATGGAAAACTACGACGAACCGTCCTTCATGGACTACTCCATGGAGCGCGCGCATGAGTTCAGTACGGACACGTCGACGCACGTTTTCCACGAGATGAGTGAGATGGAGTTCCAGGGACAGTGGGCGCGAGTTTACATCGACATGGGCACCGCGGATGAGATGGCGTTTGACGTGTTGATAAACTCGCTCATTCAGTTTTCGCGCGAATACTTTGGATTAAAGCAAGTCGTCATTGGAGGCGTGAACGAAGATTGGCCCGTTGAGGGAAGCGATTACGGTTCTACAGACTTGATTGTCGACGAGACGTTCGGGCGCGGTCCCAGAGGACGACTGTCTAGATGACGACGGAAGGCGACGTACAGCATTTTTCCCGTGTATAATGACAAACTTCAAAATTATAATCATTCGCTGTGCGGCAAGTATTGGAGCCTGACAACATTGTACTCTTTCCCGCGAACGATCACGGAGTTCGATCCCCACTGAATCTCATCCCAACGAAGGTCGTCCTCGGCGACGTCGATGTAAGATTTGGGAAGCGGCACGCCCGCGGCGAGCGTCTCCTCCAGGGGCAGCGGCTTCTTACTCACCGCCCACTTAAATTTATCCTCGTCACCCTCCTTACCTTGAACGTAGCTCAATTCATAACGCTTCCGGTTCGTCTCGAGGTACAGCGCGTCGCGACGAAGTCGTGCGCACGTCCATAGAGACCTCTTGAAACCTTGGTCGGCAATCAACCCCACGCTGTACTTCATCCAAGGCTCGTTGCACAGATTGTATTGAATCGTGACCTCACGAATGAGCCCCTTCTTACCTGTCGCAGACGTCGATGAGTTTCGTGTTTGAATGACATGTTCCTTGTTCATCGGAAAAAACGTTGGTGAAACCTTCCGCTTGTTCACATTTGGTGTGAGCTCGATCTCCGTCCCGGAGTTGGTCACCGCGTGAGCGGTCTCGATGACAAAGCCACACCCATCCTTCACGGTACCCCACGATCGCGAGCGGATCCCGTTTCGGCTAGAAGACACGTATCCTTCGGCGGGATGCGGCGTCGGTCGAACGACGACGCGCACCGATGCTAGGTTTGCCGGAACCACGGCGCTCGGACGATAATACCCCGAGTGCATCAACACGGCGACGAGATCCGAATCTGCCGTGTACACATCCGTGCCCCAGAGCTGACGCGCGCGCAAGTGGCGATTCGCGCTCGATGTCGCTTCCGCCGCGATCTCGACGTCGAGCGCCCCATCGCCGAGTTTAGACGCGAGCGACTCGCCCTCTCGGTACCTCGTCTCCGTCACATCCTCTGCGCCCGTCGCGGACACCGTCAGTCGCCCATCGCTTCGATCCCAATCCCTCGCGCAACGTTCAGCGCGATCACTCAACCATCAACGACGCACCTCTGTTCACCGTCCTCCCATCCTTCGCTTCGGTTTTCTCCCCGCTCCCTTTCTCCGCGGGTTTCCTCTCCTGCGCGGGATCGCCGCCTGAATTCCGCGTTCGCGCGCTCCGTCTCGATCTGTCTCGCTTCGCCGCCGCGTCCTCGCCCTGCGCACGCGCCGATGAACGTCGCGCATCGTCAGTCGTTCGTTCACTCGCGCGCGCGCGGCCGCGACGCGTCGTTGGATTGTTGATTTTCGTTGGTCTCCAACGCTCGCGCGCATTCAAACGTCGCGTCGTCGTCGCGTCGTCCTCGCGACGCGTTCGAGGGCGACGGTGGAGCGCGCGACGCGGCGACGATGATCGATGCACGCACCTCCATGATGTTCGAGCGCGAGGGGACGATCGCGCGGCGCGCGGTGAGGACTTCGGGGGGAGAGGCGAGCGACCCGAGGGTGCTGTGGGTGGAGATGAAACCTCGCGGATTCGCGCGCGAAGGGGCGGATGAGGACGATGTATTCGATGGCGCGTGCGCTAACAACGCGATAGACGCTATGGATATGACTAGGGGTGGCTAATTTACGGGCGATCGCGCGCGCCGAGGCCGGCGTCGGCGCCGATGATGACCTCGGGCGGCGAAGGCGCGGGCGCCGAGTGGCACTTGGCGACGCACCGCTGGCGACTACTGGCAAAGGGGAGAGCGTTGCACGACGTGTTCGTGGGAAACGACGAGCACCGCTGGCAAAACCCGGCGCGACCGTTGAAGACCATGTTGCAGAAGTTTGTCTCGCCGGTCGTCGCATTGACGGCGCACGTTTGGTACTCGGATTCGGTCGATCTCGGCGAGCACAGCGCGTGGTTCTCGGCGACGCGTGAAACGCGATTGCACTCACCTGAGGCGGCGTTGAAGGCGCACATCGGAGCATGCGTTTCACACTCCGCCGCCGTTCGAAACTCACCGCACCTGTTCCGCACCAAGCAGTGACCCCGAAGCGTCGAGACATCCGTCACGCTTGTGTTGCTACCGACGTACACCGATTTACTGCCCATCTCGATCGTGTCCGGAACGGTCCACAGGCACCCCACAGAGCCCGTGACGTTCATCGTGCACGCTGCACTCGTGTTGTGCGCCGCGCACGCCGCCTGCGCGTTTCGCTCGTCGTAACATTGCCCGTCCAACCAACCGCAACCCGGCTGCGTGCACGTCTGCACGGTGGTGTACGCCGCGCAGTTCAACTCCGGGTAGCCGCACCGACCTGTGTCCGCGTTGAACGCGCACACCAAACCCTGTTTACTGCACCCCACCTCGCTCGTGAACGTCCCGCAATCGACGATGCAATTCGAATCGATCCACGCGCAACCGTACTTCTCTCGCGCGAACGCGCACGAGGCCGCCGTTGCGTGCTTCGCGCACTTCTCAATCACGCCCGTGGCGAACGCGCTGATCGTGAACTCATGCCGCGTCGCCAGACTTAACTCTACCGGGGGCGGCGGCGCCGAAGTATCCGACGTCGACGCCTCCGTCGGCGCCTCCGTCGGCGCCGACGCGCTCGAATCGTCCGACGGCGGATCGCCGTCAACCGACACCTCCGTCGTCGGTTCCTCCGCCCCGGGCGCACCTAAAACGTCCTCCCATCCAACCACACTCTCACTCGATCCCCCAGAGGTACTGGAGGTCGTCGTTGCCGTCGAGCGCGCGTTCGCCGTCGACGCCGTCGACGCGGCGCTCGGCGTCGCCGTCGTCGTCGTCGCCGGCGCCGGCGCCGGCGACGACGTCCGCTCGCTGAACGGCTCCACCGCGTACATCGTCGCTCCCGCGAGCATGACGACCGCGAGCGCCACGAACGCCAGCGACCACCCTTTGCGTCGCGGCCATCGCCTGAAGCTCGCCGAGGGTGTTGCGTCGTCCCGAAGCGGGTCGTCGTCGTCGGGCGCGCGTGCCGCGTCGGGCGTCGGCGCGTGGGACGTCGCCATCGCCTCATCGTACGTCAAAAGCGTCGATCGCGTCGACGCGTGCGCCTGGCGCAGGGGCGTGTGCTCCGACGTCTTCATCGCGCGTCGAGCACTCGGGCGTGGATGTTTTAGTGTTCGCCCCAGGGGCGCGAGCGCGGGAGAATAACTCAGAGAACACCTCCCTCACTCACAACGGTCTCGATCGCGGGGTCGATGCGGTGACGTCGAATAAAACCTCGCGCATGTACCTGTCGGCGACGTCGACGCCGAACGCGCGCTCGAGCGCTCGACGGGTCTTTTCGTTCTCGAGCTGACGGTCGCAAAATCGAACCTGCGCGTCCAGGGCGCGCGTCGATCCGCTCTCGAGCACGAGCTCGGGCGCCTTGGCGAGCTCGCAGTGCGCGTCGTGTAATTTATATGCGTAGTCGAAGAACGCATCGACGTCCCGTGACGCGGTTTCGTCCGCTCGAGGACCTACGCACAGGCACAGCGGACCGAGAATCGCGCGTCCCCACTCCGGGAGCTCGCGTCTCGCCACGCCCAACTTCAACGTCTCCTCCAACATCCTCCCTCCCACGTCTTCGTACGTCTCAGGAAGGCTCAAATCACTCGTCACCGGCGCGCAATCGACCACGCACAGCGATAACCGTCCACCGAAACCCACCGCGTCCGCCGCGTACACCGGCGCCGCCCGCTCCGCCCACGGATACATCACCACGTGCAGCACCTCGAACCCACCGTCACCCCACGCCAGCTCGACGTGCATCTTACGAAACACATCGCTCTCGTACACCGCGTTCTCCACGCACAGCTTCGACGGCGCATCGTCCAGCGGTCGCATCGACGCGAGGTCGTCCCCCAGCCCATCGCTCGGCGTCGCCCCCAGCGCCTCCCACCGCTCGACGAACGCCTCCGCGGCGCGTCGCGTCGCGCTCACGGGCGCGTTCGTCGCCCCCGCCCACGCGCGGCATCGCGTCGAGCTCGCGCGCGCGCTCGACGCTATTCGAGCGCTCGACGCGCGCATGTCTTCGAGCGCGTCAGTGACGGGCGTTCGCGACGCCTCGCGCGCCATGCTCGCCCTCGCCCGCGCGTGTCCGCGCGCGGCGTTCGCGCGCGTCCGTTCGCGCGCGCGCCGAGGGCGTCACTCGCACGCGCGCGCGTCGGCGGGGGCGCGAAGCCACCGCGCGAGCTCGCGCGAGCGGAAACACGCGCGGGCGGCGGACGCGCACGCGGCGGCGATCGCGCGCGCGATCGAGGCGGACGGCGCGCGCGCGCGGGCGTGTCGAGGGCCGTGCGCGGGATGCGGGACGACGCACGCGATGGCGCGCACGGCGGAGGCGGAGGCGGAGGCGCGCGCGGTGGCGCGGGCGGTGGAACGGGCGGGACGGTTGGATTACGACTGCGCGGTCGCGGACGGGCGATTCAGCGCGATGGCTTTAGAGGCGTGGGACGGTGGGAAGATGATCGGGGTGCTCGTGGGGACGGAGCGGTCGAGTGGGAAGCGGGTGACGCTCAAGGCGTTTAGCGGGCAGTTGTTCGGCGCGTGGAGAGTCGAGGGTTGGGCGCCACCGGTCGGAGAGCTCACGCACGATAACGTCGCGTACGTGGAAGAACACGCAAAGATACAGCGTTTGAGCGAGCGCATAGCGGAGGCGGAGTCGGCTGAGAAGGAGGCTCGAGCCGCGGCGACGGCGGAGGCGGCTTTGAGAGAGGGCGAACTGGAGGCGCTCAATAAAGCCGCCAAGGCGGCTCAAAAGGCCAGGAGACGGGCGCGCGCGGCGCTGGGCGACGATGCAAGTGCCGCCGATATTGAGGCGTTGGACGAGGAGAGTCGGCGCTCGAAGCGTCAGGTGGCGGCGGCGAAACAAGTCATCAACGAGGCGACGGCGACGATGCGCGCGCGCGCCGATTCGCTTCGAGAACGCATCGATGAGATGAAAACGGAACGGAAAACGCTCTCACAAAACCTCCAAGAGAATATTTGGGATAGTTACAAACTTCCTAGCCTAAGCGGTGACGTCCAACCACTGCGTGATGTGTTTCATCCACGAGTCACATCCATTCCGTGCGGTTGCGGCGACTGTGCGGCGCCAAAGCTCCTCGCCTGGGCGCACGCGCGAGACGTCGTCCCGGAAAGCATCGCGGAGATGTGGATCGGTGCGTCACGCCCGCGCGATTTTCGAGTTCGCGGAACCTTTTACGGTGCGTGCAGGGACAAGTGCGTTCCAATCATGGGACACTTGCTCTGTCGACGCGAGCGGCTAATAGACGTCACCGTCGTCGAGCGCCGCGACGCCGGCACGAACGCCGACGCATCCTGATTCTTTCTAAATGTACATTGTTTGTATCCCTCCGAAACGTCAGCACACTTTCTCTCGTCGACTTCGTCGTGTCATTTTTCGCGACTCGCTCTCGCAACACTAAAGAGCTCAGGATCCTTGATGAAGTCCTCCAGTCGGTCGCTCACGCGTGGACATGTCGGCCGACCCCGCGCGCTTCGGCGCGAACGGCGCAGGCGATGTCCCCGGAACCGACGCGAACCCATCGCGCACGGAATCCCGCGCGTCCAACCTCAGCTCGGTCGCTGAAATCAACGACACGCTCGGTTGGTCCACGTACCAATGGCGACTCTTCGTCGTCACCGGTCTTTGCATCGCCGCCGAATCGGTGGAAGTGAACCTGCTGAGCTTTCTGACGGTGGAATGCGCGAAGGAGTGGAACCTGACGGGCGCGAGAGTCGATCACGTCGCCGGGAGCGTGTTCGCGGGCGAGGTCGCGGGGTGCGTGTTGTTCGGTTTACTCGCCGACGCCATCGGGAGACGACCTACGTTCGCGATGGGGACGGTTTTAGTGGCGGTTTTCGGTCTCGCGACGGCGTTCGCGAGGAATTTATTTGAGATGACGATCCTAGGCTTCGGCGTTGGGCTCGGGATCGGCGGTTTCAGCGTTCCGTACGACTTGCTGTGCGAGTTTTGCCCGAACGCGGTGCGTGGGGTGGTCATGATGGCTCTATGGATATTCTGGACGTTTGGATCGTTTATGGTGCTCATTTTAGCGTCAACGATGCTAGAGACGCAGGGATGGCGAATGCTGTGCATTTATTGCGCGATTCCATCCATCTTGAGTATGTTTGGTTTGATGTTCGTAGACGAGAGTCCACATTGGTTGGTGATCAAGGGACGACGGAAGGAAGCTGATGCCATCTTGCGCAAGGCGGCAGAGATGAATAGGGTAGATTTGGGGGAGTTTGAGTTGGAGAGCGAAGACTTCGGGACCTTGGATGTGGGGGTGTTATTTCGGGATGGGAACGCATACCGAACCATACTCATTTGGACGTGTCAGTTCTGTCAAACGTTCATCTATTACGGCATTGTGCTCTACCTCCCACGTGCGTTTGCGCGCATAAGTGGACCTACTAGTACGCAGAGTGGAGCGCAGTACCCGTATTGGGCGCTCATTCTTTCGTGCGCGGGTGAATTTGTGGCGGCTGTCATTGTGCTGTACGCCGTCCAGAGGTACACCCGCTCTCAGTTGATCTTCTTCTCCTTCTTGGTGTTCGCGTGTTCGTTCCCGTTCGTCGTGATGGACGTTCCGGACGTGTATATGGTAGTCCTCGCTATGATCGCAAGAATGGCAGCGACGAACGCCGGGAACGTGTGTTGGCTCGCCTCTCCGGAGGCGTATCCCACCAACGTTCGCGCCACCGGCCATGGATGGGCCAACCTCATCGCGCGCATCGGCGCTTTAGTCACCACCTATTGCGCCGGATGGCACGATCACGACGAAGTCGCCGCTCTCTATGCGTGCGTCGCCCTCATCGGCGCCGCTGCCGGATACATGCTCCCGCCCGGCGTCATGCCCGGGAGCGAGCCGAGCGACAAGTTCGACGCCAAGGGACGCCTGTTCCGATCGAAAAAACAGAGCTGATCGCCCCTCGCGCGCTAGAATCGGCACCCATCACCCATGTATCACAGTTAATCCCACCGCATCGCGTCCCGTGTCGAAGAGTTGATCACTCGTGCTGATGTGTACGGGCGCGCCAACCGCCACCCACTGACGTCACTTTCCCACGCCTCGTCCACCGCTCGCGATGGCGCTCCAGCGCGCCCTGGTCGTCGTGCGCGTGGCCAAGGCGAAGAACCGCGACAGCGGCCGGTCGATGCACTTCCGTCCCGGGAAACAGAGCCAGAGCGCGAACTCAACGTGCGAGGAGACGCAACGCGGTGGCAAAGGAAGCTCGAAGACGACGCGTTCGCAGCGGACGAATAAGACGTACAAGCAGCGCGTGAGCGGACGACCGACCGTGGACGACGTCGAGCGGGCATCGAGAGGAGATCGGACGAAGGCCATGGGCGTGGTCGAGCGCGAGGCGCCGTATAGGTTGACGCGGGACGAACGAGAGGCGTGGGAACGGGCGAAAAAGCGAGGCGTGTTGGAGACGCGCTCGACGAGTAAAGACGCCCTGGCGCCGCATCGGTTTCCTTTGGTGAATACGCATCGAGCGTATTGCGACGCAACGGCGAGAATGTTCGTGTGCGTGGAGCAGGACGCGCAGGGTGAGGATGAAGTCGTGGTGGATTTGAGCACGCTACGGGCGAGGGCGGACGGCGCGGCGCGCGCGCGGTTGATGACGATGGGCGTCGAGGTGGGCGCGATCGTGGATGATTTATGTGGTGATGAAGAGCCGTTGGCGGCGCAGATGCGGTACGTGGCGATCACGAAGGCTGGACTCGAGCGCACGGCGTTAGTGGAGCTATTGGACGGCGGTGAGGTGGAGACGACGCCGTCGCCGAGCGAGGACGATATCGACGCGGCAAGAGATGCCGTGGCGGTCGTGGCGGATCGTGTGCGGGCGTTGAAAGATTCGGGCAAAAGCAATGCGGATGAAGACGTCAAGGCTGGCGTGCAAGAGCTTATCTCACTCAAGGCGACTTTGGAGGCGATGGAAGCCGCCGCGTCAAGAAACATTGAGGGCAGCGACCAAACGGGCGTGAATGCGGAGGAGGAGTTGGAGAGCGTCGAAGAGGAGGCGCGGCGATCGATCGAGGAGCTGCCCATCCACGGCTTACCCGAACGTTTCGTGAGGTTCAAGTGCTCGGATCGCGCGATGGCAAAGTCGCTGTCGAAAGCCATCTCGCAGGAAGATCTGTCGCCGCTTTGTTTATGACGTTAGACATATTTAGACGCGCGTGATGCGCACACTTATTTATCCGAGATTCATTCTTTACAGTAAATCAACCATCAGAGCCTCTTGCTTGTGTGTCAACCCGACTTGCTCAATAGTGCTGTCGTTCGCGGCTTCAATCACGCGACGAGGATGCTGCGCGATAAATCTGTACGTCCCCGGCTCCACGGCCAAGCGAGAGCTCTCATCGTGGAGTTTCTCGTAACCATCGATGAAAGAGAAAAGCGTCCTGACGTTGTGCGAGGATGAAAATCGACGCATTACGCGCGATCCGTCTGGAAGACGGAACGCTATGTTCACCGCGTCCGCCGCCTCGGCACTCGGCTCGTCCGGCAATGCGTCTGCGGCCTCGGAAGCGAGCTTAGCCCGAGCCGCTTCTTCCGCTTCACGCTCAGCCTTTGCTCGCGCTTCGGCTTCAGCCTTTTCGGCCTCCATCATCTCCCTCGCCACTTCCTCCGCGCGTCTCACGGCTTCCTTCTCTTGGTCGGCGCGTAGCGATTCTTGATACGCGAGATCCGTTTCGCTGGTGATGTTCCTCGCGTCTAACACGTGGTCCGGCGCGGGTGCGCTATATCCATAATCAACGACGCGATTCGCCGGTGGGACGTACGCGATCCCCAACATCGCCGCCTCGAGCATTCTCGCCTCTTCGCGATCGATGCCGTCTGGTAAATCGACCATCGCGTCGGCGTCGCCGCCGCGCGCGTCGGCCCCTCCATCTCGCGCCTCGAACGCGCTCATCCCGAGACCTATCCTCGCACGCGTCGATCGTCTCTCCCGTCGCTCCCTCGCGGCTAAGATTTCACGCATCATCCGCGCGTTCACCTCATCCGGGTCCTCGTCGTCTTCGCCGATCAAATCGATCGGCGACTCGTCGCCCGACTCCCGCCACTCCTCCTCCGAATCATCATCCCGCGCGCGCCAACCTCCCGAACCGCTCTCCCCTCGTCCTCCACATCCACCACCCTCTCCATCACTGATCACCATCGCGTCGTCTCCCACGTCCGCCGCCGCGTTCGATCGCTCTCGCTCAAACGTCTCCACCCGCCGCTCCAGCGTTCCCTCGAAGTGCGCCGTCGCCGCCGCCTCTAGGTCCATCCCGCACGCCTACGCGCGCGGCGCGTCACCCACGCCTCCCCGTCAGTCACCCCCATCGTTCGATCGCGCGTCTCGTCGTTTCGTCGCGGCATCATCCATCCGGCGCGTCCGCGTCGTCGTCCCGTCGCCATCCATCAAAGTCTCGACCATCGCGCGTTCCCAGACGCGATGCCCATCGCTCGCGCGTCCGCGTCGTCCTCGCTCGCGTCCCGCGCACCTCCAGCGCCGCCACCGCGCGCGCGGGGTCGATGCCCGTGACCCCGCAGAGCGTGCGCACGCGCTCGTCGTCCATCACGGCGCGCGGCGTCGTCTGTCGATCGACGCCGACGCACGAGCGATGGCGATCGTCATCGTGCGCATCGCGTCGTCGCCGTGCGCGTCGTCGCGTCGCATCGCGCGCGAACGAGGCGCGGAGGCCATGCGCGGCGTCGACGCGGTGGACGATGGGCGACAGCGCGCGTGCGAGCGCGCGGTGGCGCGATGCGACGAGCGCGTGGTCGCGTTGGCGCGATTGTGTAAACAGTTCAGAGATGACGCGCTGCGAGCGAACGAGGCGGTGCGAAATGAGTTCGTGGAGGCGCTGAGGTCGAATGGAACGGGAGGCGGGCGCTCGGGGGGTGGTTCCGGCGAAGGGGGGGGGGACGAGGCGGACGCGCGCGGCGGACGCGGAGGCGGAGGCGCGGCGGGAGAGGCGGACGCGGTGCGAGCGATGTTGGAGGCGTTCGAATCGCGCGTTGAGGCGAGGATCGATCGATTAGCGACGATGATCGGTGAAGCGAGCGCGGTGCGGGCGGAGGAGAGCGCGCGGTTGCGGGAAGAGTTGGAGCGCGAGCGGGCGGCGAGGCGGGCGGCGGAGCGAGCGGCGGAGCGAGCGGCGGAGCGAGCGGCGGAGGAGGCGACGAGGTGGGACGGCGGTAAATCGGAGCGTCGACGCGAGAGGAACGGTCGGCGTGCGCGGAAGTTCGATCGCGGCGACGAAACGGCGGAGTTGAGCGATGCGACGTCGGTGGACTCTGACGTTGAGCGAGCGGAGGATCGAACGCGAACGAATGCGAAACCAGAGCTCGAGGCTCGGCGACGGCGACTTCGCGCGCTTTATCGTGAACTTCAGGAGGTTACGATGTGACAGTTTTGTCGTTTGGAAGCTTCGTCGGCTCGCGATCGATGTAGATGCTCCGAGACGTTGGCGCCGGAAAAGTCAACATCGCGTCTCGGTCAAACGCTTTGACCGCGACGCCTCAGACGTCGAAGCGAAAAAGCTATCGAAAGATTCGTCGTCGAGCGGGAGCTCGTTCATAGGAAGTTCGCTCTACGTGTGACTAGATCGCGCCCCTACTGCGTCGTGAACACCCCTCAATTGTCGATGCGAGGTCGAGATGAGTCGCCCCGCGCGAGCACGTCAACACCAGATGGCTCGATATTCGTCCGCGTTCCGGCGGCGCATGCGCGCACTGGGAGCGATAGAGACGATCGAGGGTCAGTCTCAAGTCCCGCGGCTCAGACGGCCAAACTACTCGTCGCTGTGCGAACCAGACCGGTGGAGACGGAGGCTGATAGGTTCGCGAGACGAGAGCACGCCGAGAGAGGCGTATCAACGCCGAATGTGCGCGCGCAGAGCTCATCGAGCGCGCTCGTGGCATCGATGCAGGTACTCACGCGATGCAGTCGGAAAAAGAGTATTCTACGCGTAATCAATCGTGATACGGTCGTGGTGATGGATCCCGATGAGGAAAAGGCGTACTTGGACCAAGTTCAACGAAGGAGCAAGGCGCGGCGGTACACGTTTGACGTCGCGTTCAACGAGTCGGCGACGAACGCTGAGGTGTACGAGGCCACCGCTCGTAGCTTTATATCCAGCGTCGTGAACGGTATGAACAGCACAGTGTTCGCGTACGGTTCCACTGGCTCGGGAAAGACGCACACGATGATTGGAAACTATGACGAACCGGGCATGATGTTTCTCTCACTGGTGGACATTTTCGACCAAATCAAGTCAATGCGAGACAAGTACGAGTTCGAGGTGACGTGCTCATATTTGGAGGTTTACAATGAGCTCATTTACGACTTATTGATCGTCGACAGTCCGCCTCTGGAGTTACGCGAGGATCCCGAGCGCGGGCCGGTGCCAATGGGTCTGACGCGTATTGCCGTCAAAGGTCCAGATGATATCACCAAGCTTTTGCACGAGGGAAACGAGCGCCGCAGCATCGATCATACTGAAGCGAACGCAACGTCGAGTCGCTCACATGCAGTCTTAGAGATAACCGTGCGGCGTTGGGCAAAGGTGACCAAGGGAAAAGAGAAGCATGTTTTATGCGGCAAGTTGTCGCTGGTAGATTTGGCTGGGAGTGAACGCGCGTCGGACACGCAGAACTGCGGACAGAAGTTACGAGACGGAGCAAACATCAATAAGAGCCTGCTCGCCCTTGCGAACTGCATCAACGCGTTAGGTCGACACAGCAACTCCAAGGCGAAGGGACGGATGTACATTCCATATCGCAATTCCAAGTTGACGAGACTATTAAAGGATGGACTCTCGGGAAACTCAAGAACAGCCATGATCGCGACAGTGAGCGCGTCGAGTGAGCAGTACAACCACACGATAAACACTCTGAAGTATGCGAATCGAGCGAAGGAGATTAAGACCAACGTTGCGCAAAATGTAGTTATCGCTCGCGAGCGCCACCACATTGGCAACTATCAGCACGTGATCGACGACTTACAATCAAAAGTGGCGCGGTTGAAGACGCAGCTGGCGAACAAGGAAGCGGTAGCGCGGACGAGTCAATCGACCATGGGCGGGGTCGGATCGTTCTCCGAAACCTGGTTAGATGCGTTGAGTGATGACATCAACGAAAACGTCGACGAGCGAATCAACATACAGAAGGCCCTGTTTGAGCTCGAGGATATAAACGCGCAGAACGTGTACGAGCGCTCGGCATTGAGGCGGCGCTTGGCGGAGGTAACGGAAAAGAATCCGAACGATCCGGCACGACGCAAATTACGAGGACGAATAGACGATATCGACGAGACGATTCGCGCAAACGAATCACTCGGCGCAAAGTATCGAAAGGATATCGATGCTAACGAACTTATTCGAGAAGCTATTCAATCCCGCATCGATTGTGCGATATCGGAGGGGAAGTCTCCTAGTTTTCTACGAATTCTTTCCCAATACAGACTTGTCGGGGTTAAGAACATGGAGTTGCACTTCCAGCTCGCGATTCGGGATCAGATTATCAGCGAGCAGCGAGAGATGATTCGAGGGTTCTGGGAGGTCATGGCGCACGCCGGGCTCAGTAAAACTCTCGTCCAAGACATTGCAAATCGCGAGGGAATACGCATAGACGGCGCGCGCGTGCGAGAAGAGCTACCCGGATCGAACGTTTCAGCGCAAAGCGGTAGCTTGTGGAATCCTTCGAGACCATCGGAGGTGTCGCCACGTCCTTCTCGACCGAAATCTGACGACCGTCCGTTGAGTGTATCTTCGCCCGCGAGTCCACTGGCGATGCGACGACGACCGGTCGGCCTCGAACGCATCACAACGCTCGCCATGCCACCGCAAACGCCTACAGCGAAGATGGGGCGAGCTGAGCGCTCGAGACCGCTGAGCGCTCGACCTGTTTCGAGCGGTTCGCTGAGCGCCCGCGATTATACACGCACGAGTGCGAGCAATGGCGATTTATACAGTCACATCAAGCGTCAAACGACAAGTGAAAGTCCTCGACGCACGCCGACCGCCGAGGCGCGCGGCAGCGCCAGGCTCATTGAAGCCCGCGCAACTAGACAGCGGACTTCGAGCAGGAGTATTCATAGTGGCAAGGATAAATAATAATATATTGTACCAAAGCAAGCATCATGAAGTCAAAAGCCCGTTCTCACTGGTTCGCGACATTCTCGGTCCGACGGAGCATGACTCGGAACACTGGCAAACCCTCGCCGAGCGTCTGCAATTCGCGCTCACTTGGAGTACCGATGGGGTTTTCGCTCAACCACCCGCCGTGTACCCACGTCGAGCGCCATCCGTCGTCCTCGCCATCGTTCTCGGTCTTCTCTACAGGCGCCTCCGCCGCCTTGGCCGCCTTTTCGCGCACGTCGTCGACGTCGTACAACTCTGGATCCAAATCAAAGCACCCCTCGCCGTAGCGCTCAAACTTATCGCGCATGTCCTCTGTGAGCTCCTCGACGTCCGATTGCAAGTACACGCGTGTTCCAGGTTTCATCGCTTCCGCAAGGGAGCGCACCAGTCGTTCCTGAACAATTCTCCGCTTGCGATGTCTCTTCTTGAAGTGCGGATCTGGGTGCAAAATTGTCACCAGCTCCACCTCCGCTCCGTTCGATTGGTAATTCTTAATCCACTCCCCGATTGACACCGTCGCGTTGCACGTCGCGAAGTGCACGTTCCCCGACACCCCAGACGCCTCGCCCCAGGACAGCCCGCGCTCAACCAGGGGCTCGCGAATGTCCACCCCGAGCACGTTCCGTTCCGGGTTCCGCTTGGCGTACAACAAATCGAACCTCCCTCCCGCGCACCCGACATCGATCGTGAGCGCCCGCGTGACGTCATCAAACGCATCCGTCCACGTCGGCGCCGGTGCCTGCTCCTGAAACCGCGACGTGAGCGGATTGACGTGTTGCCGCACGCGCACGCCCTTCGCCCCCGCCTTGGCCAACTCCAGCTCCCCGTACTCCCCCTCGTCCGCCATGAGCTTCGTGCCGTGCTGGACGTAATTCTTCAGCCCCGTCACACCGAGGAGTCGTCGGTCACCGTCGCGATCGCGCTTATTCGTCACGCGCGACGCGTCGGCGCGGTTCGCGTCTTCATTCACACCGCCGCCGCTCGGGACCGCTTCGTCTCTCAGTGCGTTTCCCGTCGTCGTCTCTCGGCTCGTCGACCGCATCGTCCGCGCACCGACTCGACCGACGACGCGTCGCGAGTGCGCGATCGCGCGCGCGCCTCGCACCGCCGCGCTCGCGCGCATGGAACTGCGGACGCGCCGTGCGAAAAAGTGATTTTTTGGTCGATGACGATGATTCTTCATTCATCGACGCGTCGACGACCGGACGATGTCGTCGATTGGATCGAGCGCGCGCATCGCTCCGCGTGACCTCGCGCGCGGTTCCGCGCGCGCGCGCGCGCGTGGTTCGCGCCGTGGACGAAGCGCGCGCGCGTCGAAGAGCGATGACGACGACACGGGGGCGCTGTCGGAATCCTCTCTCCAGGACGTCATGGCCAAGCTGAAAGCGGCGGAGGCGGAAAAGGAGCGATTGAAGAGCGAGCTCGAACGCGCGACGGGCTCGAGCGCGACGGTGGGGTCGGCGGCGGAGCTCGCGGGGAAGAAGAAACCGCGCGTGGACGGCGTCGGGAAGCGGGAACAAATCTTCGGGAAGACCACGGCCGGTGACGCGTGGTTGCGAGACGGGATGGAATTTTTGGTTCGTGATCAACCGAGTGAGGCCGGCGTGGCGGCGGTCGGGATGACGAAGGACGAAAAGGACACGGTGAACAGACGGCTGGCGATCGGTTTGGCGCTCACAGGCGCGTTCGCGGCATTCAGTCAGATTTCGATCGAGGCGCCGGAGCCGGCGAAACCGCTCTTCTTTTATCTCGTTCCTATCGTTCGAAGTCGTGAGTTACTGCGACGGGCTGCGAAGTCAGCGGATGAGGGGGAGTGGGACGACTTAAGCTCGACGGTCAGTCGCGTCAAGGGACCGCCTAACGACGTAAAGGAAAACCTGTTTAAAGCGGCGGCGTACCTGAGTGGAAGCCGTGAACAAAAAGCTCGCGAGATCGCGTTCGACTTTTTGGAGTACCTAGAAAAGGTGGACTACTCCAAGTACTTTGAGAACATGGGCGCAGTGAGCGGCTCCAAGGCGGCGGAGTACGCTGTGTTCAGCGCCAAGGCAAGCAGGAGCTCCGTCGCAAAGCTCGATGAATTTTTGGCGCTCATGGATCGCGAAGCCGTGGATGCCGCTGAATCCCAAGTCGCTGCCTTTGCTGCTCCGGAAGAAAGTCCGTCTTTCGTCGAGAAGATTGAGGAAGCTGAAGAAGCCGTTCGCGAAGAGCGCGTCGATGAACTCTTTTAGAACGATGCTCGATAGTTGTTATTGCACGCGCAACGAAGTCACGCTCGCTGTCGCGTTTAAAAGTCATCCTCTTCGGTGTCGGAGTCCTCGTCATCATCGAAATTCAGTTTCCATCCCTCGGCGATGAGCTGTTTTCTCACCACAATGATGTATGCGCCATCCTCCGACGGGACGCCGCTCGCCGCGAGCGTCTTCTTATCCTCCAACTCTCGACCGTTGTACATGATGAGCTCCCACGGCTCAACGAATTCCTCCAATCGATGCAGCGTGTCCACCGACGGCAGCCCCACGCGTTCCATCACCATCGCCTTCAACTCTCGAGCCGTCATCTTGAGCTCGTCCACGTCCAAATCGAACTCGTCCAAAGCGAACGTCCTCGTCGCCATCGACGTCTTCCAATACAGGCTCCACTTCTCCTGCTGCAGCCTGGGCTTGATTCTCAATCGCATCTCGCTCGCGCGCGTCGTCCGAGTGACGTAACGCCCGCGCGCGCCTCGAAAGAAACGCGCGACGCTTCGGTTTTTTCGCTAACAATGAAGACGAACCGGCGTTCGAGGCCACAACCCGCCGCCGCACCTCGCCCTCGCATGTCCACCGAAGACGCGTGGACGACGGTGACGCGAAAGTCATCGCGATCGATCTCTCGTCGCGACGAGGCGCGGTTGCAGCGCGCGGCCGCGAAGACGAACCTCGGCGAGGCTGCGCGCGCGCGAGAGCTCGAGCTGGACGACAACGAACTCACCGAACGCGTCGACGCGCTCCGCGGGAAGATTCGACGCGCGCGCGAGGACGTCGAGCGGGCGTCGTTCGTGCGTCGAGCCGTGGACGCGATCGAGAGTGCGGTGCGAGCGCGGTCGAGGGGGCGCCGAGCGACGGTGCTCGCGTTGGGGTTGGGGTCGCCTTCGACGAGCGCGGCGACGAGATGTCAACTCGCGTTCGCGACGGTCGTCACTGAGGCGTTGAGCGACGCGAGTGAGACGCCCGCTCGATTGTTGGCGTACGACCCGTGCTTCACGCTCGTAGACGAGCGCGCGATGAAGGCGGAGGCGGCGTGCGAGACGTTGGATCGAACGCGGTGCGACGCGTACGTCGAGGCGACGACGAACGGTGATGACGACGATGGGTTCTTGGTGTTTTACATGCCACACTGCGAGGGACATCTGTACGAGTCCGTCGTCCAGGCGCGATGGAGCGTGCAGGGTATGCGGGAGTTCGTGTGCGTCGGGAACACGTTCGAGACGTACGCCGAGCGATGGAAGACAAAAAACGCGGATCCGGAGAAAAAGCGACCGTCGCGCGTGATCGCGGCGTCTAGCATAGCGAATTCGATGCTCGTGGATCCGGGAGACACGTTTGCGGTGCAGGGCGCGTTCAACGATACGAGCGTTCAAACATTTGACGTCGACAAATTGTTGCCGGTATTTCTTGAAAACTAGATGAAGCTTAGCATAGAGATTGCAAACGCGTGTGATGTAAACCTAGATCGTGTATTCGCTCACCATCTCTTGAGATTTGGCCCAGAGTTTTTTGGCGTTCTCCTCTGTGCGCCACTCGAACAGCTTGTCTGGGAAGCCAAGCTGCGGTGCCAGGAATTCAGTGCCACTCGTCAAGAACCAATCGCCCGCCTCTACGAGCTGCGCGCGCGTCGCCCCCGGATAAACCAAGCCAGGGTCAATGAAGAACTTACCCGTGACATCGCCAGCTTCATCGGCCGTCGCGAGCCACGTGGACGTGCGTCCGCCCTCGTCCGGGTTGCGAATGCCTGCCTTGCTCGCGAGCCGGCCAAGGAAGCTCGCCCGCTCCTTCTCCAAGTCGCGATTAGATTGCACCATGTTCGGCACCGAGTATCGAACCAAGTTCGTGGTCACGATGCCTGGGTGCAGACTATTCGCCACCACGCCGTGTTCGGCCTCCCGACGAGCAAGCTCGTCCGCGAACAAGACATTCTGCGCCTTCGACGCCCCGTACGCGTACCACGGATCGTAATCGCGTCGTTTCCAATCTAAGTCGTCCAGATCCAGCGCAAAATCTCCAATCATCGCCAAAAGGCTCGAGACGCTCACGACACGACCGCCGTTTTTCCGAAGTTCGGGCGTGAGCGCGTCGGCGAGTAAAAAGTGCCCCAAATGATTAATCCCAAAGTGTAGCTCGTGTCCTTGCTTCGTTCGCTCGAGCGGCGCCGCCATGATCCCGGCGTTACACACTAACACTTCGAGCTCTAAGTCGTGCCGATTGAGCAACGCCAACGCGTACTCTCGCACGCTCGCCAAATCCGTCAACTCGAGCGGGACGTTTAGCGCGACCACCCGCGCGTCCGCTCCGACGTCCGCCCGAATCTCTCTCACCGCGCGCTCGGACTTCTCAACGCTTCTACACGCAACGACGACTGTTTTTCCTCGAGCAGCAATCTGCCGCGCCGCCGTGAGCCCGATTCCACTGTTCGCGCCCGTGACGAGGACGCAGCGCTCGCGTCCGCCCTCCGTCTCCGCCCGCGCGAGCGTCGATGGCCCGAGCGACAACCCGAGCGCCGAGAGGAACGCGGCGTCGCGAACAAAACCACGTCGACTCGTCGTCGTCGTCGTCGTCGAGTCGTCGGCGGCGACGGCGCGAACGGGACGATGCGGACGCACGGCCTGTCGACGTCTCGACGCATCATCGACGCGTCTTGTCGCACCGAGCGTTCGAGAGGACGCGCGGGCGAGCTCGAGGGCGAGTGTCATGGCGTGTAAACTCCGAGGCGGGCGAGTGCGCGCGGACTCGGTCGCGCGCGCGTGTATGCGGTGGATAAGGGTGACGCGCGCTTTTTGGTCCGAGCGGGACGCCGACGGGACTACGACGCGAACGCGTTCGATGGCGTCGCCCTGTGGTAACGTTAGGGTTGAGGAACTTGAATTAATAAATGCATACGCGCGCACACGTCGGTCTATTCGTCCTCGATCGCTCACTTGGCGGAGTGGTCGCCCTCCTTGCCGTTGCGGTTGTACGTGCCGAGCGCGGCGGCGCCAGCCTTTTCAAGCTCTGCGATGTAGAGCTCGCCCATCTCCTTCAGCGGAAGCTCCGTCTTACCGCGGCAGAGCTCGAAGAGCGGCATTTGAAGCGCGGCAGACCAAGAGAAGGAGAGGTTCCACGGGTCCTTGGCGGTCTTGTGCTTGTTGATGGCGTCGAGGCGCGCGCACGCGTCTTCGAGCGACTGACCTCCGGACAAGAAGTTGGCGCTCACCATGGCGGTCGGGAAGCATCGTCGGAATACTTGAAGGTTCGCGATCGCGAGTTCGTCGACCGTGTAGTTGATCGGGCACTTCTTCCCCGGGTTAACCATGTTGGACTTGAGCAAGGCGCCCTCCATGTACACGCCGTGGTCGACCATGGACTTGAAGAGCATGCTTTGCACCTTGAGATTGACCCGCACCGCGGTCTCGAGGTCGTGATCACCCTTGAGCGAGATATCCGGCTCGACGATCGGCACGAGACCGACGTCTTGGCAGATGAGGGCGTATCGAGCCAAGTCCTTCATGTTGGTCTCGATCGTGAGTTCGCTCGGCTGACCGTTCGCGATGTCGATGTCCATCGGCGACCGCCACTTGGCAAACTTGCATCCAGCCTTCTTATACTCCTCAAGACGCATCGCGAGCGAGTCCAAGCCTTGCATCACGGTCGCCCCACTCTGTCCCGGGAGCGCGTACACCTTGAGGTGCGGCTTCACGCCCGGGACGATGCCCAAATCGCTCAGGACCTCCGGGAACAACTTCCCGTTCGTCGTGCTCTTTTGATACAGCGTCTCCGGATCCAAAATAGCCGCGCTCAGGTACTCGTTCGCCCCAGGGGTCTCGAACAGCATCTGTCGGTACGCCCGTCGGTTCTCCTCCGTGTTCGTCACCCCCACGTTCTCGAAACGCGTACCGATCGTCCCCGGGCCTTCGTCACACGCCGTGATCCCCTTACCCGCCCGCCCGATCGCCGCGCAGATCGCTTCGAGCTCCGCCTTGCGCTCGCTCGTGAGATGCGCGCCGCCGTGGCACGACGTCGGGCCGTGCGCGGTGACCGATGCGCGCGTCGTCGTCCTCGTCGTCGTCGTCGATCGCGTCGCGCATCGCGCGCGCCGGGCCCCGATCGCCCCCGCGCGCGGCGCGACGCGCGCCGACATCACCATCGTCCCTATCGCCCGTCGCGCGCGTCGGTCGCGCGAGTGTGCGGCGCGCGCGTGGGCGCGAACGTCTTATCCACTGTCGACACTTTTCGTCGACGATGCGCGTCGCGTCGTCCCTGCGCGCGGTCGCGCGCGCGGCGTCGAGCGAGGCGCGGCGCGTGCCCACGTACGGACGCGAGGGCGCGTTCTTCGTCGGTGAGACCGCGACGAGCGGGCGCGGGGCGTACGCGGCGAGGGATTTCGCGGTCGGCGAGGCGGTGGTTGTCCACGAGCGACCGCTCGTGTGCGCGCCGTCCAGGGCGAACGGACGGGCGATCGCGTGCGAGACGTGCGTGCGAGAGAGCGGTGGCGAACGGTTTTGCTCCGATGCGTGCGCACGGGCGGGGCGCGTGGAGTTTGAGCGCGAGCGAGGCATCGAGTTCGACGAGTTGGAGGCGCGCTGCGACGCGCGGGCGTTAAAGTTTCCCTTGGTCGTGGCTCGAGCGGCGACGATGATCGCGAGTGGGTCACTTCAGTATGGGTCGTTAGAGTTCTTAGTGAGCGCGAACGGGGTGGAGAAGGCGCCGCCGAGGCAGTGGGTGGAGGAGTGGGAGACGTTGCGAAGCGCGCTCGCTCGGGCGAGACCCGCGCTCGAGTGGACGCCGTCGCTCGAGTGGTACGCGAAGACCACGTCGAGGTTGCACCTGAACTCGTTTCGAGTGGAGATTCCCCCGGCGATGGTCGGCGCCGGGGCTGATTTCAAATCCACGATGACGGCGGGCATCGACGCCATAGCGAGAGGCGCCGCGAGCGGAACCGCCGTGTATTTCACCGCGTCTTTGTTCAATCACTCGTGCGCGCCGAACGCGCACGTGTCGTGGGAAAATGGTGACGCCGCGATCACCATACGCACCCTTCGACCGGTGCGCGCGGGTGAAGAGTTCAACATCACTTACGTCGACGCGAACGAGCGCTCGGCGTCTCGCCGAGCGCGTCTCAAGGAGTGGTACGGCTTCGACTGCGCGTGCGAGCGCTGCGCCTCGGGCGAGGACTAAACGCCGACGCCTGACACACGCTCGAATAGAAGAATAGCTTTCTGTTGTACAGCGATAGTATCCTACGTCACGCATCCGACCGCGCCGCCGCGCGCGCGTCCGTCAATCCCCTCCCTTCGTCCCCAAAATCGCTCGCACCGCGTCCACGGACCCTTGGCGAACCTCTCGAACCCGCGTCTCACCCCCCCGCGCGCGCTCCGCCCGCACCACCGCGCGTTCGACGCGCGCGTCGTCCATTCCGATCAACACCGCGCTCGGGCCGAGGGTCAACCACGTCACCGCCGCGCTCGCCTTGAACGGTCCCGTGAGCCTGCGCGTGTACGTCACCACCGACGCCACCAACGCGCACAGACCGATCGCCCCGAGCGCGCGCGCGGTGGACGCGCGCGCGTCCGTCGTCGCCGCCATCGAGTGCGGACGCGACGACCGTTGGCGTCGAATGCCGAGACGCGTGTGGGCGAACAGTATGTAGGGTTTAGCGCACACACCGCCACGTGGACGACACCGCTCGACGGACGACCGCGCGTCGACACCGCCCGACGCGCGCGAGGGCGACGATGCTGCGCCGGGCGCGACGCGCGACGACGCGCGCGCGCGCGCTCTCGCTCGCGGGCGCGCGCAGGCATCTGAACGTGCACGAGTACCAAGGGGCGGAGATCATGATGAAGAATGGCGTGCGCGTCCCGATCGGCGTCGCGTGCGCGACGTTGGACGACGTCGACGCGGCGTGCGACGCGCTGCGAGGACGGGAGGTGGTGGTGAAATCGCAGATATTGGCGGGCGGACGCGGACTCGGCACGTTCGCGAGTGGGTTCGCGGGAGGGGTGCACGTCGTGGCGAAGACCGAGGCGAGAGCGACGGCGGAGAAGATGTTGGGAGGAACGCTCGTGACGAAACAGAGCGGACCGGCGGGGAAACCGGTGAACGTGTTGTACGTCGCGGAGAAGTTGAAGCTGACGCGAGAGATGTACTTCGCGCTGATGCTCGATCGGGCGAGCGCGGGACCGTTGGTGATCGCGAGCGCGGAGGGCGGGACGTCCATCGAGGACTTGGCGGCGACGCAGCCGGAGAAGATCATCAAGATGCGTCTGGACATCGTGAAGGGGATGACGCGACCGCAGGCGGATGAGTTGGTGGAAAAGCTGGGAGTGAAGAAGCACAAGGATGACGCGGCGAAGCAGCTGTTGGCGCTCTACGACACGTTCGCGAAAGGCGACTGTACCATGGTCGAGGTGAACCCGCTCGCGGAGGACGAGGAGGGCTTGCTCGTCGCCGCGGACGCCAAGTTGAACTTTGACGATAACGCGGAGTACCGCCAGCGTGAAACGTTCGCCCTTCGCGATCACTCTCAAGAAGATGCCCGGGAGGTTCAGGCGGGTAAGTTTGACTTGAACTACATCGGTCTCGACGGCAACATCGGGTGCATGGTGAATGGCGCGGGCTTGGCTATGGCGACCATGGACATCATTCAGCTCTACGGCGGCTCGCCGGCAAACTTCTTGGACGTCGGCGGGAACGCGAGCGAGGAGCAAGTCGTCGAGGCGTTCAAAATCTTAACCGCCGATCCCAAGGTGAAGGCCATTTTGGTGAACATTTTCGGCGGCATCATGAAATGCGACGTCATCGCAGCCGGCATCGTCGCCGCAGCGAAGCAAGTCGACCTCAGAGTTCCGCTCATCGTTCGTTTAGAGGGCACGAATGTCGAGGCTGGCAACGCGATATTGTCTTCCTCGGATCTTACCATCATCACCGCGAGCGACCTCGACGACGCGGCGCAAAAGGCGTGCGCGAGTCTGAAGTGAGACGCTCGATCACGGCATCGCGCACTTTTCGAAATCAACGCATCGGACGTACATCGCCGCATCATTTGAACGCACTCGCTGTAATTTACAAAAATATAACACCTCCACGCCGAATTGAACGATCGAAAGCCGACATCGAGCGTCTACGTCGAACGCGTCCGCTCACTTCACCTCCAACAGTTCGACGTAAAACTCGAGATCCGACCCCGGTGGAATCCGACAGTTATTCCCATCCTTATCGCACCCAGCCCCGCGTTGGCCGTACGCCATCGACGCCGGCACGACTGCCCGTCGCTTCCCGCCCGCGCGCATCGCCGGCGTCGACTCATCCCCAGCCACGAGCGCGTCGAACCCCCGCACGACCTCTCCCGCGCCGACGCCGAAGACAAAAAACTTCCCAGCGTCCACCCGCCCCCCCCCCGCGATCCGCGTCTCGTAGTTCACGCGCACGACGTCGATTCCACGCACCGGCTCGACGCCGCTCCCGAGAACGTCATCGACGATCTCGATCGTCTTCCCGGCGCGCGCACCGCCCGCGCCGGGGCGAGCGCGACGACGGCCGCGCCGATCGTCTTCGCGCCAACCTCCCGGCGCGGCATCGCTCGGGGCGTCGACGACGCGCGCGCGGCGACGGGCGTCATCGCGCGTCGGTGGATGCCAATTCCAAAGGCGCGCCCATCGGTCGGTCGATGAAAATTCCAAAGGCGCGCGCACCGGTCGATGAAAATTCCAAAGGCGCGCCCGTCGGTGGGTGCGAAAAACGCGCGCGCCGCCGCCACATTGACGCGCCTCGCGCCGCCTCGCGCCGCCCTCGCGCTCGAGCGCGCGCTCGAGCGCGGCGAACGGGTCGGAGGGACACCGCGCGGGGACGTCGACGGGTTTCAGCGCTCGAGCGACGCGCGCGAGGGCGTAATTCAGCCTTCGTGCGCACGAGGGTGCGTTCGAGCTCGAGCGCGCGATGGGGGGACGACAGAGCGTCAAGGCGAAGAAACCGGGCGTGAAGAAGCGCGCGAAGGCGTCGCAGGGGTCGTCTGGGACGAAACCGGTCGCGGTGGCGAGCGATGGGGTGATCGAGGAGGCGAACGCGGCGTTCGACTCGGGTCGCGCGGACGAGGGCCTGGCGACGCTGCGAAACGCCTCGAGGAGAAATCCGAGCGACGCGGCGATCGCGGAGGCGCTCGGGTTGGCGCTCGCGGAGTTCGGGGGACAAGAGGAGGCGGTGGCGGCGCTGAAGCGGGCGGCGATGCTCTCGCCCACTGCTGGGTACGAGAAGTTTATGTATCTCGGACAGTTGTTGGACGATGGTGAGGCCGCTACGACGTGCACGAGGCAGGGATTGGCGATTTTAGAGGCGCAAGCGAGTCAAGGCGACGAACACGCGCAAGGGCAGCACGCGTCGGCGTGCTGCGCGCTAGCGGAACAGATCCTCGGAACCGCGGATGAGGCAGACGAGGAGACGAGCAAGCAGGTTGAAGCGCTCATCGAGCGCGCGAGGGCGAGCGATCCCGAGTCGCCGGAGCCAGTGCAGCTGTTGGCGAGCTTGCGGGGCGAGCAAGGCAAGACTGACGAGGCGCTGAGCATTTTGAAAGAGTCGTTGTCGATGTGGCGCAAGACGGCGATGCATCGAGACGAGGAAGGTGAGGATGGCGCTGAAGAGTTCCAAGGCGAGTTCGATGTCTCGTTCGAATTTAGATTCGAGACCGCGAAGCTCCTGCTCGAGCTCGACACGACAACGGAGACCGCGATCGACATATTGTGTGAGCTCCTTCGTGAGCGCGACGATAACGTGGACGTGTGGTACATGCTCGCATATGCGCACCACGGCGCACTAGAGTTTGACATCGCGTTGGAGCACTTGCAACAAGGTGAGGAGCTCATTCGTTCTCGCGGTGGAGACGAATCAGCGCTTGCGAACTTTGAAGAGCTTCGAGCTGCGATCACTGAGTCCAAGGCGACTGTTGAGAGCGGTAAGGGCCCGGCTGAAATGGAGACGTGACGAGTCACCGAAACGTGTAACAAGTGAATGAATGATTCATCATCGAAATCCTACAAGCTAATATTCGCGCTCAGCGACGACGACTAATTCGTCGCGCCCTCACTGTTCTGCTTTTTTCTTCGCGGACGCTTCTTCTTCTCGCCGCTCGGCTGCGCGACGACTGCCGGCTCCTTCTTTTTCTTCTTCAGACAGCTCAACGGATTCTTTCCGCCTGACTTCTTCTTGAACTTGACCGACGTCTTGACGCGGTAGACGTCCCGAATATCTTTCTCCTCCACACCGAGCGCCCGGATCTCCTTCTCGCTCAATCCCTGCACTTGCTCCTTCTGTGACGTCAAGCCAGCCGCCGTGGCGTCCGGCGGCGGCTCCATCTGCAATCCGCTCGTGTGCGCGAACACGATGGGCACCGCTCCCTTACACTTCCGTAACTTTTCCTTCAAATCTTCATCCTGCGTGCACACCACGAACCGCTCCTCGTTGGACACCCCGCACGCGTCCACAATGGATGCGCTCGCCGTGGCCTCGCCCGGCGCCGGTCCGCCACCGACCAAATTCAACTCCTTCGTCTGCATACTCGCTCCCTTGTACTCCGGTCCCATGTTTCGCAGTTCATCCTGCACGCACCTAGTCGTGAACACCTTGACGTCTCGCGGGGAGCTCACCAAGTACTTTGCGACGGCGTCTTTGGCTTTGCCGAGCTTCAGCTTTTCACAGGCGGCGATGAAGTTTCCGTCGACGATCACCTTGTACGGCTCGCGGAATCCGTGGGCGGAACGGTAGTAGCGCAGATACTTACGCACTTTTCGCGCGCGCTTGACGCGCATGTTTTCGGGTGCGGCGCCAGAGACTGCGGGTGAGGAGAGGCGCGGCGGCTGTGGCAACGGAGGTTCGGGAAGAGACAGTCGGGCGACGACGATGATGCGCGAACGCATTTTGCTCGCTCGTCGAACGATAGGTGTGATGATTACAATATTTATTTTGTCGCTAATGACACTAAGAAGATGCGGAGATTGGGGCGTTGTATCGCTCGTCAAGGATGCTCTGTGTACTTGCCGAGATTTCTGCCTTCAGGCTATTGAGCACGGCGGCGCCCGTGCTACCGCTCAGACCGTTCGCAGCGGTGTACGTTTTGGACGTCATTCCGCACACAGGGATACCGTTCATGGTGGAGATGAGCGACGCGAGCTCGGGAACGAGTTTGAACATACCAAAATACTTTTGCGAGAAGGCTTGCACGGCATTTCCGCTGCTCTCGAGCTCGCTGACATCCGTGAACAGAGATTTGTATACCGGCTGGTCGCACACGGTCCAGATCTGTCTCGCCATATCGTCCATTTGCGCCGAAGATGTTTTCGTTGGCGTGAAAGGAGATGAGATGCCACCGTTTGTCACGCTCGGCGTGTTCGCCGTACTGCCGACACGCGTGAACATAAACTTCTTCACCAGAGCTCGGAGCTGTCCGCGCTCGTGCATCTCCCGCAAGACGTCCGTGATGAGTGCGTTCTTCGTAATGTCCGCGAACAATCGGTTGAAGTCCATGTCGTTGTACGAGAGAGGAATCACGATGGCGTCCATTGCAGCGAACGCAAGCTTGGTCAAGACGCACGCAGACAAGTGATCAGTGTCGACGAAAACCGCGTCAACCTCCTTTGGAAGCGCGTCCACCGCGTCGGAGAACACCTTTCCAGCTCCAATCCACTCGTCTCCCGTGCGTGCCCAGAGTTGAACATCGTTTGCATCCGTCATCGCTGTTGTCTCCTCTCCCCAACTGCAAGTCCCCGCGCCCGCAACTAGGTACACATTCTTCGGAATCTCCGGATTAAACTCATTCGGACGAATTGCAAACTCCAGAATGTTCACCTCCGTTTCCGGCTCGCTCACTTTCCCCCCACGGGCGAACCAAGTGCCGAAGACGCTCCCGCGCGGTTGACCACCGCCGCTGCTACCGCCGCCGCGTCCCTTCGCCTCCCGCGCCTGCGCCGCGCGCTCGAGCGCGCGCACCAACCCCTCCGCCCTTAAATCCTCATCCGTCGCGTCCACGCACGTCTGCAACCCACGCATGGGCGCCCCGATCCCTTCCCGAGCGCTCCCCCCGAGCATGAGCGCCGAGAGATCCGAGTATAAACTGAAGTCGATCACGACCACGCTCGACTCCGGTCTCGCCCTCGCCGCCTCGCACGCGACTTGAAACTACGTCGTCGTAGAGCGCGTCCCGTCAGTCTCCCTCCCATCGCTCGTCGCGACCGTCGCACGCGTCGAGGCACGCGACATTCAAACCGTCGAATTCGTCGAATTCCATCACGTCTTCGGTCTTCGCGTCGCGCCGCATCGCGCCATCGACGCACCGCCATGAACGTCTTCCCGCTTCCGCCCTTGTTGTTCCCGAACGCGATCCTGTGACGCGGCATCGCGATCGAGCGCGCGCGAGGAAGTGTCGCGACGCGTCGCCGATCTGGGCACCCTCGTGTCCAAACTTTTGTGGAAAAGTCATCACTCGCCGACGTCTGTCGCGTCGACATGCTCGTGCGCGCGAGTCAAAACCATACCGCGCGGTGCGGACCGTCTACACGCGTGCGTCGTCGTCTCGTGAGCGTCGTGACGCCGCTCGTGTCGATCGCGACGGTGGTGAATGCGAAATCATCGATCGCACGCGATGATGGGACGCGCGTCTTTCTGGACGTCGGTGCGTGCGCGTCGGGGGTGAACGCGTCGCGCGCGATGGACGGAAACGCGCTGTGTGAAGTTCCAGAGACGTTCGGACGGATCGTGATCGAGCTGGATGAGAGAGGGGCGCCGGACACGTCGAGGAACTTTTTGAGACTCGTCGAGGGCGAGGACGCGCGCGAGCCTTCGTTGCGAGGGACGACGTTTCATAAGATCGATAGAGAGAACGGGTACGTGGTGGGTGGTAAGGCGGGAACGCCGAGGTTAGGGCAGGTTGCGACGCTCGGGACAGGGTTCGAGAACGGGGACGTGACTCGGGCGTCGGCGTTTGCGGGGAAGCACTTTCGACCGGGCACGGTCTCTCTGGCTTTGGAGAGCGCGCAGAAGGATGGGGAATACGGCACGACGGCGCAGTTTTTGATCACCACGGGGCCAGCACCGGTGCCTTCGTTGGACGGTAAGAATATCGTGTTCGGACGCGTCGTCGAGGGGTTGGATGTCGTGAACAGGCTCGCCAGCGAAAAAACTTTCAAGCCAACGTCCACGGCACGCACGTACAACGCCATCGCAAGTCTTGTGGGTGATTCGCGCGCAGAGAAAGCAAAGTCCGCGTGGGTGAAGCCGACGAGGGCGCTCGTCATCACGGACTGCGGTGTCTTGCGAAATTAGATGCTAGGCGTCATTTAGAAGAACATGTATTCCACATCAAGTCGTTAGCGCGTTCAACGTCGCCTGAAAAAGTACAAGTACCCAAGATCCGTCGGCGGTTTCAGCGACAGCGCTACCTTTCGATCGTTGAAGATGTACCACTTTCCGTCTATCTCTACGTGTGCGACGTAGTGACCGCAATTAGTGTTTCCACCCATGTGACTGACGATGCCGAAGAGCTCGTACTCGCCCGGACCGTCAAAGGACACGCTACCCGCTCCCTCCGATGCGTCAGCGGACGTCGACGCACCGTTCACCTCTGCGATCGCAGATGGAAGATCGTCCGCGTGCGAGAAAAGCCAGTCCGCCGCTCGTTCTAAGTTCCCAGAACACGCCTTGAGTGCGGCGTTTGCCGCGGTTTCATCGAAACCCATTGACGTGAGCATGGTCACAGACTCTGGATCCGACGCCGCCATCGCTGGCTCTGAAGCGGCGCTCTGATCTGGAAGCGGATCGTTGAAGTCGACATCCTCCATGTGAGCGAACACCCATTCCATTGAGAGCTCCGTTGAAGCGTTGTTTGTCGCCAAAGCGGCACGTTTGCTACCATTTTCGCTGAATCCCATGGCCATGAGAGCGCTCACGATGGCCGCGTCGGGTTCGACTCGAACTGGTGCCGATGAAGCCGCAGTGTTAGCCGTCTCGTCTTCTGGAAGCACGATCTCATCGGGTTGTAACCCCATTGCGCGCAAGTTTTCGAGAGAGATCGTTTTCGGCACGTCCACAAGTACATCGAGCTTTTTTGGCGTCCAGTCTTCGCCCACAAAGTAACGCCTGAGCTGCACAGCGAGGAAGTTCGGCATAGTCTTAACGCGAGTCGTCTTCGACGCTATCGACCTACGCTTGAGCGCGGAACTGTAGAAATCTTCGATGGTTTCCGTGGCGCCGAAGGCTTCCAGACAAGCAGAGAACGGAACTTCCGGTCGCACGATTTCCTCGACGTCATCCGACTCTGTCTTCGCCCTCTTGAGCTCTCGCTCTCTGAACGCGTCGACAGATTCTTTGTTCGTCGCCTTGTCCAAGGGTACCTCGAGGGATAAGATGTTGTCCTTACGAACGGAGTACCGAACGTTTCCGCTCTCGACGCACGTCACCTTGTCTTCGAGCTCAAAAGTGAACTGCGCCGCGGTGGGCGGGCCTTCGCTTAGTCTGGAACCTGCCGCGCGTTCAGCTCGCGTCATCGTCTCGAGTAAGTGTTGGAAGTACTCAACCGCATCTTGTTGACCACCCGTGCTAAACTCGGGATGGCCCTTACCGACGAGCTGTTTGAACATTCTCGGACAAACAGCGACGGCGGCGTTCTCGGCCTCGGGAGTCGCATACTCGTCAGAGACGAGAGCGTTGATGAGTTTGGACATCTGTGTCGGGAAGTCCGTCACGGGATTCTCGGGCGCGGTGGAGAAGATCTCATCTTTGTCAAAATATCGATCGCACACTGCGGGGACTTGCTTGAGCGCTTGTATCACCGAGTTCAAGTAGCACGTGTTCCCCATGTTCTTCAAACCAACGAGTCGAGGACCGTGCGCGGATTCGAGCTTCGACCCGGCTTCGGTGATCTTATCGAACTCAAAGCCCTTGTTGAGCTCGATTTGCAATTCAGCCATGCTCTTTTCGGTCTTCTCCATGGATACCATGTTAATTCCCCAGTGCCTCAAGTGCTCAGCCAAATACGGATCCTCCACCATGTCGTCTTCGTCCGGGGAGTACGAGTACACGTCTGCACCCTTCGCACTGATGGTGCCGAGCTTCACGACCAACGGGTAATGTTTTCCCTGCGCTTTCATCGCTTCGTAATGCCTGAGCGCGCTACCGTTCCCCCCGGATCCGTCGAAGTGGCGTCGACCGCTTCCGATGTGCCCGTCGCTGAGGTTGACCCACAAATTCCCGCTCTCACCCGTCTCCTCGCATCGCCACTTCGATGGATCGCTCGGAATCTTCTTCCCATTATCCTCCTGCGCGAGCTCCAGCGCGTACCTCGATACCTCGCGAGTCTCCTGCCATGCCTTGGTCTCCTCCGTGTCGTGAAATCCCCGCTTTCGCGCGATGCGTTCGCACGCCGCGCTCAGCGCCTCCGGCAACCCCTCCAACGGAAGCTCCCGACTCACGTCGTCGAAATCCGGCGCCAACACCAAACTATACGTCGTCGTCTCTTCCCACGCATCGCTCTCGCTCGCGAAGCCGCCGTCGACGCCGAACCCGAGCGTGGTCGGCGTCTCGCTCGCCTCTACCTCCGCCCGCCGCGCGCGCGTCGTCTTCACCCTGACGTACGCCCCGCACCCCGTTCGCGCGCTATCCAGCTCGACGTACCGTCGACCGTATCCGAACAGCGTCTCGCAGTTCACGTACACCCCGTTCGCGCTCAGCGGGGCGTCGAAGGAGAACACGCACTCATCCTTGTACACGACGGAATCGTCACCGACGACGGCGACGCGACCGCGCGTCGCGATCGCGTCCACGCGCGCGCGCGCGTCGGGATCCATGCAATCGCGTCGCGCGCCCGTCCCGTCGCCCGTCCCGTCGCGCGTCGCGGAGTCGAGAGATCTACGCGACGCCCGCGCGCCGACCGCGTCGAATCGAATCGATCGCGACGCGCGTCCCGCGCGACGCGCCCCCGCGACGCGCACGCGCTACGATTACACCCCTCCCCCCCGTCGCGCGTCCGTCGTCGTCGTCGACGCGATCGATCGCTCGCGCGTCGTCACGTCTCGCGCCGCGTCGCGACCAACCGCGCCGTCGCGCCCGCCGCTTCGCGCGTGTTCAACGCCGCCTCGCGCGCGTGCCCCCCCACGGACGCGATCGACGCCCGAGGTATGACTCAGAATCGTGAGCTCGCGTTCGCGCGCCGCGGTGACCGCCACCGCGCGCGCGAGCGGGGCGTCTCGCGTCCACGCGCTCGCCCGCGTCGTCATCCGCGTCCCCGGCGCGATCGTCCCGCCATCGCGCGCGCCATCGCGCGCGAGGACGTCGCCGTGGACCCGCGCGCGCGCGTCCGCTCCATCGCCCGTCGCGCGCGCGTCGTCATCGGCGTCCGTCGTCGTCGCGATGGCTTTCGATGAATCATTCGTCCCGACCGCCGTCGCCACCGGCGTCGATCGCGCGCGCGCGTCCTCGGGCGCGCGGTCGACGCGTTCGGCGTCCTCGAGAAGTGTCCGAGCGCTCGCCGCGATGGACCACGGCGCGGTGGGACATGTTCACGCGATGGCGGTCGTGGACGACGAGTGACGGCATTCGCGCGCTCGACGGTGCGTCATGCGCGCCCACGGGAGCACGGTGCCGGCGTTCATGTCCACCGCGCCCGCGTCGAGGTCCGCGACGGACGCGGGCGACGCCCGGGGGTTCGGGGCGAGCGCGTCGAGCTCGAACGCGATGGACAAATTTTCAACGGCGACGATCGCGAGCGGTGTCTTCGACGCGCTGGCGGCGCGAATCCTCAGCGCGCGCGACGAAAACCGAGCGGTGGACGTGCCGGATGACGTCCTAGAGGCGCTGGCGTGGACGTGGGGGGAGAGCGCGGTGCGAAAAGCGCTGGAGACGCTGCAGAGCGGGCGCGTGCGCCGCGTGACGGCGGCGCGAAGCGGACGCGCGATGTACGTCGTGGCGAGCGGAGACGGCGCGCAGGGGGAGAAACGGGCGTATTTGTGTTTTCCCACGCACTTTTGCTCGTGTCGAAGTTTCTTTTGGGAGTGCGTGAATCGAGGGGAGACGGTGGGGTGTAAACATCAGCTCGCCGCGCGTCTCGCGAGCGTCTTGGGGGCGCATCGCGACGCGACGGTGGACGACGCGTTGCTCGGGAACATGATGATGAAATACTTCGAGGGCGACGCCGCGATGTGAACGCCGCGCGCGCGCGGAATCGACGCGTTGTAACGTACGCCGCCGCGTCGCGACGCGGCTCGTCCCGCGCCCGCCGCGTCCGCGGTCGCCGCACTCGTCGACGCACACATGGGCGGGAGCCTCCGGAGGAAGAAACGCGCGCGCGCGGCGGCGGGGAAGCGCCCCGCCAGGGTGGGCGGCACCAAGAACTTTGCCGTCGGGAAGGCTTTGGTCGACGTCGCCGCCGTCGTTTTACCCGGCGGCGCTTCGGACGCGGCGATCACGACGTCCTGGGACGTCGAGCGCACGCCCGGGGCGAACTACGCGCGGAGTGGACTCGCGAGCGACCCGAATCGCGTCGGACGGGGCGGACGGAACGAGGCGCGGGACGACGAGGTGGTGCGGCTGGCGCGGACGCGCGCGGCGGCGGCGGCGGACACGACGGATGAAAAGCTGGCGGCGTGCGGAGAGACGCGCACGACGGGGCACGCGGCGCCGAAACGGTTGACGCCGAAGCAAACGCGCGTGGTCGAGCGATTGGTCGAGCGACACGGGGAGGATTTGCGAGCGATGAGCATGGACCGGAAGCTGAACGCGTTGCAGCACACCGTCGGGCAGTTGACGCGCTTGGTGGAGAGTTATCACTTTTACGCGAAGGAGCGAGATATCGGGGACGATAAGGTTCGCGTGGATTTCAGGGCGCCGAAAAAGGGGAGGCTCAGGGGGAAGTTTTAATCTAAACGCGAGTGTACGATACGTTGCAAGGCGCGTCGACCCCTCATCGACGACGCGTCAACTATTTTTTTGCCCTTTCACTGTGACCGGTTTCGCCTTCTCCGCCGTCTTCTCCGCCGCCTTCGTCTCCTCCATCCCGCGAACGCGCGCCTCGAGCTCGGCCAATCTCCGCTCCATCGCCTCCTGCGCGTGCGTCCCTTTCATCGCGTCCGCGCGCGTCGTCTCCAGCACCTTCTCCCGCTGCCTCGCCTCTCGCTTCTCCATCTCACGCGCGTACTGCGGCACGTACGTTCGCTCAATCTCCATCACCGCCGCGTAAGACAACGCCGCCGGGACGCACGCGATTAACAGCTGCACCGCGTGCCAGTCCCAGCCTCGCGCGCGTTTCGCGCGTCCCAACGACGCGTCGTCTTCCGTACCGAACACGTGCGCTGCGACGTCCACGAACGCCGGTCGATCGCCCGCGCGCACTTCTCGTCGAACCTTGTCCGCAATCGCGTCGTCTTCGGTGGCGTACGCGCGTCGTGCGACGCGAGTGCGCGCGGAATCGCATCGAATGCGTGTCATGTTTTGGAAAGTCTCGAGCTGTGCACCACCGCCGCTCGTCGACGGGACGCTCGATGCGCTCGCGCGGGCGCGGGCGAGCGCACCGAACGCGCATCTCAACGCTTCGCGCATCGACGCGCGCGGAAGCGGATCTTGGTCTCGGATGGCGAGGCGCGCGGTGCGGCGGCGCGGGACGCGGATGAAGCGCTAACAACGCGAGCCTATTTCGGGCGCGCCGACGCGAGGGCGGTCGTCGAGCGTCAGGGCGCGGCGTGGACGACTTGGCGCGTGAGGTAAAGAATACGGTGGTGTGACGGGCGAGCGCGCGAGCGCGAAGGGCGAAGGGAGACATTGCGCTCAGGGAGACGGGCGAGACGCTCGGCGCCGATATGTTCGGCGAGTGCGCGGACGCGAGCTCGGGCGAGGGATGGGATGTCTTCGGGTGCGGCGCGAGCGAGTACTTCTGCGATCCGAGCGTGAATTATTTCGATTGCGACGTCGATGGGTTTCCGGGATTCGGTGAGGACATGGAGGCGTTTCTAGGGGCCAAGGCTCGGGAGGCGTGCTCGAGCGAAAGCACAGACTCGGAAGAGATGACGCTCGCGATACGCGCGCATCCGATGTACGCCAGGCTCGTCGAGGCGTACTACGAATGTCGTAAAATAGGTGCACACGGTGACGCCGCAGTAGCGCTCGAGCGGGAGAAGGATGCGATGCTATACTCCGTGCAGGTCATGAGCGAGGAAGCGTACGAGTCTTCGGCAATGGCGCTCGATGTCGCGTCGTGCGATTTGGATGAGTTCATGCGCGATTGCACGCACGAGCTTGAGACGTACGTCAAGGAGCTGCACTCCCTTTATGAAGATGCCAAGAGGTGCTGTAAAAGTCTCGAGAACCGAGCGCACAAGGTGAAGACAGACGTCGTTCATGTCGATTCATCGCGGCGTGGCGAGGCGGCTGAGAGTAAGCGACACGCGCCGGCGACCGAGGATGAACTCGAAGCAGTAAGCGACGATTTCGATCAAATTTTAGCGAGCGAGCATCAGCGTCGAAATCATGAAGAGAGACTGCGGCAAGATCTGAAGCGTAAATACGCGAGTAGCATCACGATGCTCAAGACAGAGTTCATGCGTAAGCGGAAGAAAGGGAAGCTTCCCGACACGTCTACGGATATTCTGAAGAAGTGGTGGAGCGACAACATCGTGTGGCCGTACCCGAGCGAAGACGACAAGCAAGTTCTTATCGAAATGACGAAGCTTGACGCGACACAGGTGAACAACTGGTTCATAAACTTTCGAAAGAGACACTGGATCCGACTGTTTGAACGAGGATGTACGCCAAAAAATGAAAAGGAAGCCGCGACAGCGCTTGCGAAGGCTTTCAATGGTTCATTGGAGAAGGCGAAGGATTACGCCAGGTCACTGTAAGCTGCGTGTAATATACCGTATGTATGCAAAACGACAACGAGAAGAAACTATTGTGGCGGACCAATCCATGGCTGCGCAAAAATTTTGTGCGTGGACGTCAACGCATAAATAATCGAGAACAGAACGTAAAAGGCAATCATGCCGTACGCGGCCGTCTTGCCGATGCGCCATCTGTGAACGAGAGGAATAATTATGAGGGCGTAGCCCAAAGCAAAGAGCAGACCACCGCACAATAGCACGAGCTCGTTCGGCATGACATAGCCGGTAACCGGACCGTACTGGGAGATGTGAAGCAAAAGTCCGAACGACGTACCCACCAGGAGATTCATCAGAGGCCCGGCGAAACAAGCGGCAATAGCCATATTCGGGTTACCTTCGTACGCTACCACGGTGTTGGACACAAAATCGCCGACGGAGTTACCCCACGCGAGAACGGTGGCACCGAGCAAAGCTTCGCTCACGCCGCTCACCTTTCCGATGGCGCTGAGCAACGAGACGACCTCACTCGCGACGGTATTCATCCACAAAACGGATTGAAAGAATGCCAGAGTCGTCAACACTGCTCTAATTGATCGCATCCCGTCAATATGCGGCCAAGCGTGTGCGAGGATGAATGAACAAAAGATGGACACCGCGATTCCGTAGCACACAGCGTCCAGACTCATGCTTCCAGGTAAAATTCCGGTGGCGACCAACATGAATAACGGCGCGACGATCGGCAACGCGATCACCTCTCTCAGCGCTAATCGCTCGCTTCGACCAAGTTCCGGCATCGTCAGCCGAAGAATCGTGATGAGTGGAATCTTCAGCTTCTTGAACGCGTGCGATAAGTTGTTCATGATTTCGCGAACAACCGGCCTACGTGCCTCGTCGGTATCGCTCGTAGACGCCGTTCCATGATCATCACCACTTTCGGGTTCATCCCTCTCGCCATCAGCTCGCTCTACGTCTTCCCTTTCCTCTTCAGCTTCGTCGTCTCTGTTCTGGCCGACCTCTTCTAGCATGGGCTCGTGCATCTCGTCCTCGTCGTCCGACCACTCCAAGGAATCACTGTCGCTATCGTCGTTGAAGAACGACCGCACTCGATTCCACACCCGCCGAACGCGCCGCTTCGCGAGCAAGGCGAAGAGATACGCGAGATACAGACCGAATAACGATGCCGCCTCAACGGCCTCCACGCTCCCGTCCAAGAAGAATCCGCACGCCAACGCCGCGGCGACGAAATAAAACCCAACGTCCCGCGCGAACGCCCATCTGTTCAGCGCCAACTTTTCACCTCCGTTTCTTGACACCCCTATCACGATAACACACGGAAACACGAAACTCGCGATGAACGTTCCCGCGCCTGTCACTGCGCCGACCGCGAGCGCCAACGATTCCGCCGCGTCCCGATGACTCAACGCCGCGATCTGCGCGAAGATATCCGGCGCCCCGTTCCCAAACGATAGCAACGTCGCCCCCGCGATGTCGTCACTCAACCTCAACGCGCGACTCACGTTTTTTAATGCCGGAACGAAGAACCGCTCCGCCGTCGTCGCCAGCGCCGCGAACAACCCGAGCGTCAGGATCGTCGCCCCCATCCCGCTCGCGAAGGCGTCGCCGCGCAGCGCGCAGTAGTGCCACTCGAGGTAGGGTAAAAAACTCACGTCGCGCGCGCAAAGTGGGTTCTCTCTGACGTACGCGCATCGTTCGAGCGCCGGGGCTTCTCTCGGGGAGCAGGATTCGTACGCTCGAGGATCGACGCTCGGCTCGTGCGGTTCGTCCTGCGCGCTCGCGGACGACGAGCAGAGGGCGAACACGAGGGTGAGCGCGAGCGCGACGCGCGCTATGGCGACGCGGGCGCGCATGGGACGAAGCGCGGTGCGTTGTGCGGGAGGATCTCTGCGAGGAGCAGTTGGCGCTTTGGCAGATTTGTTAAAATACAGCGTCTTCCACCGCGTGATGGGGCGCGTGCGAGCGCCGAGCGAGGATAAAATCTAAAATCAGTCAGAGATGGAATCGAACGAGGAATCGGTGAGACACTCGCCGTCTTCGATGAGTCTGGTACAGTCTTCCGCAACGATGGGCTTGAAGTTTCGATACGCGACGACGGCGTAAAATGGATCGCCCTGCGATCGAGCGAAGAGTCTACGGAGCTTCCCGAACAGAGAATCATCCACGACGTCGTCGAGATCGGTGATCGCCTCAGGGGCGGTGAAACCGTTCACGCTCCCGAAGTATTGCTTGACGAGTTGCGTTCGGGCGTAACCAGTTGCATCTCTCCACGCGCTGACAGCTTTCGAGTAAAACAATCGGTTCGAAAACGTCACCACGCACACACCACCGGGCTTGAGCACTCTGAAAATCTCCGCAAACACCTCCTCGGGTCTCTGAAGATACTGCACGCTCACGCAAATCGTCACCGCATCGAACGTTTCGTCCTTGGCGTCGATTTTTGGATTCACGTTAAAGTCTCTCACGAAGAATCCGTCCAATCGATCGTTCCGCCCGAGCTCCGTGGCGTTCATACCGTGTCCCCAAACCTTTTTATACTCGATCTCTCTCGGCAGATGCGAGACCCAGCTCGAGCACAGATCTAAAACGCTTCCGTTTCTCGGCAGACGCCTTCGATACAGCTCAGTCACGCGCGCGATGAAATCGTCGTCCACGTGCGTCACGAACCGCGGTTGCGAGTAGAAATCCGCGTCCGCCCCACCGTCGAGCTTTTGTCGCTCCTCTCGGCGGAGCACCTCCCTGCGCACGCTCCCGGCGCGTTGATCGCCGAAGGAGACGGCGCGAGTGATGATCTTCGTGGCGCGCGACCGACGCTTCTTGTTCGTTCGCTCGCTCGTACGCGCGCGCTCGTGCGCTGGCGCGACCACGTCGGCGGCGTGGACAACACGCATGGAGCTCTGCGATCGAATCGACGCGCTCGAACGTGCGCGAATACGCGCGAGCGAGTGAGGAGATGGTAGAAACGAGCTCAGCTCGAAACGCGACGGTCGTCTGAGTCGTAGAGAGATCGATACGCTAGGATCGTGCTAGGTTTTGATGTTACAACAGGTAACGACGAATCAATGGTCAAATCACTCGTCGGTTCGCGCGAACGGAAAGAGCGGCGCCAATCGTCTCCGGAAACTCTCCCGCACCGCTCGATCGAACGCTTCGCCCAAATCCTCGTCCTCGTCGCGCATCGGATTCATCTTCGCGATCGCGTACGCCTCGTGTGCGTCGGTAAAAAACTGTCTGATCGTCTCATCCCCGGCGTTTCCGCGCAGCCGTCCGCGAAGTGTGAGCACGAACCGTCCGCCACCGCTCGTGCGATACCCGTGCGCGTCCGCGTCGTTGAACCGATCCACCAATCGCAGGTACGTCGCCGACGATTCCCAAGATCGCGCGTCCGCGAAATCCAACGCCGCTCGTCCGATGAGTTCCCTGACGTGCGCGTCTGTGTCCACGCTCTGCGTCCGCGAACGAGGTCGTCGTCAGTCGTCACCGATGTAAACAAAACGAGGAAATCTGAAAAACTCCAGCTGTCTCGTTCGAATCGCGTTCGTTTTGCGCACGCACGTCCGCGCTCGACCCGAGCTCTCGCTCGTACACCGAACGCCCGTTCGCGTTCACCACCGTGAGCGCGGCGCTCGCGGACATCGCGAGCGGAGTCTGACGAGTGAAGACGGAAGATGTAATCCTTTTGTTGCGCGATTGAAGAGTCGACGCGGATTCGGTAGTGTGCGACGCGGTGGTGTGCGAGCGCGGACGAAACCGCGCGCGCGCGCGTGAATACACGAGTTTGAGACCGAAAGCGCGCGACGAGGGTTCGTATCACGTCGTGAACGAGCGTTCAGACGGAGGATCTGTGTCCGAGCAAAAAACTCCGAACGCACGGAAGTAGACGTGAGCGACGCTTCACGCGCGATGCGCGCGTCGAGCGCGTCCTGGCACGTCGAACAGGCGTTAACACCGTGTCGGGAGGCGTGCGAGCGCAGAGGGAAGGCGCGTGGGGCGGCGGCGGTGGCCACGGCGACGACGGCGCTGGATGAGGCGTTGAGAGTCGCCCGGGATGGGAGTTTAGAAGCGCTCGCGAACGATGGGACGTCGGCGTCGACGTCGAGCGAGCGATTGAACGTTCGGCAGCTAGATGTGGTGGTGCCAGCGATCGTGGCGTCGATGGAGAGCGGGTCCACGAGCGTCATGAACGCGGCACTGGGGGCGACGCAGTATCTCATTGCGCGTGGCATCGTCGCTGGTTGCGCACGCGCGCCTCCCGGCGAGGTCGAGCGCACGGAGAGCTCGAGCGACGTTTTTAACGTTGAAGAGATCCCGGCGAACTCCCCGAGCGAGGGTGTCGCGGAGCGGAGCGCGGAGCGAGCTGAGCACGACTCGGAGCGTCACGCCTGGGATATCGTCGACGCAATATGCGGCGCGGCAGATGTCCGAGACGAGGCGCTGGAGTTGCAAGTTCTGAAGAGTGTGCTCACGGCCACGAGTAGTAGCACCTTTGAGGTACATGACAGGGCATTGCTGCGCACAGTTCGCACGTGCTACAATATATACCTGTCAAGCAAATCGGAGGTGAATCAGAACACGGCCAAGGCAACGCTCACGCAAATGCTCACGACAGTTTTTCATCGGCTTGAAAGGGATGATCCGCATGCGTCAGCGCCGACAATCGTCGTTGCTGATTTGCTCAGACCGATCGGATCTTCGACGGACGTCGATAGTGTCACGACCATGTCGAATGCGGTGCAGTCGTTTATGAACAAAGTGGCGACGGATATGAACTCGGTGGGATCGTTGAGCTACTTCGCAGATCCGGACACAGCCGTAAAATCGGATGCACTAGAGCGAGAGATTACAGATGGAGAGTTTGATCACGACACGGCGCCGATGACTCCGGTGAAAACGGCCACTCAGGCGCTGGAAGATGTCTCATCGCCTATCACAAAATCATGCTTGGGCAACGGAACGTCCGATCTCGAGCTCGACGCTTTTCTGGTTTTCCGCTCTCTATGTAAACTTGCGAAAAAACCAGGATCTGAATTGAACGGTGCGGCGCTAGTGCGGAGCAAAATCATCGCTCTTCAGCTTCTGAAGATCATCATAGAAAACGCAGGACGCGCGTTCTCATCCAGCCCGCGTTTTGCCAACGTGATGAGAGAGTATCTTTGCGACGCAATCGTTAGCAACTCGACGCCAAACGTGTCGGAGGCGTATCAGCTATCTTGTTCGATCTTTTTGACTCTACTCACTCGATACAGAGGGTATCTCAAGGCAGAGATCGGGTTCTTTTTCCCGATGCTACTTCTCAAGCCTCTCGAACTCTCAGAGGCAACGCCGCTGAGCGCGTACAGCCAACGCGCGACGCTAGTGAAAGGGTTTCAAATCATATGCGTCGATGCACAACTCATGGTCGATCTTTTCGTCAACTACGATTGCGATTTGGACGGGCAAAATATTTTTGAGCGGAGCGTCTCGTCGTTGGTGCGCGTGGCCCAAGGGATCGATGTCAGTCAGGCGAGCGGGCCCGATGCCGCTCGCGAGTCGTTGCTCAAGGCGGAAGCGCTCGAATGTCTGACCACTCTGATCTCAGCGCTGAACGTATGGGTCAAAGCGCATTTCAATGGGGGTGAGATCGCGGCAAGGATGGAAGCAACGGACGAATCAGAGCCCGGGACGTCGACGTTGACGCCGCTCAAGATTTCAAACTCAGCGGAAGTGAACCTTGGAGACAGCATAGCCAAATTGAAGGCAGACAAACAAGAATTTCAACACGGAGTTTCTTTGTTCAACAAGAAGGCGAAGAAAGGCCTCGAGTACTTGCAATCGATTGGCCGCCTTGGGAAATCTCACGAGGAAGTTGCTGCCTTCTTGCAGAACACGCCGGGACTGGATAAAACAGTAATCGGTGATTATTTAGGAGAGCGGGATGAACGGATGCTCAAAGTCATGCATGCGTACGTAGACTCTTTGGATTTTACGGGTTTAACCTTGGACGACGCCATTCGTAAGTTTTTGGAGGGATTCCGTCTACCGGGCGAGTCTCAGAAAATTGATCGACTTATGGAAAAATTTGCGGAACGCTACCACAAACTCAACCCAACGATCTATAAGAGCGCGGACACGGCGTACGTGCTCGCATTTTCGATTATCATGCTGAATACCGATGCACACAACCCTCAGGTGAAGAACAAGATGACCAAGGAAGGCTTCATTCGTAATAACCGCGGCATTGACGATGGACAGGACCTACCGAACAAGGTGCTGGAGGATCTGTACGATCGAATCGTGAACAATGAAATCAAGCTCAAAGAGACCGTCGAAGATACATCTATCACGGCTGCCGAAAAGAAGGACAAGCATAACTTTTCTGCTCGTCTCGGGATGGATGTTCTCTTCTCTCTGATGTCGGGCAAGAGAGGTGAGGAGACGTTGCACATCGACACCGCGGATCTCATCAGCCAAGTTCGCGATCGCGCGGCTAAAACGAAGGGTTTTCTAACGGTTACCGAGGTGGAATGCGCGAAGCCGATGCTCGAGCTGATTTGGAATCCGATTTTGTCCGTTCTCAGCGCGGCATTTGAAGATAGCGAGAGCGTTTCTGTGGTGTCGACGTGTTTGGACTGCTTCCGTTGTATGGTCAGTTTCACGGCCTCAGTTGGAATGATGGAAACGCGCGATATCTTCATCAGCACGCTCACAAAGTTCACGAGCTTGCACATTCCGCACAAGATGCGCTCAAAGAACGTAGTAGCGGTGAAGACACTCGTTGGAGTGGCGATTGAGAACGGGAACGATCTCGGAACCGCGATGTGGACCAAAGTCATGGCGTGCGTGAGCAGGTACGAGCATCTGTACGCACTTGCGAATGGGTTCAACGACAGTTCGTTGTTCATGGATTCCGGTTTCGCTGGGGAAGAGAACGAGAACGTGCAGACGCGTCCTAGATTGTTCAGACGCTCGTCGATGAAGCGAAGTAACGTGGGACAGGGGCCACCTACGGACGAAGCAGGAGTGCTCACGGAGTCAGCTCAAGTCATGGCGCAAGCGCTCGAGGTGAAACTGAACGGGGGTGATGATATGCATCCGCCTGATCCCGCCGTTCTCGCGCCGCTACATCCCGATGAACTCGCACATTTGTTTCACGTGAGCGTGAACTTGAGCGGCGACGCAATTGTCGATTTCGTCCGGAGCCTATGTGAACTCGCCATTGAGGAGGTATCCGCAAAGCACCCGCGCGCTTACGCACTCACAAAAATCGTTGAGGTGGCGTCGTTCAATATGGATCGCATTCGTTTCATTTGGGCGCGAGTTTGGCATGTGCTGAGTGACTTTTTTGTCACTGTTGGATGCTCCCCGAATTTGCAAATTTCCATGACGGTGGTAGATTCTCTTCGCCAGTTGGCGATGAAATTTTTGAGTCGCACAGAGCTCGCTAATTATTCCTTTCAGAATGAATTCTTACGTCCATTTGTGGTGGTGATGCGTCAGTCTCCGGCTGTAGAAATCAGGGAACTCATTATCCGGTGTGTTTCACAGATGGTGCAAGCGCGCGTGTCACACATCAAGTCTGGTTGGAAATCGATGTTCATGGTTTTTACGACAGCCGCCGCGGATGAGGACGCGCAGGTGGTGTCTTTAGCATTCCAAACTATCGAAAGAATCATTCGTGAGCACTTTCATTACATCATCGAGTCGGATGCAGTGGCGTTCACTGACTGCGTGAACTGTCTGGTTGCTTTCACCAACTCTGAAGTGGGTTCCGAGGTTTGCCTCAACGCTCTCGCATTCTTACGATTCTGTGCTCTAAAGCTCGCAGAGGGGGCGCTCGGGGACCTCGAAGAGACAGTTGCTTCAGAGAAACAGCTCATATCGGATGGAGTGGTGGAGATCACGCCGACAAAGTCGACAAAGGCGACGACGTGCTTCACTGACGCGGATGCGCACACGCACTTTTGGTTTCCCTTGCTCGCCGGTCTCTCCGAGCTGACGTTTGATCCGCGTACCGAGATTAGGACGTCTGCGCTGGAGGTCCTGTTCGATACGCTCAAATTCCACGGGAGCTCGTTCGCCCCCGGTTTCTGGGCGCGAGTGTACAGTAGAATCTTGTTCCCGATTTTCGATCACGTTCGAGCAGACATCGTCCCGCAAGTGACAGATGGAGATGACGATTACCAGGTCGCGACAGAGGACATCGATTCCTGGTTGTTCGGTACGTGTGCGCGATGCTTGGAACTCGTGGTGGACCTGGCGGTTCAATTTCATGAACCCATCGTTGAAGCTGGGATTCTTCCGTGCTTGCTCAACCTCCTGTGCAGTCTCGCCGAGCGCGAGCATGAACAGCTCGCCGCGTGCGGTGTCGTCGCCTTCAAGCGTCTTCTTATCAGCGGTGCACCATTGATGAAAGAACGCGAGTGGCATCAGTGTATGGAAGCGCTGAAGAAAGCTTTCGACGCGACGGATCCCGAGTTTGAATTATTTTTGCACGGCGAGCAAGATCCGGCGCTCTCTCGCGCGGCGCTCACGCGCGTCAAAACTCAAATTCTTTTGGTATCTGCGGCGCACGATCTGTGCACCGAAGGGACAGTCACGCGGCAGAATTTCAACGTGGACACACTTTTCGTGCTTTTGGACGTGCTCGAGAGCGTGTACGACAAGGCGTCCGACGCGTCGCGATCGCTCAGGGCTCTCGACGTAGAAGTCTCGACTTCAACAGAGGAGGCAAAGGCTTTGGTTCTGACGGTCGAAGTGAGCGCCGCGTCGCTAACGCTTCGAACGCTTTCGACGCTACAGTCCGATGGTGACAGTCTTCGGACGGATCAACTCGCTCGCATAGTGATCGCGGCACTTGAATCGTACTCGCGTCTGGACATAGAGGGAGGCGGTGATCTTCGTGAGTGTGCGCGCATGTACGCCCACGTGTGCGTCGAGGCGCTCGACGCCGTCCGGGCTCTCGACGCGACCAACTTTACGAAGAACATGCCGAAGTTGTACCCGCTTCTCATCGCCCTCGTTAGAGTCGAGGAGAAACCAAAGGAACTCTCCAATGCGCTCTGCGATGTCTTCTCTGAACACGTAGGTCCACGTCTCGAAGCGAATCCAACACGAGCGAGCGCGACGCCTGTAGACGTAGATGCTTAATCGTGTAGATACAGATGTTACAAAAATACAATCGCTCTCACCGTTTCACCGGTGGCTATGAATGAAACACTTCGCGTAAAGCACTGAGGAATAACACTCGAATCCGCCCTCTTGAGGACGAATCAACAAAAAATCAAGAATAGAGCTCGCGTTCCTCATAATCGCTTGCTCATCGACAAAATGTGGTTCTGGATCAGGGGTAAAATATATCCTCGCTTTCAATCGCCGTCATCGGCGTTGTCTCGCGATCAGCGGCGCGCGCCTGCGTTTTGCGTTTAGGACAGTCAGTCAACCAATCAAAAGCCCAGAAACGAGATCTCCCGACTGTCAGCAGAGATCCGACACCCGCGTGCACTTTCCACGCTGTGCACTCGCCCGTTCCCCTCGTCCTCGTCGCTCGATCGGTCTTCGCGTCGCACGCGTCGCGCAGAGATCAAACGCACAGCTTCCAATGATTCTTTCCGTCCGCGCTCGCAGGAATATCTATAGGTGACGATATCGGCGCCGCCATGGTGGAGATTCTGGTCAAGAGCTCGGCGTCGGTGTTCCACGTCAGGTCGCGCTCCCGAGCGTCTCGCTCGACCTCGCGCTCGCCGCTCGACGCGCACGGGACTCCGCCGCCGTACGCGTACGTTCGATCAGAATCGTTCGAATCGTTCCTGACCAGCGTCTTCGCGTTTCGCCGCTCCTCGTCGTCGTGCAACGCGCGCACGAGCGCGCCTCGGCTCCCCGAGCTGGACGCGTCTCGGTGCGAGCTCGCGAGTCCCTGAGCTCTGCCGTCGCGCGTGAGCGCCCGTTCGCTCTTCGGCGACGCGTCACAGGTGTGAAATAACTCCGAACTCGATATCGCGCTGTCCGAGTGCTCGGACCTCTCGTCGAAATCCGCGGAGAAGCCGCGAACAACCTTGGCGGGTGGCGATTCTCGCAGCACGCGGTTTCCCGTCGCGGCGAACAATTCATCGTCCCGCGTCGTCTCGATCGTCGCGTTCCGCGAGTGCGCGCGCGAGTGCGCGTCCATGCTCGCGGAATTCGGCGCGTTCGCGTCCTCGCGCGTCCTCGCGCGGCGTCGCGCGCCCGCCAGTCGCGTCGACGCGCGATCGGCGATAAAGCGCCCGGCGCGACCGCGCCACCGTGGAAACGCGCTTTTTCGCTTTTTCACTTTTTCGCCACGTTGGATATTTTCTTTGAGTCACGACCGCTCGACCGGGCCTCGTCTCGACACGTCGGCACCGCACGCGACGCGCGATTGGTCGAGCGCGATGCGCCCACATGTGATTGGTCGAGCGCGATGTGCCCCAATGTGATTGGTCCAGCGCGGGGCGCGAGGGCGAGTGCTCGAGCGCGATGGCGATTGCGCGACGCGCCCCGGCGCGATGGCGCCCGTGGAGTGCGAGAGCGACGACGACGCGGGCGACGGCGAGGACGCGCGCGCGATGACGTCGGCATCGGTGAGGGACGGGACGGGGCGTCCGACGGCGACGTCGACGATCGCCCTGGCGCGCGCGGGGGGGCGCGCGCGGACGGACGCGGACGACGACGACGACGACGACGACGACGACGACGACGAGGGCGACGCGACGCGGGCGGGACCGGATCTCGCCAGCGCGCTCGCGCGAGGGGTGCGAGGCGATAAGACGGCGGCGGCGCAGAGACGCGGGACGTTCGTCGGGGATCAGAACGCGCAGAGACGGCTGCAGGAGACTTTAGATTTGGTCGCGCAAGCGTTCTTGGAGTGTAAGAGAGCGGACCAGGGATCGATGGACGTCATCGATGGGGCGGTTTCGAGCGTGCAGTACGCACACGACGTGATGCCCTCGTATCTTCGAATGGAAGAAGAGTCGACGTTTGATAAGTTGGCTCGGCACACGAAGAACTTGGCGCGCCGAGTGGGTGAGCACGAGACGCTGGCAAAGAATTTCTCGGATGGTGTCGTCTTGGGGATCGAGAAGGCGGTCGCGGCGTTCGATAGCGAGATGCCCGAGGCGATGTCGAATCGGGACGGCGTGAACGCGGTAACGTCGCTCCGAGCGTTGAAGGAGAACCTGGATCGCGCGCGCGGGAAGCTCAGAGTCGGCGGGTCCACCGCGGACGACAAGGCGATTCACTGTAAGAATCTCGCCGAGGTGCTGATGCAGATCTCGACGCAGGACACTAAGGTGACTATGCACTCGCAATACATCGGTCATCCGATGTTAGATTTAGATTCTTTGGCCAACGACGAGCTGACAACGATGTCGCACGACGTGAAGACTACGGACGCCGAGTACCTGTGGCGCGTGCTTCGAGCTCTTTCAGACGCACTGTTTCAAAAGGCATCGATCGACGTGTTCATTAAGAAGGCGCTTCCAACTTCTCTGCAGCGGGCGTGTCGAGACGCATACGACGCCCGGTTAAAAGTGGAGGGCGCGCTTAATAACTTGCTCAGGCGAGCGCAGATGATTCCATTCCTTGTCATCGAGGCGTACGCCTCGATGGATGTTGACAAGATTGATATAATCAGAGATATTCTCAGTGTTCCAGTGGACAAGGCTTTGCCGACAAGCTTCAAGTTCCTGGAGATCCACGGATACGTGTACGCGGCCGCGCGCCAGGACGTGCAATTCGTTCAACCCGCCACGGAGAAGCAAGTGATTCGACTTCTCACCGAGCAGGTTCCGTTCGGGCAAGGCATCACGGAGAAAGAAGCCGCCACAATCATCAAAGGAATAGAGAAATACTCGAAGAAACGACCATCAGGCTCGGCAACGGCGCCGACGAAGACGTCTCCGTCGACTCCAGATGCGACGTCGGTCTTTGATCGTCTCGCTCCGAGGGACGATGAATCGAGGTCAACGCCTAAATGCAAGCCGCCACTGCCGACAGCGATATCCAAAGCAGAGAAAAAAGAGGCTAATAAAGCATCATTCGCGTATTCGAAGTTTTGCACGCTGTGTAAACACGAAATCAAGGGCGCTTCAGAGGCGATGTTGAAGAACAATTTCAAGCAACACTTGTCTTCGAACATGCACAAAGCTGCATCGCACGCCAAGAAGGAAGCGAAGAAAGCGCCAAAGGTCCCACTCGACCCCTTTGGATGTCTCGCACCAGAGGACAGAGCCTTCGCCGTGATGATGAACGTTCCTCCGCCGCCGACGACGACGACAAACACTGTGAACGTTCCTCCTCCGCCGCCGGCGCCCGGGAGAGTGGACAGTAGCGACGCTAAACCGTGTATGCGCTCACCGCCTCTCGGGCTATCCCAATCCGGAATCGACCGCGCTCGAGGCGAGAAAATGTTTGAAGGTGGTGAGATTGTGCAACCGGTGACGGGCGCCAGGCAGCTGACGCAAGCCGATGTCGCCGACGCGGAATGTCAGCACGATTACGTCGTCAAGCATCTAGCGCAGATCGAAACGGCGCAGAAAAACGGTAAACGATTATGCGTAGATCAATACAACGACAAACCGAGGAAACAGTCACGCGGACCGGTATATTGTAAGCACTGGGCCACTGGCAAGTGCTGGAACGGAGACGCGTGCAGGTATCGTCACGGATATCCCCCTCCAGACTCCCCATGCGATAGTTTCTCCGGATGAAACGAACGCTGCGCTCAGAAACATTCTTTCACGGCGAAATTCGATGTAAAATAGCACATAACACGCGCAATTCGCCTAACATGCGCACCGCGACGTCGCGGAAACATGTCCAAAACCCTCCGCCTCGGACGCTGCACAACGCGCCTCTCGAGCGATGTCCCGCGAGCTCGCCTCCGCGGCCAAGCGCGCGCTCGCTCGCGTGGTCCAAGGCAAGGCCCGTCGAGGCGTCTTCGCCGGGAAACACATCAAATTCGGGAACATGGTGAGCGAGGACGGTGGGAACAAGTGCGTCTCCGTTCGCTGTCTTCGACTTTGATTCCTCTCTCACGCGTCGCGCTCGATGCTTCGCGACGCCCACGACCGTGGACTGACCGCGTGACATGTCGGTTTCGTTTACTCGCGATTAGGACGCGCAGACGGTGGTCACCGAACGTACAGAAGAAGCGCGTGTACAGCGAACTCCTCGAGCGAATGATCCCGATGCGCGTGACGACGAAGGCGCTGCGGTGCATGGACAAAGCCGGTGGGTTAGACGAGTACATCTTGAAAACGCGAGACGATAAATTGGCGAGCGAGTTCGCGATCGCGCTCAAGGCGCAGTTGCGAGCGGCGTTGAGAGCGAAAGAGGCGAGCGGCGCGGCGACGGAGTCGGTGGTGGACTTCAGCGCCGGCGCCGGAGCGGCGTAATCGTCGATGCACACATTTTCATTAGCGCTAGCACGGTGTAGACCACTTAGAATAACGTAACCATCGAGTGTTCGTTTCTCATCGACTTTTCTGACGAATGACGATGCGTCGATCGTCACTGTCCGACGCGCCTCGCGTCGCCATGGCGCGCGCGTCCTCCTCCTCCGCCGCGCTCCCCCCCGTCCCCAAGAACTGTGTCGTCACCGGCGGCTCCGGGTTCGTCGGTCGGCGTCTTGTCGAGATGCTCGTCGAGCGCGGCGCCGAGCGCGTCGTCGCCTTCGACGTTGCGCCGAGACCGGCGGATGCGAAGGATGACTCGAGGATAATCTGGCAGCGGGGCGATCTCACGTCGCCGTCCGACGTCGACGAGGCGATCAAAGGGGCGGATTGCGTGTGGCACATCGCGGCGCTCGTCGGACCGTATCACGCGCGGGACATGTACGACAAGGTGAATCGGGTCGGGACGTTAAACGTGATCGAAGCGTGTAAGCGACACGGCGTGTCAAAGTGCGTGATGTCGAGCTCGCCGAGCACGCGATTCGATGGTGGAGACATAAACGGGAAGCGAGAGAGCGAACTGTGTATTCCGAAGACATTCTTGCAGCCGTACGCAGAGAGTAAGGCGATGGGGGAGCGGGCGATGATGGAGGCGTGCGACGGGAAGACGTTTTTCACCATCGCCGTGGCGCCGCATCAGGTGTACGGACCGCGAGACATGTTATTCCTGCACAACTTTTTGATCAACGCCAAGAGATTGCGCATCTTCGGCAGTGGGGAGAACTTGATCAGTATGTGTTACGTCGATAACTACTGCCACGGGTTGATCCTGGCCGAGCGCGCGCTGTATCCGGACTCGCCCGCGTTGCGCAAGTTTTACATTTGCACCGATGGCGAACCGGTAAAGCTGTGGGATTTTCTCGATCGAGCCTTCGTCGAGCTCGGCTACCCGTCGCTCCGAGCGAAGTTTCGCCTCCCTGGTTGGTCATTCATGATGCCCCTGGCGCACGTGTGCGACGCCGTGGGCTACGTACTCGGCAGAAAGTTCAAGCTCACGCCCTTCTCCGTGCGCATGCTCCTAATCAACCGGTGGTTCAACATCGACGCTGCGCGACAAGATCTCGGGTACGAACCGATCGTCGATCCCGAGGAGGCGTGGTCGCGAACGAAGTCCTGGTTTGAGACCGAATGGAAGCCCAAGTACGGGAAGTAGATCGACCTCGCGGTGTAAGACGTAACGCGCTTGAGCTTTTCGGTACTCGTGACGTCGATTCGCCAGCGCGACTTTATCCACTGTCTGTTTCGCATTCGGCGACGCTCGACGCGTTCGCTCGACGTGAACGCTCTCAGAAAACGCTTAGTAGATGGCGTCCCTCGGCAACGCCTCGATCGCGCGCGTCGCGAGCCGTCACGCGATGAAATCATCGCGACGCTCCAAGGTTGTCCCGGCCGCCGGTGCGGCGCTTCGGCAGTTCCCCGACGCCCCCGCGCCGGTGATCGAGCACGAGGACGTCCTGGGATGGACTGCGATCGAGAGTAAACTCATCGCGGCGTGCGCCACGAACGCTGGGAATGAGAGCGTGAACGCACGATTCAAGGCGTGCGCGATGCTCGGCGCGGAGACGACGTACGAGGCGGTGAACGAGCTGAGCGTGGTGGAGGTGTACACGCAGGTGTACGAGGGTGATCTCACGACTTGCAGCACGATCATTGATGTCCACTTGCGGGTTCTGGCGGAGAGCATGATCGACGGCGATTGGGATCGCGTGGGGCGGGCGTACCAAAAGTTTCACGGGTTGCCGCCGCAGATGAAGCGCCAGAGCTTGCTCGCGACCGCGGCGGTCGCCGAGGCAGCCCTGTTGTTCACCAAAGAAGAGTACGAGTACACGGTGGCGTTCTTACAAGACATGTACGACTCTCCCGACGCCGGTGATGACCTCAAGGAGGAATACGAGATTAACATGGAGATGGTCAATGCCATCGACAAGTTTATTATGGAGATGCAAAAGCACAAGGACGAGCGCGATCGCTCGTAATCTCGTCGGTATTGGATATAGTTTGATAATATTGGGTTCGACTAGTAACTAGCGCTCGCTCGCACACACTTTCATGATCACATTCAAAACGCAATAGAGTTCGTCTTCACATCGTCTCCGTGCCTGGCGCCCCGTACAGCAACGCGTGAATTGCGAAGCCGAAAAAGAGAAGGCCACCGACGAACGAAACGGTGCGCGGCGAAATCTTCAATGCGACAATCCTGCCCCCGAGAACCGCCAGACTGGTGCACGCGCAGTGTCCTAAGATGCCGCCGATGGCGACCCCGTAGGGATTCTTGTGCGTCGCCAACGCGATTGTCGTAATTTGACTCCTATCGCCCCATTCCGCGAGAAAGATTAGGACGAACGCCTCGATGAATACTGGCGTGCACACTCTAGACGCGATTCGCGCCAACCGATTTCGTGTGCTCGCCGTCGCTCCGCTTGCGAGTTTCTCCTCCACCTCCTCCACCTCGCTCGACATTGCGCCCGTGCCGCCCTCCGACTTGTACGCGATGTACAGCAACCGACACCCAAAGAAACTGTAAAGCACAAACGCCGCCTTACTCACCGTCTCCTTACTAATCAATTGCGGCACCACCAGGCCGAGCATCACGCTCAAAACCGTCATGATCGTCAGCGCGCTCAAGCCGCCGGCGAGCACGATAGCGCGAGAGTTTCGCATCGCCATGATCGCCGCGATGATGAACGTCTCGTCCCCGAGCTCGCTCACCAGCACCATCCCGAGCGAGCTCACGAATCCATCGGTGAATCCACCGTCGCCGTCGGCGTATTCACCGCCGAGCGCGACGTCCTTCGACGAGCGATCGCTCGCGGATAAACGAGCGGCGCGAACTGGAAGCGCGAGCGCGAGCGCGCACAGGGCGAGCGGTAACGCGATGCGCGTCGCGCGGCGATGCGCGGACGCCATCGTCATTCGATCGGCGTCGGCGCGCGCGGGGGTACGGCGCGCGCGCGCGATACTGCGGAGGCGGCGCGAACGCGAGCGAGTGACCCGAACGCGCGGCAACGTTGTACAAATTCCAATTCCAATCAATGGTGCGCGTCTCATCAGCAGGGCGCTCGAGCGCCCGATCGTTTCACCACGTCCTCGAATTCTTCTCGGGTCATCCTGAGCGCGCCGTCGTGATCAAGCTCGAGCGCTCTTCGCGCGCGCTCGGGCTTGAACGCGACCACCATGGCGCGACAGCGCGCGTCTGACCAATCGGCGAACCCGTTCGCGTCGAGCGCCCGACGAAGATCGCGCGCGGTGAAGAATCCACGTTTTTTCGCGTCGAGGATGTCGTACGCGTGATCGAGATCGTCGATGGACGGCGCCGCGGAGCGCGCCTCGGTTCGCGCGCGCTTTCCGCCGAGTTTCTCGCGCGCACGCGCCGTGACCTCGTCGTCCGTGGACGTGGGCGTTTCGGTGGACGCATCGCCACCCGAAGCCGACGCCTCGTCCGTCGTATCCGCCTCATCGGGCGCGCTCGATCGTCCAGCGCGCGTCGAACGTGGCACCACTGAATCATCGTCAACCCTCTTCGACGCCGCCGCGCCCGCGCTCGAGCGCGTGCGAGGCATCACGCGCGATGCGCCGACGCACGCCGGTTGTCACCGCTCCCGCGCCGGCGTGGCGCGCCTCGCGACCACGAGAGCGCTGTTTCGCGCGCCTCGAAGTGTCGAAGCGTCGCATTTCGTACTTCTACATCGTCACACTCTGGCGCGTCGATGACGGCCCCGTCGTCCCCGCGCGCGCGCGTCATGGCGCTCGACGACCCCGTCGGGACGATCGCCGACGAGTGGAGCGTTCGAGAGCGCAAGGAGACGAGAGATTGCTTCAAAACGCCCGAGGGGAGGTACAACTTGGGGAAGACGTGGCGAACGAAACCTGCGTCGCGTCGTTCGACGGAGCCGGCGAGCGCGCGGGCGATGGAGGCGGAGTACGACGCGAGGTGTAAGCGACGATGCGTCTACGCGGAGAGCGGCGAGAACGCGTACGTGTTGGTGAACTCGGGGGATTGCGTCCGGGTGTTGGATTACGACGCGGCGACGGCGTGCAAGGCGGTGGCGAAGATTGGGTTTCACAGCGGTTGCGTGACGGCGATCGCGTGGCGGGAGAAGGGAGAGAGCGATCGTTATGATTTGTTAGTCGGGCTGTCGAACGGGGAGGTGTGGGCGATCGATCTAGGAAGGAACGTCGCGGACAAGGGACGGTGGGTGACGGCGGCGACGCGGTGGAACGTCGAGGGCGAAGGGGTGAATAAATCGAGGTGTAACGCGGTGATTTGGCGTCCGAGGAGCGATGAAGATATTTTGGAGCCGTTTGATTGCGTGTCGTTGCACGCAGACGGGAGCATGTACACGTACAACTCGTCGCGGGATGGGAACAAGGCGAGTTTTGCGCCAGTGGTGGATATGAACATCCTGAGCGTGGTCGCCTCGGACGCCCAGGGATCGAACCCGATGACGCGTTGGCACTTCGGCCGTTCGTCGTTGAACGCCGCATCGTTTTCACCGGATTCGTGCCTTCTGACTGTCGTGAACGGTGCCGGTATGTGTCGTGTGTTGGATGTATCGCGCGACAGACCGAACATCGTTGCCGGATTCAAATCGTATTACGCGGGATTCAACGCGGTAGCTTGGAGTCCGTGCGGTAGATACGTCCTAGCAGCCGGTGAGAGCGACATGATAGAGATATGGGGAATGTACGAGCGCGAAGTTCTCGCGTGGGGGGTGCAAGGGCATCGCAGCTGGGTCACGGACATCGCCGTCGACGAACTCGCCACGGCGGATGATAACAATATTTTGCGATTCGCCACGGTCGGCGAGGACTGCCGCGTCGTCCTTTGGGATTGGCGCGTTCCTGTAGACGACGTATTCACCGAGGACGACGATGCGCTCGAGGATCGGGTCGACCGACTCTCAATAGGCTCGTCGTCGCGGAGCCACTCACGCGGCCCGTCGTTCGTCGGCCCGGACGCCAACGTTGTTCAAGCCGCTCGACGCAACGAGGTCGAGCGGCTGGTACCAATCATGACCCACAAACTCCACACGTCTCCAGTCACCTCCGTGCTCTTCACCACCGAGGCCGCGCTCACTGCAACCGTCGACAGCGTCAAACTCTGGCTGCGTCCGTCGCAGCGCTCGCGATACGCGCGTACAATCACCGACGACAGTGTGAGCGATTACTGCGTCTAATCTCCACCAAAAATCGCGTATATGTGATATGTAATTCTTGTACACTTCAAGCGTTCGAGTAAGCCGCGTCAAACGACCTCCGACTTGAGCCCCGTGTATTCGCAGTTCACTGCCTCATGGACATGTAGGGTTTGGCGCGCGCGAAAGAGTTCGCGATCGAGCGCGTCGCATCCCCCTCTCTTAGCCTCGCGTCGTCACCGCACCTCGCAGAGTCCGAACAAAAATGGCTCCTCGCGTCACCTACAAGCGCCGCCATGCGTACAACACGCGATCGAACAAGATCATGAAGAAGCGCCTTCCGGGCGGCCGTCTCGGGATCGCCTACGTGAAGAAGACCACCAAGGGCGCGCAGACGCCCTCGGGGGATAACGGGCGCATTCACGGGGTACGTTATCGCATGAGATGGCGAGAGAGATTATCATCTCGCTGCCGTGCGCGTGTTGGCGTTCGAGAAGAAGCGCGATCGCGACGGACGGGCGCGGGACGTTGGTCGAAGATTCGACCGCGTTAGGGCTTTCGCGTGAGCGATGAATCCCCTTGTCGAATGTCGAGCGATGATCGAAGATGGATTAGAGCGAGCGAACGCACGAATCGATGACTGACGTTTTGGCTCTCCTTTCGGTTTCGTGAAAATAACAGGTTCCGCGCGTGGCGACGCAAAAGTACAGCCGCAAGCACATGTCCAAGAACAAGAAGAGTGTGTCACGCGCGTACGGCGGAGTCCTCTCCGGGGGCGCGGTTCGCGAGCGCATCGTGCGCGCGTTCCTCGTCGAGGAGCAAAAGATTGTCAAGGTGCGTGTTGGTTAGATCGATCGCGATGTGAGATACACTCGATGGCTGGGTATGGAGGTGAGACGACGGTGGAACGAGAGACTGACCTAGCCCGCGTCACGTGTTGTCCGCTCGCGTCTCACAGAAGGTGCTCAAGCTTCAAGCCGCCAAGGAAGGCAAGTAAGCGGGTACAATCAGGGTCAATCTTAGCGAATTTCTCCTAGTGGATACGGCTCTTCGCGAAGGGCGGTTGTAATCTCGACGCGGAGCGCGTCTGTCAATTCCGTGCTGTGCTAATCATTTCGTTTTACAATCGCACGAACGCCTCGTGCGGATCGCCGCGTGCGCATCTACCAATCATACCTATTCGTTCGCATCACCCCCGTCCGCCTTCGTTTCCTCGATCTTGCACCTACATACCGGACACGTGTCCCGCTGCGCCGTAAAAAGCCGCGTCAGTCAACTCTCGAGTCAAAGTCGAAGCGATCCAACGCACCATCTTCAACCACTCGCACAGACACTTCGTGTGAAAAGTGTGCGAACATCTCGGAATCGTCTTCACTCGCTCATCGCCCTCGTACTCGCTCAGGCACACCGAGCACGTCGCGCCGCTCGCCAGTCCCGCGTCTCTTGCGTCTCGCTCTGGGAGCGCCTCTACCGTCGCCGCAGCGCACGGCGCGTCGAAGTTTCGAGTGTCGAACTGCGTGAAGTCGATCTCTCCGAACGCGCCGAGCGGAAGGAGGGTCATCGTGGGCCCGAAGACGACGGATAAGACGCCTCGAGAGCTTCCTTCTCGTTCGTTCGCGCTCGGTCTTCGCTCCAAGAAAACGCTCGAGCACGACGGACACGACGGGACGTCGGCGGCGTCGTCCAGGGCATCCGCGGCGACGTCAACGCGGGCGCGGCAGTCGTGACACCACACCGACTCCATGGCCCGCGTCGGACAGTGCGTGAGCGATTTTGAGCTCCGAGGACGCGGAAAGGACGAGAAGGCGAGAGCTGAGCGCGACTTGGATGCGAGCGGTGAACACCACGTACTTGCGATCTCGTATTTCAGTCTAAGTCTTCTTCGACTTCGCTCGCGACGCGCCGTCGCGAGCGAAAACAATGCACCCGTCTAATAAATAAACACGACAAACCATTTATTCTTCACCCATGACGGAGCCTTCGACGCGAAGGAGCACGAAACCAATGGCAAGGCCGACGAGGGTGATCGCGAAGCACGTCGTCGCGACGGACGCAATCTCCGCACCCTGGTTCGCGACTTGCATGAGCTCGACGGCGGACGCCTTGGTGGCGACGCCACGAACTTCCTTTTGCACGCGCGCGCTCGTCATCGGGACGGTCGCCACCGCGCGCGCCGGGGAGACGGCTTGCACGCTACGTTCGAAAAACACCCCGAAGGATACTCGGTCAGTCCACGCTCGGTTCCATCTCTCCACGACCCCAATCTTACGCGTCGTCACTCCCGAACGACCGCGCATCAACCTCACGCGTCCCCTCGCGCGCGTTATCCAATGGATAGGGCTTCCCCGTCCACGCCCCGACCACATCGCGCGTCCACGCCTCGCACGACCTCATCCGCCCACCACCGACCGCGCGCGCGGACGAAACGATTTATCGCCGATCACATCACCCCCACATCCACCGCGTCTCGCCCGCGATCGATCGTTCGCGCGCGCCCGTTCGTTCGATCACCGATCGAGGCGGTCGTCGCGATCGCGTCGCGCGCGTTCGAATCGCTCGCGTCTCTCGACGCACCGAGCGGTGCGCTTCGCGGCGACGCGCACGGAGGCGACGCTCGGCGCTAACGCGGTGGTTCGGACGATCGCGGACATCTCGTGGGCGGTCGCGTGGACGTGTGCGGGCGCGCGCGCGCGGTCGAGGTCGCGCCCAGAGAGGTGTGTGCGTATGCGTATGGGGTTTCGTTTATAGGCATCGCGCCCGCGTCGTCGTCGTCGTCGTCCTCGCCCGGCACCGCCTCGCGCGCGCGTCGATCGCGGACGCGCGCCCGGGGACGTCGGCACCGCTCGCGGTCGCGCGACATCGGGACGCGGCGATGGGACGCGGTGTGACGCGAAGGAACGATGACGGATGGGCGATGATGGCGACGACGCGCGGCGACCGCGGACGCCGGCGGCGTGTCTTCGCGTCGTGCGCGGTGATGGCGTGCGCGGTGATGTCCGTCGTGACGTCGGCGCGCGCGGAGGCGATGGAGACGGGCGGTGGAGACGGGAACTCGCGGTGGACGCTCCTGGAGCTGGATGAGGATGCGTTTCGGACGCGGCGGTCGTTCGAGACGCCGGCGTACGACGTCGGAGAAGACGGTCGAGCGCGATTCAGGGGGTGGTTCTCGGCGAAGATGTTGACGACGCCGGGGATGGACGCGCTGAGGGAGCCGGTTCCCGAGCGCGTGAGACCGATTCGGGACGAGACGTGGAAGGTGACGATGAAGGGACAAGAGCGCGTGTTGACGCTCACGACGGAGGGCAGACTCATAGTGGGCGATGAGTACGATGCCGACACGTGGTTCGTGCTGAATGGATTAGAGTACGACACCGAGAGCGCGTTCGAGGACACGTCGACGTGCGACGCCACGACTGGGTCGTGCGAGCTGTAGGCGAGCAAAGCGAATTAAATTTCACGCGAGCGAACAGACTAGACCGAATCCACGATCTCGCACTCGCGCACGCCCTCCGGGAGCTTCCCTCGCGATCCCGCGAGGATCTTCGCCGCCACGGTGGCGAGATTCGCCTTCTCCATCGCCGAAGTCCGCGGTTCGTCTCGAGCCCACTTCGCGTAATCCTCCGCCAGTCGCGTTAAAAACCACGGCATCACCGCCCGCAGACTGAACCCCACGATCGCGTTCATCGACCCTCCCGCTCTCGCGAACACGCCCTCGGTGAACTCACCCCGCACGTCGATCCGGCACTTGATCGCGTCGCCCTCGCCGTCGCTCCCGGAGGTCGCCGTGACGGCGTTCCGCAGCCGTAAATCCCTCAAACTCGCGTTCACCGCCTCCACGACCGCCCCCGAGCGCTCGCTCCCAAAGTTCACCATTCGCGCATCGACCAGCGACTGCACGCACCCGTCCTCGGTCGCCGAGACTTCGATCGTGCCCACGGGTTCGACGTCCAGGAATGCAAACTTTTGTCTTCCCGCGGATACCGTGAACGTGCGCTCGCTCGCGTCCGATCGCGTCACCGCGGACGGATCGAGCAGCGCGTACTCCTTCGCCGGCAGCGCCACGTACTCGCGGACGCGCCCGGGGGGGCTCACGTCGACGGTGAAGGCGCGAGAGACGCGCAGGAGGGTCATTGCGCGACGCGAAATGGCGCACGCATCGGGCTCGCGCGCGCTCGTGGACGTGGCGCAGCGCACGAGAGAGCTCGGGAAGGGGGCGTGGACGTACGCCGTGGTCAGAGCGTGCGTGTGCGCGACGCGCGCGTCGTGGGCGAGGCGTGAGACGGCGATGATGGGTGGACGCGCGAGCGCGTTGGAGAGACTGACGACGCGTCGACGCGATTCTCGACGCGCGCAGGACGACGAGCGACGGGAGCGATGCCAGAGGGAGCGCGAAGGAGTACGAAGCGATCGCGCGCGCGGCGGTGCGAACGGTGCACGGGAGCGTGGACGGGGGGTTCGAGTTTGAGGTGCTCGGCGCGGAGGCGGGACGGTTGAACGGAGACGCGACGTTCGTCGTGCGCGTGCGGAGCGAGCACTGGAAGAAGCTGTGGAGCGCGCTCACGATGGCTGGACGCGGGAATGAGGGAGAGTCGACGAGAGCGTACGACGTCCTGGCGTCGGGGGCGAGTTTGCAAGCCGTCGCGTTGGCGAGGTGACGCACTTCGTGCCGTTGCGTCGCCGTCTGTGTCGACGGCGGAGCGATCTCGCGTTCGCTGTATGTTATTGTATTATCATCCATTTCACGGCTACCAGGTATGTTTAGTCTCGCTTCTCGAGCGTTTCGCCGTCTACGTCTTCGTCGTCCGCCACTTCGTAACCGGCGCCGACGATGCTGTCTTTGGCGACGACGCGCGCGCCGACGATCGCGCCTGGACCGACGACGCATCCTTGAATCTGCGAGCCGTCACCGATGACGGCGCCGCGAAGAATGAGCGAGTTCACGATCTTCACTCCGGAGCCAATCTTACACTCGGCGGTGATAACGGACTTTTTCACCGAGCACTTGTCCCCGAGCACGCACTGCTCCGCCACGACGCACCCCGGACCGATCGTGGACTTCGATCCGACCACGGTGGAGTGATCGAGAACGTTATCGTACTTACTCAGCGGTCGCTCGTTCAGGTGATGGAACTCCGACGCGATCTCACGCGACACCTCCAAGAGCGCCGGCTTGGCCGTGTTCACTGCGACGCAATACTTATCCGCGGGCACCATGTACGCCGCGACGACCGCGTCCTTGGCCCCACGGAACTGCTCCGCCACAAAGTGCGGGATCAGATCGTACCGCAAACTCTTCATGTCCGGCCGTTCGCGAATCGCATCGAACGCGCGCGCGGCGTCCAACGCGAAGATCCCGACGTCGGTGATATCCGTGCGAATCACAATCTCCCCGTTCGCATCCAACATCGATCGTCGCAGCTTCAATCGCTTCTGCGCCTCATCCATCTTCTCCCCACCCGCCAAGAACGCCACCTCCCCCCCGCTCGCGCTCAGACCGACGTACCGCGTCCCCTTCGGCGCCTTTCCCGCCTTACGTTCCACCTCCGCCCACGGTCTCCGCGTCGCCAACGCGCACGTCGCCGCCCCCCCCCGCGCCAACTGCGCGCTCACCACCGCATCCAACGACACATCCGTGACCACGTCGCCGTACATCACCACCAACGTCGTCGCTCCCGCGCGAGCGTCGTCCGCCTCCAGCGTCGCCAGCGCCTCGAGTTCGCTCGCCCCATCCCTCGCCGTCGTCACCTCGATCGTCCGTCCCGACCACGAACCGTCGCGCATCGCACGCTCGATCATCTCCCGCGCTCGCGTCGCCGCGCCGTCGTCCGCGACGAGCACGGTGAGGCGTTCGCACGGTCGACGCGCGAGCGCGTGCAGGGCGCGCAGGGCGTGTCGCAGCGTCCCGCGCGTCCCGCACTCGAGCTCGTACTTCGTGCTTCGATCGCGATCGAGCACGCCGTCGAAGCCGTCGGCGTCGCGGTCGAGGGCGAGGACGACGCCGCGGAGACGCATCGCGCCGAACGCGCGCGGGCGATGAATGTCGATGGACGATGGGTCGAGGTCGACCACGGGTCCCGCACACGCGCGCGCGGCGCGATGGCGCCCGGCGGTGCGCGCCTGCGAGAGCTCATACGAAGCGTCAGGGAGTGTAAGACCAAGGCGGAGGAGCGAAAGCTGATCGCGCGCGAGGGGTCGGCGATCCGGGAGTCGTTCAGAGATCCGAGCCAAGGACGGTACGTCCCGAGATGCGTGGCCAAGCTCATGTTCATGCACATGCTGGGGTATCCCACGCACTTTGGACAGATGGAGTGCGTGCGGTTGACGGCGAGGCGGGAGTTCCCGGAGAAACGGATCGGATACCTCGGGTTGACGCTGCTGTTGGATGAGAATCAAGAGGTGACGATGCTGGTGACGAATAGCGTGAAGAACGACCTGACGCATAAGAATCATTACGTCATCGGATTGGGATTGTGCATGCTGGGAGGGATTTGTAGCGCGGAGATGGCGCGGGACGTCGCGGGGGAGGTGGAGCAGTTGTTGGGACACGCGAACTCGTACGTGCGGAAAAAGGCGGCGTTGACGGCGACGCGGGTGATTAAAAAGGTTCCAGAGCTCACGGAGGGGTTCGTGGAGGCGACGAAACGGTTGCTGGGGGATAGACATCACGGAGTTTTGCTCGCTGCGTGCACGCTGGCGACGGAGATGGGGGAGCAAGACGTCGACGCGCGCGTCGCGTTGCGAGCGCAGGTGCCTCAACTGTGCAAGGTTCTCAAATCGCTGATTTACGCGGGGAAGAGTGCGGAGCACGACATCGCGGGACACGCGGACCCGTTGTTACAGTGCGCGATTCTTCGTGTGTTGCGCGTCCTGGGGCGCGGCGACGCCGACGCGAGCGACGCGATGAGCGACATTTTGGCGCAAATAGCGTCCAACACGGATGACTCCAACAACGCTGGTCGCGCCATCTTATACGAGGCGGTGGAGACCATCATCGCCATCGAAGCGGTCGGAGGTCTGCGTGTGTTGGCGGTGAACATTCTTGGGCGCTTTTTGCAGAACAAGGATAATAATGTGCGATACGTCGCATTGAACGCGCTGTCCAAAGTCGTCGTCGTGGACACGCAGGCGATCCAGCGGCATCGAGCCATCATCGTCGAATGCGTCAAAGACGCCGACATTACGATTCGACGCAGCGCTTTGAAGCTCGTGTATAGTTTGGTGAACGCCAACAACGTCACCACGCTCACTCGCGAACTGGTGGAGTATTTGGAGGCGTGCGACGAAGAGTTCAAGTGCGAACTCGCGAAGAAGATTTCCGCTCTCGCCCTCAAGTTCTCACCAAGCAAGCAGTGGTACATCGACACTTTCGTGTCTTTGCTCACTCAAGCGGGGCAGTACATTGACGAGTATGAGTGCAACGATTTCATGGGTCTCGTCGCTCGTACTCCTCAGCTTCATGGCTATGCCGGCAGGTCGCTATATCGCGCGGCATGCGAAGAGGGCGCCAACCAGTCGCTGTGCGCCGTGGCGACCTGGGTGTGCGGCGAGTACTCGGACGCGATGGTTCACGCGGCTCCTGTTGAAGGCGAGGTGCTGACAAAGGTGAAGCATGACGACGTCGCTAAGCTCATGATTGCGTTGTTGAACGAGGCAAAGTACGCGAAATTGAAACCGCTCATCATGACGGCTTTGGCGAAGATTGCTGGGCGAGAGCCGAATGAAGAAGCGACGATCGTGCCCATACTAGATGCGTACTCAAGACAGATGGATCTCGAGACGCAGCAACGCGCGAACGAGTACAAAAAGATCCTCACCGAGCTTCCGAATCTGCGGGACGTGATCTTTGAGCACATACCTCCACCAGAGGCACCGAAGTTCGTCGCCGCGGACACTATGGAGACGCTGGCTAAGAAGAAGGCCGTCAGCGCGGTCGCAGCTGCTCAAAGTTTTCGCGATTTGTTAAGTTTTGACGACGACGTGGCGTCCTCTAATGCTCAGAGTAAAGGCGCGGATTTACTCAACGATCTCCTCGGCACAAACATCGACGCCCCGGCGTCCGCCTCGGCGACGCCGGCCACGCAAGCTCAAGCCGTTGATCTCCTTGGTGACATGCTTAGTGGTAAGACGCCGTCTCCGTCACCGGCTCCACCGAAGACGGCTTCTTCCGCTGACGCTTTGACGGATCTGTTTGGTGGGGCCACCATTGAACCAATCGCTTCGCCGACTCCGATGAAACAGAATGCGCCCACCACGGATGTCTTGGGCGAGTTGACGTCTTCTGGTCCGAGTGCATCGATCCCGTTCGTGGATCCGTTCCAGAACATGAGCGGCGCGCCGCCAGCAGCAATCGAAGGCTTGATTGATCTAATGAGCGACGCGACGCCACCGTCGAGCGCAGTCCCTCCGCCGGCGATGAACGCGCACCCGACGTCTCCGAGTCCGGCGGCTGACATTCCTGCGTATACCAAGGGACCGCTTTCGATATTTTTAGTGAGCTCAAAGGCGAACCCACTGGATCCAAACGAGACGGAGGTCAATGCCCGCTACGTGAACGCCGGACCGAGCGACATTGAGAACTTTTCGCTCCAGGCAGCTGTTCCAAAAACGATGACGCTGACTATGCACCCCGCGAGCGGTACTACGATCTCATCGAGTGTTCCAGTGTCCCAGCGAATGATCGTTTCCACTAAAGCGGAGCACGCCGCGAAACCCATCGCGATGCGTTTGAAGCTCTCCTGGCGACAAGACGGTTTCGATATGAGCGAGTTGGCCACAATTTCTAGCATCTAGATGTAGTTTACATGTCCTCTTTGGATTAAATGGATCGAAGTCGTTCGCGTGCTGGATTTAGCTCGGTCGACGCGTGAAATCTGCAATCGCGGAAAATCGTCATCGCTTGAGTTGGGCTATCATGTTGTCTATTTTTGCGCGCGCGCGTTTGAGCTCGGCTTTGGGCTCGGCGTACTCGCGCTCTGGGATGTAGCCGTTTCGCGCGTGCGAGAGTGCGAGATTGACGATGAAGCTTGTCTCGGCGACTTGCGCATCGCGTTCGAGGCGCAACAAAGTGACGTACTTCGCGTATCCGGGGCACTGGTGATCGATCGCGTACGATAAACAGTTCCAATAATTCTCCACTCGGTCTTCTCTCTCTCGGTCTCCACTTACGCCGGCGCGCTTGCACGTCTCTTCATCCCACGCACACCCGTGCTCGTGCGCGTACTTCAAACACTCCAAATGACCGTACTCAGCGGCGCACTTGCACGTCTCCGCATCCCACGCACACCCGTGCTCGTGTGCGTACTTCAAGCACTCCAAATGCCCGTGTGTGGCGGCGCACTTGCACGTCTCTTCATCCCACGCACACCCGTGCTCGTGTGCGTACTTCAAACACTCCAAATGACCGTACTCAGCGGCGCGCTTGCACGTCTCTTCATCCCACGCACACCCGTGCTCGTGTGCGTACTTCAAACACGCCAACTGCCCGTACTCAGCGGCGCGCTTGCACGTCTCTTCATCCCACGCACACCCGTGCTCGTGTGCGTACTTCAAACACGCCAACTGCCCATACGCGGCGGCGTAATCACACGTCTCTTCATTCCACGCACACCCGCGCTCGTGTGCGTACTTCAAACACTCCAAATGCCCGCTCCTGGCGGCGCACATGCACGTCCCTTCATCCCACGCACACCTGTGCTCGTGTGCGTACTTCAAACACTCCAAATGACCGTTCCTAACGGCGTACTCACACGTCTCTTCATCCCACGCACACCCGTGCTCGTGTGCGTACTTCAAACACTCCAAATGACCGTTCCCAGCGGCGTAATCACACGTCTCTTCATTCCACGCACACCCGCGCTCGTGTGCGTACTTCAAACACTCCAACTGCCCGCTCCTGGCGGCGTACTCACACGTCCTTTCATCCCACGCACATCCGTGCTCGTGTGCGTACTTCAAGCACTCCAAATGACCGTTCTCAGCGGCGTACATGCACGTCTCCGCATCCCATGCATACCCGTGCTCGTGCAAGAACTTCAGACGCTCCTTTAGCCCCTTCTCCGCCGCTTGATACACGGCACCGAAAGTAAACTCGGCCGTCGGCGTCTCGACGAGACCGCGCGCCAACGTCGCGCAACGCGCGTCGTCCCACGCCACCGCCACATCGGTCGCGTACGCATCAAACTCCGGAAACTCCTCGACCAACGCGCGCCGAAGACGTCTTCTCGTCCTCGCCTCGCGCGCGTCCTCGTCCAACATCGTTCGCATCCTCGCGTACATCGCGCCGTGCTCGCGTCGCAGTCGTCCCAAGGCATCGTCGCCGCCGCCGTCGTCGTCGTCGCCGCAAAACGCGCGCGCGCGCGCGCTCTCGGCCACCACATCGACCGTGCGGTCATCCGACGCCATGGCGTCGCGCGCGGTGACGCGGTGCGTCGACCAGTGACGTTCGTCGAAACAATCTCTCGGTCGAGACTGTGTCCTGTGTCTCCATCGAGAATGTGACGCCCGGACGCGTCTCGACGGCGGCGCGCGCGCGTGTCGACGGCGGCGCGCGCGCGTGGGACGTAGGAACGATCGATTCGTCGACGCGTCGCGGACGCGGTGGGACGTCGGCGGGAGATATCGTCCCGCGACGGTTCGCGTGCTGGATTTCGCTCGGTCGACGCGTGACGTGTGAAATCGCGGAAAATGGTCATCGCTATGCTATCGTGGATGTAGTTTACACGTCCTCTTTGGATAAAATGGATCGAAGTCGTTCGCGATTGATCTGCTTCACCGCCACACACGTCTCGACGACGCCTATTGGGCGTTGTGCGTCGATGACGACGACGAAGTCGTCTTCGCACGGCAAGTCGACGTCTCGCAGTTTGACGTCTGCGTCAATCACTCGCGACTTCTTGTCTATGACTTTCGTCACTCTCGTGCGCGTGTTGTACCCCCGACGCGATATTCCGTCGGCTATGCTACTCGGCGTCACAACGCCGACGTACTCCTCCTTGCTTGTGTTCGAGACCACGAAGACACACGGCGGTGGGTTGTCGAAATCTGACACGCGTAACAGAGCCATGTATGCGTCGAAGATGGTATCGGCTTCCTGCAGAAAGACCACGTCCGTTCGCATGACGTCGCGCGGACGAGCGACGAGAGAGGTCGCGAGCGCGGTAACGCCTTGAGCCTCCACATCGATCGCAAGCAGCGGGAATCTATTGTATTCGAGATTGTTCACGATGGACGTCGCCACGGTGACGGTGCCCATCAAGGGAAGAATGATTCTATAGTCGCCAGTGAGTTCAAAAAGGAGCAAGATGGCGGTGAGCGGCACTCGACAGACGCCGCCGAGCACCCCGGCCATACCCACGAGAGAGTACGCTTGATCCGGGGCGATGAATGTCATCGGGATGTCCGTGAGCTTGAGCGCGCCTCCGAAAGCGGTGCCCAACGCCGCGCCCAGAAAGAGCGACGGCGCGTACACGCCTCCGACAAGTCCCGATCCTCGACAAATCGCCGTCGCCAGTAGCTTGGCGAGGACGAGCTCGCCGAGTACCAAGGGCGTGTACGGTGCGTTCTTCACCAGCAACGCGTTCACATTATCGAACCCCTGATACGTCACCTGCGGATACTTGAGCGCCAGGCATCCGAGCAAAACGCCGCCAATCGGGGCGTGCCAAATCCTCGGGATTCCTAGACCGCCATTCTCGCGCTCGTTCGAGATGAAGTTTTCGGCGACGTCATCAAACACAACGTTCATCTTACGAAGCGCCGCGGCGGTGATACCGCACGCCAAACCGAGCGGGAGGTACAGCGGCAACTCGACGAGATCCAAGAGCTCGAACGGCGGAGTCTCCACGGAGGGCAAATCTCCCAGCACGGTTTTACTCGCGACTGTGGCTAAAACGCTCGCCAAGATGACCATCTCCGTCGTCACCGCGCCCGCGCGCTCGCGGCCGCCACCCTTGGATCCGGGAACTAGGATGCTCTCGAACGCGAAGAACAAGCCCGAAATCGGCGCGCCGAAACCGGCGCTGAAACCCGCGGCGGCGCCCGCC